GGGGGGGAGGGAATGGTGAAGATATGTTTACCTCGTGGCCGGCAGAGCAGTCGGCGCATTTGTTGGTGCGGTTGAGGCAGGAGTCGGATTGGGCGCCGACGCCGACGCGGTCGCCGACTTTGATGTGCGTGACCTTGCTTCCTACACGTACGGCCTTGCCGACAATTTCATGTCCGACAACGCAAGGGTAGGTGGTAGGGCCCTGGGTCCGGGGTCAGTTCGTGGCTCTTATGATGTGGTGGAAAGGATGCAGTACCCAGCCGCTCGACAGGGTGTGCAGGTCGGAGCCACAGATGCCGCAGTGGGTGATTTGGATGTCGACGTCAGTCTCCTCCCAGGGCTTGGGTGCAAAGGTTTGCCATTTCATGTTGCCGACGGCGTTCTTGTCCAGGCCTGCCCAGCCTTCAAAGACATAGTCTTGAGACATGGTGAATGGGTAGATCGGTTTACAACGGGTGTACAATGGTTCAGCCGAGGTGTTGCTTGGGAATGGACGCTCGGTGGTTAGGAGACAAATTTGCACAATCCGTTCCTTTCAATTCTGGACTGTTCGGATTGTGCTGTTCGTGTCAAGGTAGCATCGGGGACGGCGCTGCAACGAAGACGGCGATACTGATGTCACTGCGGAAGTCAGGGTACAAAAGTTAAGAACATGCGACAGCCGGGGGTGAACCGAGGCGCGCGTGTGATTGGTTCACAGGGCTCTGGTTCAGCAATGCGGGGCAGTCGTCTGGACAGCATTTGATCAACCCGGAGACCTTCAACAAAGCTGAGCATATGATGTTTATGGAGAGGCCTAGCCACAAGTCTGCGAGAAGGGACGTCGGCGCGCATGTATTCTCTTGTGCTGGAGACGTAATCTGATGCTCACGCTGGCACGATGCAGATGAGAAAAGATGTACCTGCTCAATCAGCCCTCCCCGGTTCTCGAGTAGTAGAGCGCGTTGTTATAGCGGGAGGACGTTAGAAAACCGTCTCGTATCAAAGGGAATAAGCCATTTGCCAAGTCGCACTGCTGAAGCACGAGACGCGTTCCGTAAGTGCTTGTCCAATATTGAGGTGGCCGGCCTGCACATTTCGACGTCGTTCGCGTGCTCTGTCCACTCACATTTGCGAGCATTGGCAAGCCAGAATCAGAGCTCCATGAGATACTTTGAGAATCACGTCAAAAGCGAAGGCACCAGACTGTCGTCTTGTGGTTGATAACGCGAACAAGGCTGATGCTGATGCCAAGGCTGAAGGTCGCATGCCAACCGGGAGCGCCGGGACTGCGCGGAACCAACATTGTCGACTTCGACTTCTCGCATTTTCCCTTACATCTCTATCAATTTCCTTCCATACACCCATCGCAGTGCTCTCTGGATCTCCGACGGATGATAAACACTGGTAACCTAAATCTTGGCGCTGATGCTCTCATCGGCACCCCCTAATGACTATTGCCTGGTGCCCAACCCTAGGCAGACTTGACCCCTTGCGCTTCTTGACCACGGACATGCCTGGCCCCGACTAGACCAGATGTCCCTTTCTCGGCGCGTGGACCTGATGGCACAGCCATACTGTGGTATTAGTCTGACGCGATTCTTGTCAGCGCTGCAAGCTGCTTTGATGGTCGATTTTGGTTGATGTGATATGCCCCGTCATTGGAGCATTTTGACAGTTGACCTCAGCCCGGAGTTTTAGACCAATAGCGACAGCCGCCGAAGACGGTTCGACATGCCTTTCCAATTTCAACAACAACGTCGAACTTCCTCCAGGACCCTTGGGCATCATGTCGAAGTCTTGCGTCCGGATCTGAATATGGCTTGGACCCCATGTTGCCGTATTTGCCTCGACCAGGGCTGAACCCGGTGATGGGCAAGATCAGCGTATCCTGGACCAGTTTGCTATGCCCGCCATCCTGCAATCCGGATAGGGCTTGCCATCGAAGGTTGGCGACACCTGCCAAATAGTCCTTGGTGGCTTTGGTAATGGCAGAAGGGCCGGTCAGCTCCAGAGGGTCCAGCTTGCGCAACTGTGAACCCGATGTGGGTGCATTTGCAAGATCGGTAGGGGCCTTCATGGCCTCTTCCATCGCGTGGCGGAAATTCTCTAAGAAGCGGTTGAGGACGGGCTGATCGCGAGAACCGGCGAGTGCCCACTGCGTAAGTTGGACGGGATAAGTATAGCCCATGCGCCAAAATGTGTCTGCATGCTCATCAGTGTCGGCTTCAATGCCGAGAACTAGAGCAACCGGGTCGTCGGAGACAAATATGGTGTCGGTCTCAGGATCGACCCAGGGCGCGATGTCTCGAGGCTGGATCCATGCCGTCGGCGGCCTGAGCGGGGTGGTGTCGATGTCACCGTAGACGCCGCCAACCGAGTTGCAGACAAAGACACGGAAAACATCGGCCTTCTCCACTGGTCTGGGCAGAGCCTCGAAATGGGGCAGGAAGTCAGGGTTGGCTTCGGCGATGAGATCCAGCATCCCCTCGTCGTCCCACATGAAGTATGCCATGCTTGGTAGGGTGGGATCGGTGGCATATTCCAACCAGGATTCCACGGCGGGTAGTGCTGCGTTCGGAAAATGGTGGATGTTGGTGCTCTTCCACACCTGATGGACGATGCGAGGGATGGAACTATGACTGAGGTATCGCTGAGACTCCGAGCTGGCAACATCGGCAGCTATCTGAGCGGCATGGGTGATGTTGCTGGGCGGAGGACTGTTGGGAGGGAGCCAGTCGGAAGGTATGTGCCATGCTCCTCCATGAGCAGCAGCCATATGGACGTGCTTCCATACTAGCGGGAATCTCTCTTGCAATGGCGTGGCATCTTTGTCGGCGACATCGTCTGCGGGCAGTGCAAGACGGAAAAAGATGATAAAGAAGAAGGCGAACATGCAGCTGAAGATGACGTTTTGCTTGCGCCGGGTGAACATGTCAACGGGAGCAACCGAGAGGCCGACGGGTCACTGACTTGACGTGCATGGGCAAGGGAAGAGATATGAAGGTGAAGATGGAAGTATGGGGTGCTGTGAGCGGACAACGGCAACGGGCAACGGGCAACGACAGCCTTGGTGGCACAGCTCGAGCGGGTGATTTGCCATTTGCTCAACCCGAGCCCACATGATGGAAAAGGCAGGCGTGATTCGCCGTGGCGTTGTCTTCGCCTAGGCCCTGCCCCGGGCTTCCCCGCTAGACCTGTTCCGGCGGGCTGTCCATCCATGAGACCATGGCTCTGACCAACCGCCGCGCCTGGATCGTGCACATTGTCAATGCGAGTCATCTGCGAATTCCCAATTCCCAATTCCCAAGCTCAAAGCTGAATGATGCCATGCTCACGGCAGTTCTGGCGATTACAGAGTACTGACTGCGGACTACGGCTGCCGTCGGCCAAGATGCCATGCCGCTTCCACCCTGGGCGATCCTGCGGCCAAGCGAGCACCACCACCCCGAGATCGCACCATCGAGACCAAAAGACGCCTATTAGAGTTCTCTGGTGCAGCAGTCCTCCAACTCGACTTTTGTGGCATGGAAACGACGAGCATTAGTAGGAATTAGTTTTTCCCTAGCACGCTTCCGACACAAGGAAAATTCTGACGACGTGCGCGTGCTTTCTCCAACGGGTCCAGGATCAAAGGCGGCAGCCTCGCGAGGCAACCACTCGTACCTCACCTCTACTCTCCAGCCGTCGTTGTAGCAGGAGGACCGGTGGGCCCTGCCGCAGCCCCTTTCGTATTTGACTTGCCTATTCAGTATTCTACGCGCAAGCCTAACTCTGTCCACTATGTCTGTTCTTGCTCCCTTGCTTCAGAGGACCCTCCTCACGGGGGCCAAAGCTCATTGCCATCAGTGCTCCCCGACCTCTCGGCGAATGCTTAGCTGTCGCTTGTAACGACTAATTTGATTCCACCAAAGGCAGTCCCATTTTTCGAACAACAGATACGGAGCAGACACATCAAAACTGTGTTGCCCTCTAACCTTCCGAGGACAGGTGGCGCACTGACGCAAGCTGCCTTGCCACAACCAGTCTACCCACCGTCCAATCTACCTTGTCTCAGAAATGCCGGTAATTGATCGTGTTGTATGCGCACGATGCAACCACGTAAGTCAACGAAGACCAGACTCAAAGCTGGATATGCATGATAATTATAAATGCTGTCTTCATCCCTTCGCAGGCACCGTCTTTGCACGTGTGTCGCACCATGACACAAAGAATTGACGGATCTTCATCCCGCTAGCAGAAACTTAGAGGGCCGTGACCTTCTCACGGTTGCAATGAACCCCTGGCACACCAGAACATCATTGCAGATCAGATCCAGTCCAACCGTGTTTTTACCACCTGGCTCAGACAACGGTTTCCACACTCAGTCGGGAGAGCAATGTCTACAGATCGGCAAGCTCTTTGATGCAGCTTACAACTGTGCCAGACTGTCTCACCCGTCCTGCTATGCCACTCGAGCTGAGCACACATGGAATCGCCACTGTCAGTGCTCACAAGCCACCGCAACAACGCGGTGAAAGTCAGTGCCATGTTCATTGGTCATTGGCGGAACGCGCTCCCGAGCTCTCGTCTAAGTCATGTAAGCATAGCTGGAATGGTGTATACATGGTCAATGTCCTCGCGCTGGCAGCAAGCACGCAGGGTTGGGAAAGACGCGTCGCTGTTTTCTCCGCGATGCCCGACGCACTCCCCCAGACGCAGTCGTGGCCCACGTTTTGTACTCATCACTCTTTAATCAGCGCGACCAGAAAAACGCCCTTCAATGGCTGCACCCAGCTCCCAGCCTTCCGCCATTGAACTACGCGAGCCCCTTCTCGAGGACTACAGTCCATCGGACCACCTGCTATTAGAAGATGACGAAAAGATCGGACTGACCCCAACCCAGCCTGCTCATGTTCGTCTCATCAGCATTGTACTAGACGCGTTGAAGAACGTTAGTCCAAATGTCTTGAAGCCTAGCTTCCTCCGCGCCGCCAATGCCTCTGCCAAACGTCCCACCAACAGTCTCGCCGCTCTCGACGGTCTACGCGGCCTAGCCTGTCTGTGTGTGCTCAATCAACACTACTCCCAGATTTACTCAGACCGTAATTTTCTGTATGGCTGGCTAGCGCAGCCAACAGATGTCTACCTACCAGAGTTCCCCTTTGTCAAGGTGCTCTGGTCCGGCTCAGCACAAGTCTTTACCTTCTTCGTTCTATCCGGATACGTGCTCTCCATCAAGCCACTGAGGCAAATGCGCTCTCAATCGCCCGAGATACAAAAGACCTTGACCTCGTCCATCTTTCGCCGTGGCATGAGACTGTTCATCCCTTCATGCGCGATTCTCGTTGTGGTCGCCATCATCGCGCAGGCCGGGATCTACATACCCGCCCAGGAGGCCCTTTCGCAAGGTCTAGTCGCGGCGCCCGAGAACGTCGTTCTTCCCAAGCCAGCCTTTATCGACATGCTTCATGACCTATGGGGAGATTTCAGAGGCCTAACCAACATGTGGAGTTGGTCAACATACGCTCCAACGCTCAATCAGCATCTTTGGACCATCGGCATCGAGTTCCGAGCGTCTATGCTTCTCTACCTGATGCAGGCAGGCACTTGCCGACTCAAAGCCTGGATAAGAATCCTCATCGGACTCTGCATCCTCTTTTACTGCGCATCCACCGCCCAGGACCACGTCCTACTCTTCTTTGCCGGCATGATCCTGGCAGAGCTGGACCTCGCATATCTCACCCACTACGAAGCACGCAGCGACACCGCCTTGGCTTGGGCTCCCACCAACTCCGTCTCCGTACTGGAGTCCATCGCCCGACACTTCCACCCTAAATCCCGCTCCTTCCGCCTCTGGCAGCTCGTTCTGTTCGCCACAGGGCTCTACCTCATGTCAGCGCCCATGCGCGGCGCCGAAGCCACCCCTGGCTACGTCTGGCTCTGCCAGTGGACCATCCCATTCTGGTACCACTCCGAGTTCCGCTCGTACTGGTTCTGGACCATCGGCGCCCTGCTCCTGCTCCACACGGCGGTCCATTCGCCCAACATCCGCGTCATCTACACCAACCGCTTTGCGCGCTACGCCGGCAAGATCTCCTACGCCATGTATCTCGTCCACGGCCCCATCCTGCACGCCGTCGCCTACGGCCTGCTGCCGTTCTGGCAGTCCATTACTCAGCCGGTGGGCGGCCGCACCACCCAGCTGGGCTTCACTCTACAGTGGCTGCTCGGCGCCGGTGTCGCGTGCCCGCTCATCGTCTACTTTGCCGACCTGGTGCATCGTCTTCTGGACATGCCGTCCGTGCAGCTCGCCCGGGCCTGCGAGGAGTGGTTTGAGGACCCGCGCTGGCGGGACCGCTAACAGCGGCTAGGTCATGCTCGTTGACTTCTTCGCAGAGGAGTTGGAGCTTTTTCTTTTTGCGAGCCGCAGTTGGGGAATGGTGTCTCCGTAGCCCTTTTTGCGCAAGCGTCCTGCTAAGGGATCATAGGAGTATGTGGCCTACCTAACGTGTGGAAACAACGCCCTACGCTGTCGTCTTTGACCCGTGTGGAAAGAAGGGAGAGAAATGAAACCTAGCCCGAGAATCGGTTTGCGTTTTCATGTTTCATTGCTTGATAGAAAAGGTTTCGAAGAAAAGAACATGGGCTGTGTCTGATTGTCCTACACGAAATCACTAAGCTGTTGCTCCCGCTTCTTTACCTACAAATTCGGACACCTGCGCGCGCATGAATCAGCCTCTCTGCCTGGATTGTCCGGTCGTCTTTCCAAAGAAAATGCTGTTCCCTACATTTACACTCGCTTGCTTGCTCGCTCGCTCGCGTTCATACCATGTCGTATCAGTCATTATACCATCCATTCGTAATCAATCAATCCTCACCCCCATCTACCCCCTCCATCACACCTTCTCATCCCCCTCCACAATCGCCCTCGTGCTCACCACCCTCGGACTCCCCACACCCGGACTCGTCGGCGGCGAGTACACGCCACTCGCAGGCCTGACCCTCTCCGGCGGTCCCATGTAGACACTGGTACGCTGCACGGCCGCGGGTCTCGGCGCCGTCCCCCCTGTGCCTGTGCCGGCGCCGCCATCACTATCGCTATCGCCTACCACCGCACCACCCCCATCCGCACTCGGCACATGCTCATCCACAAAGCCGTACATGACCTTCCGATCGCCGACCTCCTTGATGAGATCCTCCACGTCACCCGTATCTTTCTTGCGATACCGTCTTCCCCGCGTCAGCAACGGCGCCTGAAACGCGCTCGCCACCTCGATGGGACCCAGCGTGACGTCGCGCCCCAGCTGCCCGTACCGCCAGTACGAGGGGATCACGAGCATGACGGCCACGAGCGTCGTGATCACGCCGGCCACCATGTACTCGAAGTTGGTCATGTAGTAGACCACATCGCTGATCTGCACCGCCGGGCTCAGCTCGCGGAACGCCACCGTCGCATTGCGCTCCACCTCCCATGTACTGGCCGCAAACCCCGGGCTGACGGTCTGGCCCTCAAAGTCGTCTTGCTGAATCATGCCGATGGCGGTCAGAAACGTGAGCTGGTTGACGCTCTCGACGATGGTGTCGAGCGCCTGTGGCAAGAAGCTGCAGTCGCAGCTGCCCATGTTGGGCGGGCCGAACATCATGCGCTGGCTCAGCGTGCCGACCTGTTTGAGGCTCCAGACGCTGTCGGCGCCCGCCTCGCCGTGGTACGTGATGGTCGCGGTCGAGCTGAGGAAGTGGTTGATGGCGCTGGCGAGGCCGCCCAAGGCGCTGGTGCTGCCGACCGAGTGCGTGTCGTGCACATCGAGATAGCGGTTTACTGTCACGCCTTGCGCTTGCTTGGTTGTGCGGCTGTATGGCTGGGGCGGAATGCCGGTGATTTTGAACTGTGCGTCTGCGTCTGATGCGTCGTTTGCTACTTGCCATGGGTCCATGAAGTCGGCTGGTTGGGTGTTCAGCGATACGCCGTTGATGATGTGCGGGTTGGAGTAGTTCATTACTTCGACGGGGTAGGTGATCAGTGCGGGGCGCAGCTTGCACGATGTGGTGTAGACGTTGCCGGCGCAGGTACGTGATGAAGGGTTGTAGGGGTTATCGGAGACGAAGCGCAACAGGTCGAGATTTAAGTACGTGTAGTTTGTGGTCGGGTCGTTGTAGGTCAGACTGAAGGAACTGTTGAAGATTTGCACGTCGGTCCAGGCTGAGGCGTTGAGGTTGGCACTATTGTTCGTTCCATTGTGCACAGCTTCCCAGGCCGCGATTGGGGCTGCGGCAATGTCGCGATGCAGAACGTCTTCTTCGCAGTCGATTTCAAAGCCAATGGCTTCGATGTGTGTCCAGCAGGTGCCGTCGCAGTGCTGAGTTGGGTTGCCTTCACTGCGAAACCAGTCATTGTATCCACGGAAGAACCCGTTGGATGTCTCCCAGGTGTTTACCACGGGCGAGTACTGATCGCCAATCATGAAGCAGCCACATGATGCTTGGCCGCCGTATGATGCATTGGACACGACGTAGCCAGTTGAGGGCCATTCCGTTGAAGCGATGCCCATGCTACTGATAGCAGTAGGTGGGTCGTGGTGGACGTAGGTGCAGGTGGCACGCTGGAAGAGGACGCCGTCGGCAATGGCTACCTTTGCTGCTAGCGCTGCCAGCGCCACAGCGTTGAAGCTTCCGACGATACCAATAACTCCACGGAAACTGCTCGTGGCCTTCCATGATTCATGCAACTCGGCAACGGTCGCGCCGTGCATTGCCTGGACAGTGTTAACGAGGCATTTCTGGCCGGAGAACGAGGGTTCTTACCTTTCTCCACCAAGCGATGGCCACACCGTAGCTAATGGCGAGAGCCAAGAGGATGTTGCTCACAGAGTTGATCAGGGACAAGCAGACATTAGGTGCAATATTCTGATGCCATTTGGTTGATGACATGTGATTGGACGCAACCAGAACTGCGACGGCTGCTGCGGAGCAGAGGACAACGCCTGCGAGACAGGCGAGACCGAGAAGAGGTACTTTCCTTACATAGCTCGGTTTCCAAGCCACCACTTCTGGTTGCTGACTTTGATTGCTGCTGGCCCCATCACTAAGAGTCGGGCGCGAAGACGTCGTGACAGTAGGTGCTTGACCCATTGTGGGATGGTGAGAAACCGGCAGATTGGATTCGTTCAGTATAAAGACAACGACGAACGAAGCATTGCTGAAGGTCAACTGTAGCGGGCAGTGGCTTGTCTATATCGTCGCACGGATGGTTCCGAAAATTGAAGTAGCAGTCCAGAGAACAGCCGGCCACGCAAAGCCCATATAGAGGCTGAAGCGTTTGGGGTATAGATATGCTGCTCATCGTGGACCGTCTAGGTAGCGTCGGCTGCAGCAAGCGATATCGAAGTCCAAAAGTTGATACCCAATTCGTTGCCAGAAAGAACACTTTTTTCCCTCAAGATGATAGGAAAGCATAAGGCTGCATACCTGTGGTGTGGTAGGCTGCTTCAGCCAGCCTTTGATGCGGTCGAAGCCTCGGTGCGGCTGGACGGGTCGCAATACGAGCCAGCTGGGCGCCAAACCAATCATAGTCCACACCGTCGCTCAAAAAGTCCACAATCCCGATTCAAAGCTGGACAAGCATGCGGCGACTCATGCTTAGCCGTGCATCATATGGGCGAGGTCTTCCGAGCTCCAGACCCAAAGTAGGTAGAGCACCACATGTGCCGACGGCTGCGGACAGCAGTCCTATGCGCTGGAAAAGGAACTCAACCCGAAACGACTCTTCTGGGTTGCTCGAGGACAATCTAGTCCTCTTGCTTTGCTGTCTTTCCTTCTTGAGGCGTTCTGAACAGTAGCTGAACGCCCTTCCCTGCAGCCGTGGTCCAGCATGATCAACACTGGAAGACCAGAAGGACGAGGAATTGCTTGCGGTCTGGTTCAGCTCTACTTTTCTGATCCCTGCTCGATACCTATCGGCAACAGATAGCCCGTGTGTTGTCTGCAAACTTCTCCTGTTTTGGTTCGTAGACGGTGCCTCGTTTGCTGTGTGTCGCCTGGTTGCACAACTTCTGGGCAATACCCTGCATAATACGAATGTGATGAGTTGATTTCCCTGTAATGGTGTTCAGCTGCAGACGGTGGTGCCGCATCGCGTCGCAAGCGAGGGTCATTATGGCTCAACCGGCAAGACGAGTTCCATGCAGACCTACCGTGCCAGAGGAATATCGTGCAAGATGACCTCCATAGTAGCATAAATATCTTGGAGCAGGAGCCGAAGAGCGCAAGAGCCCGTCAAAGCCACTTCGTAGTCTCTCAGATGGCGACACCAGAGCTCAACGTGAACTTCGCTTCCGAGTCACCTACCTTGGACGAGAAGAGTCATCGAACCGACGACAAGGACGTGACCAGTAAGGCTGAGATGGTGCCGCCGCGTATCGCTGAGCGTCCGCTTTCATGCCGGACGCGTTCTTCGACGGGATTCTACGATAAGCGCATGTCGACCGCTTCGTTGCGAATTAGGAGCAGTCGACGTAAGAAGCCTCGGGCTGGCGACAGACTGTTCGACGCATGTCGTCGCCTTCCACTCATTGTCAAGACATTACTGGCTGTCGTTCTGACAGGCCTACCGTTTGCCATTTTCACGGTACTTGCTTATGTCAAGTACAAGGACGACTTTGTTGGTGATGGCCACCTTAGTGTCACCTACAAGAATCTTGCCATCTGGCTTGATGTGGCATGGGCCGGATTTGTGGTCATCGTTGGGCTTGCCGAGTGCTTAGGTCGCTTCTTTTCGTGGCTCTGCCACACTTCGACTGCCACCGTCAAGTATGCACCGTTGGCAGAGACCATGTGGTTCAGACTTACCTTGATCGCCTGGGTGGGAGTGATTCACGAAGCAACTTGTATCATCTGGCCAGTCTCGTTGCAAGGTGGGCACAGCGACAACTGGGTCTTTCGACTGCGCGAAGCATTCGAGTTTCTGACGATTGCGTTCGCTATCCTGCTGGCTCAAGGCGTTGTGCTTCAGCTCATTGGCATACAGTACGTGCAAGGGTATATCGGACCCCGCAGTGAGCATGCCATGGATGAGTTGGAAACTTTGCAACGGCTGAATGGACTTCTTCGGCCACGAAAACGACATGCCAAAAGGGCACTGTTCCTGAAATTTCTTCGGAAGATATTCCTCCCTCGCGAAAGTGACATCTTTAACGAGATTCGCCAGGGTTGTGGAACTGAAGAAGAAGTCATCGGCTATGCTGCCATCCTGTGGACGAGCGTTGCCAGTACTCGGAAACAGATCACCAGAGCCGACATTTGCCAGCGTTTAGTTCAGCTTGGTCGCGATCCGGATATCGGACAGGATCTGTTCCTCCAGCTCGATCGCAGCGGTGATAACGTCGTTACTCGGCAAGAGTTTGAAGACCTCGTGGTACTGGCCGCAGCACAACTGAAGAAGCGTGCCGGTGCCATGAGGGGCATCACGCTTTTGCTGCGAAAATTGGAGGCGATTCTGTGTATCCTCGTATTTGGACTGATCATGTTCATCTATAGTGAGTGTTTTGGCTCCTGAGAATATTGAAGCTAACAGATGTAGCCGTCTTCTTCAACCCCGATGTCGCCAAGAACATTGCCTCGCTGTGGACTGGGGTCATCGCGTTGTCGTTCGCCTTTGCAGGACCCGTGGCCGAGCTTGTCAACTCGTGCGTATGGGTGTTCGCTAAACACTCATATGACGTCGGTGATCTCGTCGAAGTAAAGGGTAAGAAGCTAGAGGTGCGCCAAATCTTTCTCACACACACCAACTTCGAAGAGGCGGTAGATGGCCGAACGCCAATTGACCGACCGATTGGTAAGAAGGTGGTCCAGGTCAGTCACTCCAGTCTCAATGGCGAGGTGATTGTCAACTGGACGAGGAGTGAGGATGCTTTTGCTGAGCATCTCGTACCGACAGGCGGGACGTGGAGGGATGTCTGAAGATGGTTGCCGGTATCGCCATTGGTAAAAATCGAGCATCGATGAGTCGCTGAGAAGGGTTTGATAATAGCACCGCAAATACTATTCCATAATGATATGCCAGCAATTCAATGATGATGATAGAAGAGGACGAGGCCGTCAGCTGTCAACATTCAAATGACCGTCTTTTCAAAAGACGTCACTACTCTACGTCGCCTGGTTTTCACTGCCACGACAACTTGAATGGTCTGCACTGTCACATCACTCTGTTCTGCTATCATCTATCGATCATCATGCGCAACGCACTTGTAATCTCGCTAGCAACCGCCTCGATAACCTCCGCGTTCCTCATTCCGTCCAACTTTCACACCTCGCTCTCCCGCTACCTCCCGCAGTCCCTCAACCCAAGCGCCAGCACCCCATCACTGGTCCACAACCAGCAGTCCCCCATGAACCCTGGTCTTGTTCAGCCTCCCGGCGCTGGCGCGCCATCCTCTGACACCTCCAAACCCGAAGGCAGTGACCTCACTATTTCCGACATCCTCCCACTGTCCCGCTCCATCAACATCTTCGCGCAGCTGACGCGGGACATTGCTTCTGTCACCACGCGACTGTCGACGACAGATTCGGCCAATACTACATTGCTGGCACCGCTGAACAGTGCAATGCAAGACCTCCCACGGAAACCGTGGGAAGACCGACCGGGAGATGAAAGCACGGTCAAGGCGGCGCATAATGAGCAAAAGGCGGCAGAGAATCTGCGGAAGTTCGTTGAGAATCACGTCGTGCCTATCAGTCCGTGGAAGCAGGGCGAGGATGGCAAAGTCGACACACTGGGTGGTGAAAAACTGTGGTGGGAGGAGGAGGATGGGAAGCGTGTTGTAAAGGGCAAGGGTTTTGAGGTCGAGGTCAGCGAAGTGGTGGGCACGGTCGGCAACGGAGAGATTTGGGCTATCAAAGGTGTGGTGAACTACGAATGAACGCGGTTATGTTCAGTTCCTTAATATGATTGAGTACCACAGTCCGTGGTACGGCGTTATGAGACACGATGTACGATAGAATGACGAATTCGGATCATGATTGATACAAATCCCCCAAGGTCTAGGCGGAGCATACTGGTCGCTGGCCATGGGATGGGAGAGAGGTCTTCTGTTTGTCCATGCTTGTTTCTGCACACTAATCATCTACTGATCTGCACGCCTGACGCTCATGGCCACACCTCATCGCCGCTTCGACCATATAGTAGCCCGCCGGATTTGTGACTAACTTTGCTATAGACTCCTAGGCGCATACTCTTTTGGCGTGGCTTCTTAGCAGGCAGAATGTTACAAATACTCATTGGCCGCACCGTGGCCGGTGCGTGCTGTGCACTTGATCTCACCCAGAACCGCCAATTTCTGATAGAGGCTGGCAAGGCGTTCACCTGGGGTCGCAACAAACGGCTACTCCTCCCAGCAACAGCAGCAGCAACAGTCACCATGAATGGTCACCTCCTTCCTCGCTTCAGCCTCCCTTCGTATGTGTTCGCCTTCATCCGTCGCGCCGAGCAGGTCGAGGAGTGCTGTGCGTTTGTTTCGGGCCGAAGTCGCGCGGCATTCGAGCCGTTCGCCAATGCCACGTCTCCTATCTGGGATGCGGCGACGATGGAGTGGGAAAGGATGTTTCGATCCCACAGGCCAGGGAGCCCAGCGTCATCCTTGGGCGATAAAATGGCGATCGAGGTAGCCGTCGAGGGGCGTCTGGAGGAAGGCAGAGGCATGCATGCTGCTTCTGCCTGAAGATTCATGCCACGTCCGACGCCGAGTAGACGATGTGCCAGCGTCAGCAGTAGAAACAGGCAGAATCGGCAACCACAGCACTCAAATCTTCGCGTTCTTACCGCTCACCCACAGCCCCTCTCCCTCGGCATGCACCACCGACCTCCCTCCTTCCAACGCCTCCACCACGCCCCTAGCCCAAACCTTCCTCCCACCGCCCTCCTCCCGCTCCACCCACCCTCTCACCACCACACACCCTGGCGTCCTCACCGGCCGGCGATACCGCACGTTCAACTGAGCCGTGAACCGCGGGGGCCCGCCTCCTTCACCCCTCCTGACGCTATCATACTCCTCCTTCGGCGCAGCATCAGACCCCCGCCCCATCGCCAGCGCCACGACAGCACCCATGCCCGAGTCCAGAATGCAGCTCACGACCCCACCATGCAGCAGATCCGGGTGCGCGTTGAGATCGCCGCCGAACTCGTAGAAGCGGCGCACCTCGGCGCGTGTGGACGCGTCATTGTCGTCGCCATTGCCACTGCCAGTAGCAGGGCTGCCGGCGCGGAAGAAGGAGTGCAGTTCCGGAATCGTGCTGGGCGTGTTCCACGTGCGATCCATGAGTGTGTGGCCGCGGCCGGCGTGGGTTGCGGCGCGGGTCGTGGAGACGAGGTGGAAGGCTGGGTCGGAGAGGGTGTCGTGGGCGAGGGCGTGTAGGGAGGGTGGGAGATGGAGTCCGGGTTTGGCTTGGGGTGAAGGTTGGGTTGCGGTTGTGGGGCGCGGCATGATGGGTGGGGAGGTGGCGGGACGCTCTAGGCTCACTCAGAGAATGGTGGTTCTGGCTGGAATGCAGTCTGGTGATATGTAGAGCGCACAGACAAACAAGGGGCTGTCACTTCTGTATTCATGGCGGCTCAGGCTGCAGCATGTGAACATTTACACGGGTCGAGCATTAGACCCCCGAAGATTGCCGAGGTCCCTTGATGACGCATCAGGTACCCGGTACCTTACTTAAGCAAGTCCCTGACCCCCAGTTCGCCCCTGTCTCCTCCAATAGCTTCCATCTGCTCTGCATCCCCGTTCTCTGTTGCCGCAGCACACCTGGCTGAGTGATGCCTCTCCACCAAGTCTCCTCTGCCACTGCTGTGTGCTTGCCACACATCCCCATGGCTGCCGAGAGGAGCATCTCGATGGCCATGGCGATGCCGTTCAGGAAGCAGAATACGTCGAGGAGGAGTATCATGCATGACGGAATGTAATGCGGTTATCACAAGCGACACTTGTAGTCCTCATGAATTCTCGATCCGAGTTCTGTGCCATGCCAAGACTTTTACTGCCTACAGCAGCTCCACTACCACGCTGGCCTTGTCGACTTCGGACCGACGTCGTCAGTCTGATTGTCAGGCCTCGCATGGTGCTCAGCATTTTGAGTTCGGCTTTGTCTTTCCATAGGTCTTGAGCCATATCAGTCTGAGGACATTGACTCAATGCTGCATTCTGAGGTCGTGTTGCCCAAACAATGTGGACGGTCCTCGAATATAAACATCTTGCTTTGATGTCAGGAGCACTCCCAATGCGGGCTGCGAACCAGAGGCGATCAGAGCCTGTTGAAGAATGTGTAGGAAGGCTCCGCCTTATTCACGTTGTAAGCAAATGGCCAGTTCTTTCATGGTCACAACTCTCTCGCACATCTCTATCGATGCGACGTTGCTCGGTGAATCTCCACACGGAGAGACACGTGAGGCCGAATGTACGGCCTTCATTTGACACGCCCTGCCCTCTATCTGAAGCAAATTCGACGCTTCCAAGATGACTTGCCCCAAATGTGGACTTCGAATCCCGTCCATGGGCTATTGAGCAATGTCGCAACAATTGCAGCCTTGGGGCCCTTGCTACGCCACTCTTCAACCTCCCTGAGCCCCACCAGGATGCCAATACTGACCAATCAAACTGCCCGGAAGTCCGGCATCCGGACTACGTCAGCCAATCGTCGACCGCTGGGGATGAGGACCGCCACGACAACCCGTGCTCTTCGAACACAAACCGCACAACAAGTTTGTTTAATTCTAGGGGGCGATCCGAGATCCCGCTACCGCGTGGGAGTTTTGTTCACATTTTTCTGACCCTCCCCTCACGAATGCACTACATGAAGGGCTTTGGAAGCTGTTCGATGCTCGAACCTAACGCCACTCGAAGTTGCCAGGCCGACTACACGGTCAGTAAGACTGGCAACGGAACGACAAAAACCTGTTCGACTCGTGCCTATCCTCGTGGACAGTAGGCTCGATCACAAACGGTTTTACCGCCCCTCGCTGGTACAACGCAGGACTGTCCGGAGCTCAGATGCTCACTGGCGCTGGATCCTGTCTTTTGGTCGGTAGACAGGGGTTACGGGCCATCCTCTCGATCAGCTAGACACACGGCACGTTGCCCCTGGAGGCAAACTCAGTGCAGCGTATCTGCCGCGAGTGACAATGCCGACATCACCAACTAGACGTGTGGAAATTCCCATAGCACCGGCAAGCCAGAGCCCAGCTGTCGAGAGCACCCCGTTTTTGAGGCAAGGCCGTGAAGAAATCCCCCCGCGCTCGAGAACAAGCCATGCCTGTGACCGCTGCAGGAGTCTTCGCGCAAAATGCACTGGTGGGCTGCGCTGTAGCAAGTGTACCCGGGACAATGCTATCTGTCAATACAGCGACCGTAGACGCGAGCACAAGAAAAAGTAAGAACACCCTTTTCATGGCCGAAATCTTGCTAATACTTACACAGGCGGCTTGCAAAGAATCGAAAGTACATGCAAGACCTCCAGGCCGAACGAGTCGAGCTTCTCGGAAGTCTTAAGGACTTGGTCGCTCGTACTGACCCTTCGTCAGATGAACACGCTCGCTCTCAAGCACTGATCAAAAGGGTATGTCATACGTGGTTGTGCTGCTCAGGAGGCTGAGACGCTACAGATTTCTGAGAAGCTAAGTCCTAGCCCTCTATCTGATGATGATCATTCGGATGACTACTTCCCGACGCCGGATCGAAGTCGTCGCGGGTCATTTCCAGGCACTAGCAAAGCAGAGAACCCCGAACACAAAGGTTCTGGCGACAAACAGAGTCACTCATCCACAGAAGGATCATGGGGCAGCCAACAAGACCTGGCGGAACCTACGGATTTCGACTACGGAAACGGCATGCCTGGTTACGTCGGCAAGATGGCTACGTCCGCTTGGATCATCCGGGTCAGAGACCGTCTGGGGATGAATCCACCGTCGGCAGACAATATCGAGTCAAGGCACCTTCAAGAAAGCCGTTCTCCTAATTACTTTCATGAAGATCAAAATCTGCTGGCGATTGATGAGGACCATGTTCATCCCTACACGCTACCAACCTGGATGGCCGCTCAGGTTCTCACCGAGGCCTATTTCGAATCTCTGCAAGATACCTTTCAGTTCGTTCAGCGCAAGACTCTGATTCGGGATCTTGCCGAGTTGTACCGCACGGCCACGAGTACACACACGGTGCCGTGGCCGAAAAGACGTTTTCTAGCATTACTCAACATGATCTGGGCGGTTGGTGCTAAATGGTTGCAAGTTACCGGCCTCAACAGACATAGTCAGAACAGCGATTTCGTTGATGAAGAGCTTGATGGTCACTTGATTTACTATGCTCGTGCACGAGCCCTCGGCCTTGATCATCGAATGGCACTCGACAATCCGGACCTCACAGTGCTGCAAGGTATGAGTGTCTTGACGTTCTATCTGATTATGAATTCGAGCATTCACAGGTATGTGCACAGACCCTCGCCCCTCCATGGCCAGTACTCTGAGGACGACAGAGCATGGGCCGTTTGCGCTCAAACAGTACGATATGCCATTGGACTTGGCCTTCATCGTCGACCGTCACCCAAAGCATTCTCAACAGCCGAAATCCACCAGAACCTCTTCACTTGGTGGTCGATATTCAGACTGGAGGTTCTACTGTCCGAAATCACCGGTCGCCCCACGTCTCTCAACGTCGACGAGATCAGTACTTCACTGGAAAGACTGTCTGATCCCACGGCGAGATTGGAAGATCAAACCATGGTTGACGCCGACCCGTACGGGGACGAAACATTTGAAGATGTCTTCAGAGCGACCTGGCTGGCATTCCTCGATCAGAAGCGCGATGATAGCGAGAATCTCCCGGACACCCACAACGCCGACACGCCACGGTCCGAGACCGACATGCAAGCAGGATTCAAAGCCGCCGTCCATATGAGCCTTCTGGGCAAGAGGATCGCCACTCGTCTGTATTTCAGCCACAGCAACCACACATGGCCAGAGGCCCCCGCGGCGGTACGCGGATTCGAGTTACACATCGCCGAATGCTCCCGGGATCTTCCTCGCGAACATCCTAAATTGGGCTCTAACACGAGCTCAAGATCTGCGGCTCTGTTGAGCCTGGAAATGTATCTGTGCAGCCTCCAGATGGTCCTCTACCGGCCATTCATTCGTGACTACAACCTGACGGAAAAGCCCGACGAGAAGCCCGACGAGAAGCCCGGCGAGCGCGCCGAGTTCTGTCGGCGATGTACTCGCGCGGGCCTCCAAGCCGCACTCCGGATGACCGAAGTGCTTCCAGACGAGGCTGTAGCCGCCTACGTCCTCAAGGTGTTACCCTGGTGGATGCTGACGCACTACATGAGCCAAGTGGTCGCGGTGATACTGCTGAGCCTGTGTCTGCAAGACAACAATGACGCGCGCGAGCACGCTCCTCAGGTGGTACAAGCCACCACAAAGGCCATGAACTGCCTGGCCATGGTGGCCCCGGCGTCGAGAAGCGCGTACCGCGCCTGGAAGATTCTGACCGTTCTGCTGCGCTGCATGGCCAGTCGAGGCATCGAGTTCCCGCCAATGGAAGAGGCGCCCGCCCCGCCCGATTGGAGCTCCGAGGACGAGGCGAGCCTGCACGATTGTCTCGTGAGTCTTGGTCTCGTACGTAATTGATGCTGCTTTGCTAGAGTGGTGGAAGTATGCAGGAGGGCGAAGTGCCAAGACTTTCACTGCCTGACAATCCATGCTCGATCACTGCATACCCCTCTCGACAACCGAGTGATAGCACAATGGCCATGTCTGGAGAGATTGTATTCTTAGAGTGCTTGCGTCGCGAGTGACTGTATGCTACAAGCTCTTTGCTCTCCACACCGACACCGAACCCCCAGGGTCTGGCTCTGCTGCTCCCGAACTTCCAACGCTGCTGCGATGCACCCCCCCGGCCCCTCTGACCCAACCAGCCCATGCATGGCACGACTCACGCCATTTTGGTCGTAACAGCCTCAACCTCCACACTGCGCCCCACCTTGTCGCCCTCCCCACCCCGTCCCTCCATACTAGCCCTCTTCCCGCTTATCTCCTCAATCTCATCCCTCTCAGCCGCTTTCTCCAACTCGTTCTTCTCCTCCTCACTCGCGCCAAAGAATCGAATGGCGACCTGCTCGCCAAACTGCGCGTTGATGTCCTCCAGACTCCTGCCCTTGGTCTCGGGACACATAAAGTAGACGAAGATAATGTGGAAGAAGGTTGGGATGATCAAGACCAGGAAAAACTTCCAGCCGATGTTGTTGAGCGCGATGGGGCCCGCCACCAGGATGATGATGTCCGCCAGGTACAGACCCACCATGCTGACGGCGGTGCCCTGGCTGCGGATGTGCGTCGGGAAGATCTCGGCCACGTACAGGAACTGGGAGGCGTCCATGAACGTGGACCAGAAGGGCGTGATGAACAGGAAGATGAAAAAGATGGCTGCGTTCTGGCCCGCTTTGTTGTTGGTGCCCACGAACGAGGCTTGCAGCGCGGCTTCGCACACCAGGCACACGAGGATTCCCGTGAGGCCGATGAGCATGAATTTGCGCCGGCCGTAGCGCTCGATGAAGAAGGCGCAGAAGATGTTGCCGGGGAAGGTCGAGGTCACCCAGAGCGACGTGAGGAGGAGGGGGATGAAGCCTGTCATGCCGAGGGTGACGTAGAGGATGACGCCGTAGTTGGCGATCTGCCACTGTTAGTGACGAGGCTGGCAGTGGGATTTTTTTGAGCATGGGACTTACGATCAAGACGCCGGTGAACTGGTTGTTCCACATGAGCACGAACCCCACGAGGGCACGACGACGGTTCGGGGCCGTCTTGAAGATCTCGAAGCGCGAAGTCGTAGCCCTGATCTGACGATCCAGCTCGACCTGCTTTTTCATCTGGTAGAACTCCTTGCGGGCCATGGAGTCGTGCTCGTCGCCCTTGGTCCGGTGCAACCGCTTGAGGACCTCGTGCGCCTCGTCGAAGCGGTCCTGCATCATGAGCCAGCGGGGGGAGAAGGGCAGGAAAGGGGAGCCCGCGAGCAGCATGATGGCGGGCACCATCTGGAACGCGATGGGGAACCGCCAGGGGAACGACGACGTCGAGCCCGAGGCCGAGATGAAGTATACGCCGAAACCAAGCCAAGCTGAGAGGGTATAGCCCATGGCGAACATGACGCCGTGCATCGAGACCATGAAGCCACGGGACTCTGGCGTCGAGACTTCGGCCTGGTACATAGGGATCGCGGTCACGAGAGCACCTAGTAATGGAAAGATTAGGCTTCACGTCCCTCTCAAGTTTCTACGGTTGGTACTCACCAATGCCGAGGCCGTTGATGATGCGGCCCGCCATGAACATGCCGTTGTTGATGGCGCCGGCGCACAGGGCGGCACCGAGGATCAGGACCATGGCAGCAAACTGGATGGTGCGCTTGCGGGAGTACTTGTCGGCCGCGTAGGCGCAGACACAGGCACCGATGGCAGAACCGGCGGCGTTGACGCCTAAGGGGGGATGGTCAGCCACTTGGACTGCATTGCGAGACTGGAGAGGTAGAACATGCCGTTAAAAGCACCAATGTACTCGGCGGTGCGCGAGTAGCCATCCTCGCCTTGAGGAGCGAGGTCGAGAGACGTGTAGAACGAGGGCTGACCGATGGTGCTGCCAATAATAGCCATACCATAGGAACAAGCCGTCGAGCCGAGGGCGACGAAGATAACGACGCCCAGGTTGAAGGCATTGGGGATGAGTTTGCCCATCTTGGGCGAGGTCTTTAGTCAGGTTGCTTGTACACAAGGACGCGCGCGCTACCTAGAGCAAGGCGATGCACGGGAGAAAGAGGAGCCATCGTGGGCCAGCACAGGACCAGCCCTTTTATACAACGCGTTCTCGCAACCTCGTACCCCAGATTGTCAGTCCCCCACGAGGTACCAGATTGGTATTGGTACATGCGGAGAACGAGGCGGCAGTCGTCCTTAGCCTGGGGGTCCGTGCACTTGTCCAAGATCCTGGGAAGCTCCAATATGTTGACCTCGGGTATGCGTTCGAGACCGTTGCGAGGGCGCGAAGCCAATCATGGGGACCGCACTCTCGGTAACGGTTCTTGTTCAGAGGTACAGAGCATTCGAGACCGCGGATCCGCTGGACTGGAGGACTCGTTTGAGGTCAAGGTCTGTCGACGCCAAAAGCCAATTACAGCTGTTAGATACTTCCTCCATGGACAAAAGCCTCGCGTGGGGAATAGGATTCTGTGGGGAAATATTCGACCTCGACGGGTCCAGGCCTGGCCTGAGGCTAGTGGCTGATGGTGAGTCTTGTCAGTGATGAGCTTGGTGCGTTGAGGGTGCTGTCATCTCGACTGATCTACTGCTCGTTCTTTGAGGTGTGATGATAAGGGGATCGTCAGGATATCCCGACGTTGGGAGCCTCGTAGGACCTCGGATGGGGGCTGGCTTGACCTGACGTGCTGCGAAGCATGTTGGAGGTACGATGTATGCTTACACCGCTCATCTCATCCTCGTTCAAGCTGAATGACGGACTGACTGAGTACCTGCCGGTTCCGACACATCGGTACCGAGCACATTGGAGCAGAATCACCAGACTCTGACTCGCAAGCCCTCACTGGCGCGATCATAAACTGCGGTAGTGCATTTCAGATGTCTGAGGTTTGCATAGCGGTGGGGCGCGCACGTGGGATTTGCAATCCGGGGTTGGCTGCGGAGTAGCTTGGATGCGTGTCAAGGGTGTTGTAGCTTCTGATGCTTGCCGGGGGTCAAGCAAAGCGATGAAAAGTGGGTATAGTCCTTGGATAGGAACAAGGTCTTCGTCTTTGGAAGTCAGGTCCCTCCTCGCTCCTCGCTTGTTCAAGGCGCTAGAGATACGAACCAAGTCAGATGAGACGTCGACTTCAAGACTAGGCGTGGTGGGAGGCTGAAATGCGAACCAAGTGTGCCAATGAATGCGCGACAATGTTCAGGTCCAGAATTGCGGCCACCCAGTAATCATGATTGAGGACCCCTTCCCACACGACAAACAACAGGAGTAGAAACCACGACGAGTTGAAATAGTCCTGTGCTCATTACTGCTTGTTGTTTGCCTGTACATGACACCCTGGTACCAGCCCACACAACCCCCTGCAGTAACGCATCGCAGGCTGGTGACAGTAATGATATAGATGTGCTTTCGCCTCACCCTGTAATTTCCTCAGTCTCCTCAGCTTCTCCTGTTCACAAATAGTCTACTTCGAAGCTGCCTCCTATCTTCTCGCTTGCATCTCCCGGCCTGCAGGCTCCCTTGAGTCCCATCTCCTCATTTCCACCCCGTTCTTGTAAATGAACACACAAAGAGAAAAAGTGTTGCTGCGGTGATTGCATATCGCCCTCCACACCATGGGCCTCACCGATCGATGTTCCAAGTCAATGTTGTTGTCCCCACCGAGAAAGCGCACCGCCGCCATGCACACACCAGTCTGTACCTCTATTACCAAGCCTTGCGCCTGAACGCTCTCAAGATCAAATTCAAGTCAAAGAAAAATGGGAAAGCTGTCATGACCCACGTTCGTTGCGTGTGTGTGTGGAAGTCGTCCTTCTCCTCGCCTCGCTCTCGTCGAACTTGATCCGGGCGTGCTCCACGAAGTCGAATACGTCTAGTTTGCAGTGCTACCGCAAGCTGTCCCTTTGCGTCTTCTCTGGGTCTCCGGTACCGAGACCTGATGGAGCGTCAAAGGGTGAAAATGGTGGGATGATGTCGGAATTGATGCGAGGAGCTTTCGATCGTTGTTGAGAATCCTGCTTCTCTGCAGCAGCACCATCAACATGATCCCAGCCCGGGTCGGAGTCAGTACCGTGGCCAGGTCCGGGCATTTGCACCGACACCTTTTCATAGCCGCAAAAGTCGGTCTCGCCGGGGTTCTCTTGAACAATCTTGATACCCTCACTGCCTTTGCGCCGAAGCTCGCGCTCGACATCGCCTCCCTGTCCTTGCTGCTCTTGCTTCGGCAACGGCCAGTTCTGACTCTGTGACTGGCTAGGCGATCTGCTTGCACTGGCACTCCCCACCCGGCTGCCTTCCATATTCTCCTCGCTCACAACAGGAAGCAGCGTGTGACTCTTTGCATCTTCCGTAGTCAAGAGTGTCCTAACGGGCTTTTCTTCCTCGCTGCGCCGTCGGCCTTTCTCACCGGTCTCCCGATCGACCTGCTTCTGTGCCTTTGCCATCGTGTGCTCCACCGCCATAGGACTTCCGGGAGGCGATTTGGCGGCCAGCTTCTCATTGGTCCTATCCACATCGAGGCTCGAGTGGGGGTCTGCAGCCAGACTGGTACGTTGGCTGGCCGCAAATCCTATCGGTGCTACCTCACTCAACGCGCTTTCGCCGGTCTGGCGTCTTCGTCGTTCGGCCTCTTCTTTGGTCATGGTGATGCCAGTCACAAAGTTGAGGAAACGGTCTCCGTACTGTTGTGGAGGAATGGGCGAGATCTGACTTCGGTTGTCTTTTAGACCTTTCCAGAAGTGCTCCAGTCGTTTCACAAAGCCGTACTGCAAGCTGTCAGCATTCATCGCCCATAGACTGAGCAAGCACTTACATGTGTCAAGCAGTCTATCACACCGAGGTAGTAGACCAACTCGCCAAGATCTCCATCCTCGTGCGTCGCACGAATGCCGCCATCATTCTTGTAGAACAGGCGATCTTTCCGGATGTCGCCTACTTCCATTTCGTCTGGCATCTGCGTGTTGACAAGGCCAATAGGCACGGGACGCTCTCTCTTCAGTCTCCCGCGCAACTCACGAGCCTTCTTGATGTTTTCCAGCCGTGAGGGTGTTCGCATGAGCATACTGTGTGGCTCCTCGCCGGTACCACCACCGGGCTGGAAAACGCGCAAATTGGCTTCGCGTAGGCCTTCTTCATTGCCCTTGTTCAAGTCGTGGATTCCAACAAGGAGCGAGTAGTCCATAATGTGCAGCTTTTGCAGCAACGCGACATCTCGTTGCAATTGCTCGATGAAAAGCTGTTTTAACTGTGGATCAAACTCCAGATGGTAGTCACGCCGGAGCCAGTTAAGGTCTTTCAGAGTCGCGCGGGGATTATCCGCGAGCTCTTCTTCTCGAAAGTCGCGTCCAACTGTGCTGCCTTTCAAATCGAAAGTCTGGTGAATATCTCGATGAGGTGGAAAGAGGTTGTTCATGACGAGAAAGTGGATTTTGCGTCCGTAGGGGATCTTGACTCGATGGAGACCGTAGATCTGTGAGATGAGAGTGTTCGGGTTTTCCAGCACGTGGTTGTGGTAGTCCCTCAGTATTCTGCGCAGCAGCTTATGTTCGGCATGGTGAATAGTTTTGATAATATATTTGTAGTCGCGGCTGAAGTAGAAGAAGCTGCCACTCTTTCCTGGACTTCCCAACTCGGACAGGATGTACTTGCTGGTTAGACTCATGAGATAGTCGGCGGGATCGAGACCGAAGATGGCTCGAAGATGTCGGAAAACCCAAGGCGCGTAGTCCTTGAACTTGAAGTCGTACTTTGCACTGGGGGTGAGCTCGTTGCCAGTGACATCGAAGCTGAACTTGTGCTTTGCATCGAAGTCGGCGTCAGTCAACTCGCGATCCATCTTCGCATTGATTCGAGAGACGGTGAAACGGATACCGGTGAGCATGTTATAAGCGGTAACCCAGTTGACATGGCCCTCCTCGACCTTCTTACCCACAACGACTCGGTCATCATCCTCTTCTTCTCGCCGCCTGGCTCGCCTCGAGGCCCGCTTCTGCTTTACGATTTCTGTCCATCTTGCAGCATCTTCATCTGGAGGGACTTCATCGAGGTGCGCGTCGGAATGGGAGCGCGTGGTACGTCTGATCAGATTGAGGGAGGCGCGGCGATGACGAGGTTCGTGGGAATCGCGAGTGGGAGAGAAGCGACCGCTAGCGTACACAGCCTCTTCGGAAGGGCCGCCTGTGAATGAGAAATCGCGGGACGCTCGACCAGTGCCAGCTTTTGGGACGCCCAATGCAGTGTGCCGATGAGTCAGCTGCGGCTGTTCTGTAGAATGGCTCTGCCTGGTAGGGACAGGAGATAAGCCTGGAGGAGCAGATATTCGTTGCGGCTGCAGATGGCGTGTGTTTGTTGGGGACAGTGAGTCCGAGTTAGAGGCCCAGGCTTGGTCGGGTTGGGTGGCCGCGGTGTTCATATGTGAATCCTGGTGTTGTTCAGTTCTGACTGTTGGGATGTTTACTTTCAGATCCGTCGGCTGGCTCTGAGCGCGGTCTCTTCCTGTATAATTCGATTGAGATTCAGACACATTCTCGACGTTGGATAGCTTTGTCAAACCCTCCGGAGGCCCCGACAGACGATCTTCTCTTGATATCGAGTGGGTGCTGCCAGTCTTCGAGCCGAATTGTTCGTGGGACTTGAGCGATGTACTTGGCACGCCATTTGTCAAGGAGGTATGACTCGGGTTTCGTAGTGATTTGATGTGGTCGAGGCGATGGTCGGGTAGGCCGGTGTCGACATCAGTACCATTGGTGTAGGTGAAGACGCCGCTGGCGGTGATTGTCTTATCATACGACTTCCGCGGCAGCCCATCAAAAGAGGAGTTTGTGCTGTTGGACAGAGCCGGGCGCAGGGTGTCGGCGGCCACCGGGGGCATCTCTGGCGAGTTCTATGCCGGGCTCATGGAATGTTATCGCCGTGAAAGGGGAGAGTCGCGGTGCATAGTAGCTCTGACCGGTTGAGGCGGATTGGGGTCAGATGAGGAGCAAACACGGCGTGGGGCCGTCGCAAGAGTTCAGTCGGTCGTATAGGGATGCAGAGGAAGGGTCGGCGTAACCGTACAAAAGCAAGGATGAGAGACTGGCACCAAGATGAGGTCGAGTTGCCGTATGAGAGGAAGCGAGGCGGAAGCGAGGCGTCTGGCTGTCCAAGGCCAAAGCCGCAAGCCGCAAACCCGCGCAGTCACCGCCAAGACGCAATTTGACGGGCCTCTTTTCTTAGCCAGGCGAGGCCCTGCTATAAACAGCCGCACTTCCACCAGGGCTTGGGCTTGGGCCTAGACTTGAGCTGTCAGCTTCCGAGACGGCTGTTCTGTATTGCACCGTGCTACAAAGATCGCTACCATCTACTGGATGTTCAGACTAGAGGTGAAAGACTGCTGTCGCTGTGGACTGTTCCCTGCCGCCTGGATCCCGGGTTTGGGGGAAGGCCCATGACGTACGCCGCCGTCTGGGCGATGATCACTCAGAGAGTCTTCGGAACATGCAGGTATTGCGATAATCATCAATCACAGGTCTCGGTTTGGGTCAGGAGAGCATATCATCTTGCCCGGTGACATCCGAGTGACTGTGGCTATATTATGCCGCTACCTAACTGCTGCATAGTAGGTGTCTGAGGCCCGAGTGGACCCCAAGCCACCCCTGACTCGACTAGTCCGGCGGTCTTGAATAATGTGCCCTTCTGTCGATATAATGCAGCCCTGTGTGCCACTGCTGCTAAACGTGTTTGCCCTGAACGCCCTCGCTGGTTTCAAATCGCTCATTGCTTACAGCCAGTATCGCCTGCTGATCTCCAGGTACCCGATCAAAGTCGAGACATCAACATCCTCGCCGCCCCGGCTGCCGCCTCTGAGTTTGTGGTGGAGGTGGTCCCATTCGAAGTCGTCAGCTCGGCATTCGGATAGTACCTGGGTTCGCTGTTAGTTACTCTGGTCCATCTGTAGTCCACAAGCAAAGGACTTACCAGGCTGTCAACGCTATAATGAGGTACACAAGAACAAGCTAATGGCGTCAGCAAGATTCTGCAAAGCTCGGGTCTGAACTACTCACCAAGACGCCCTCAAGGAAGTTACTGCTCAGATCCCGAAGGAACTGGCCAACTGTTATGATGGCCAGCACCACCAGCACGATCATAAAGATCTCAAAATTGAGATCGAACGGCTTGCCTAGGCCCCACGCCACGATGACCACCAGAGGAGCGTTGAACAGCGCCGTCTGCACGGATGAGCTGACACAGTGGAAGATGGCAAAGTTAATCTGGTTGTCCCAGGCTTCATCAACGGCGGTCAGATGCTCGGCGATTTTCTCCACCAGCGGCACAAGAATGAGACCTAAAAAGTTGTCCGGAACATGCAGGTCGTGGACGAGGTATTCAATCTCCTCGACCAGGAAGACAGCCAACAGAGACACAAAGACAAGCGACACGCTGATGGCGATAACGCACTCGGTCATGGTCAGCTTGGCCTTGTGTAAATCCTTGTGGCGGTCTCGATCGTTCTCCTCGTCGGCTTTCAACACGTCATGAAGGAAGTTGTCCTAAAGCTGTCAATCTCGGGCTCTGCACAGCGATCAATGTGTCTTACATGTGACCAGCTGTTGTAAATCACGTAAGAGGCAAATGCCACCATCAGAATGATGGCAACCCCGTGGCTGATGTTCAGGACATCCGAACTCAACTGCTCCATGGTGTAGCCAGGTTCCGCGTCTGATCCAATGCCAGTGGCGCCGCTGAGCGCGGAATAGAATGCGCTGGGAATAAGCAGGGCAAAGCCGGCAACAAGCATGACACCACTCCCGACTTCAGAAATATGAGGGCTGAACTTCTGCTCCTTGTGTCTGATTCCTCCGGCAATGAAGACAGAGCCCAGACAAAGCAGCAGATTGGCGAGAATGCTGCCCAGTATGGCGGCTTGAATAACATACTCGAGGTTTCCTTCTCCTGGCAAAGCATTCGGGTTGTGCTTGGCGATCAGAACCATGAAGAGCACAATCTCAATAATACCGCCAAACATGGACTCGATCAGAGTTCCAGCCACGGTCGGAAGCTTGCGAGCCTGTCAAGTCAGGGGTGATCGATATCGGTGAAGCCAAGGAACTTACGAACTCCTGCCCCGCGAACCCCAGCAGACTAGCAGCCGGTACCATGCCGATATATGCGCACGCAAAGGTCCAGACATGATGGTTGCCGGAGACAAAATGCAATACAATGGCCGCTGGTACAAATGGCCACAGCACATTGGTGGCGGCACTCAGCGTACTGACGGAGCGGGCGCTGATCTTGAGGAACTTCCAGGGATGGACACCGCGGCGGCCAGACTCGCCGTCAGGTTGAATACCAAACTTTGAGGAGTTTGCCGCGTGGGCGTTACCGTTGGCGTTATTGTGTGTAGGGAGATACGAGTTCTGACCATGGGGATTTCCACTGTTGCCATTCGGGGCTTTCTCAGCAATGCCGTTTCCATTGGCTTCGTTGGATGCAGCGGGATTGTTTGCATTGCCATTGCGGATCGTGCGGGGTCCATCGTCATGCGCAATGCGCTGCTCGCGGTTAAATCGGTCGCGAATGCCCATGTCGGCTGTGCTTTGGTCGGAATTGAGCTCGCCAACTCTGTCCTCGTGTGAGGGGTGTCGTAGATCTAGATTGGAGTCATCAAACGAGACACATTCCACGTCGCTCGACGCGACTTTGTTTGCAGAGTCGTTGACGCGTAGGGGTGAGGGAAAGGAAGAGGTCGAGGAGGGATGTGAAATGGAGAATGACGAAGGACAAGCACTACTCAGACGACGGCAAGTGAAGCTTAGCGATGTGTTACTAGACGCCCCTGACGTTCAGGTGGAGTCTGCCAGTTGGCACGAAGCAGCGTCCACTGCCTTGAAATTGGTGCTTGGCTCGAGGCTTGTTTGCGGTGAACCACTGGCTATGCCGAGCTGAAATCACGATCGCAGTGCCCATGTGTGCAGTCCCAGCTTCTGGCAGATGCGAGACGTCTGATGAGGTCAACATGCATGCAATCTAGGCTCCGAAAGCCTGCACAAGAACCTGGAGCTGGCAGTTCAACTTAGGAAGGACAGTGGGTTTCGGGCTTCGTGGGGCAGCGGCGCGGCGCGCTGTCTCTGCTCCACTGAGCCGTAGATCAGGACCAGGACTGGGACACCAGAAGACAGGAACCAAGGCTGAATGGTAGCCTTACCATCCTCATTCCCTTGAAGCATTTGTCCTTCCAAAGGTACTGATCACGCACTCCAGGCGTCTTGGTGTCGCAGGCTACGCCGCCGGCACGTCGTCGTCAAGTATTTCAGTCCACCTCGTCTCACTGTCCGACGAACTACATCTCACGAGATTGTCCAGAAAATGCTGTACGTTACGTGCTTCGCCGCGACTGAGTAATGCCTACTCATATGCCATGTAGTGGGAGAGAAATGTCCGCAACCCTACCTGATGAATGTTGTCCGATGCGGACTCGTAGACTGCAGCTTCCGCCGGACGTCGGTCTCGGCAGGTTCTGCATCGCTGTCAGCGCTTTCGTCTCCCGGGTTGGGTGAGTTGGGCAGCTTGACGTCGAATCTCTGCCAGCCTCTTCATCTGTGTTCGCCCTGTCATCGGCGCCGTCCACGTGTCCTGTGCTGGGTTCTGTATCTAAAGCGACTTGGACCACGTCACTGTCACCCGGTTCCGTCGTGGCCGAGTTGTTCGAAATCTTTTGTGAAGCTTTAGATGCGCTCTAAGCCAAGCGGAGAGGCTATGCTTGACCTCGTAGACATCATGTCTCCGACGAGTGCGTGCTGCATTGGAATCTGCGAATCTGCACGGGTTTGGGTGAAGGATGATGTTGCCGCCATCAAGGCGATGACTCTCAGAGTTCATGATGCCTTGAGTCGGCTACTGGCTCCGCTTTCCGCTGCCGCGCCCCTGCCAAACCCCATAGCCTCCGTTCAGCGGCAAGTACAGGCTGAGCACTATCCTATGCAAGGACAGCATGCAAACCAAACACAAAGACAATAAAAGTCGGTCAGAGAAGGAGGGGAAATTGAGCTTGCTATTGCTTTTGCCCGAATACCAGCAGCGCCGTGCGTTCCTCCGCCGTCTAATTATCCATATCACGTACAGAAGGTATCATACATACATTCATTGGCATCTTCATGCCGCGCCGCTCGTCACACGTCCCTAGCTGCCCTCATTTCTGCTCTTGCGAATGTCCTTGGCCCTGACCCTGGTTTTGATTCTGTCCCTCGCTTCCAATCGTCCACTTCCAAGTGGGAAAGCCTCCTGGTTGGGGACTCTGGACGCCCATGAAAACCTCACCCGCACCCTGTCCGCCGTCACCACTGCTCGTGCTAGTTGCGCTCAACATTGGTCCGTCATTCGGATTAATGCCCATATCCAATGTCATGGGTCCTCCTACGCCCATCATCTGCCCGATGTTCTGCCCATAGAAGTTATTCATGCCGAAGCTCGCATCGTTGGCAGAATCAGGCGATGACTGGCTGGTAAACATGTTGCTGGGGCTGCCAGCACCGCCAAAGATGTTGGCCGCCGGATCAAGAGCAGCATTGCTCATGTTTTGGAAGCTACTGTCCCACGCATCCTGCACTCGTTAGTCATTGGCCGCTCATATTCAAGTATTCGAGACTTACCCAGTCAACGTTCATAGCGTTTCCTCCACCAGCCCACGCTCCATCGAACAGATTACCAGGAAATGGTGAGTTGGCGTTCGTCATGCCGCCAAAGTTGCCAAAGCCTGGAGTATCGGGGTTGGACGAGAACATGTTGGGCATGTTCTTGGGATCGCCAGGCCATTGTCCCTGCTGTGGTGGAGGCATGGAACCGCTTTGTTGGCCGCTTTGCAGCATGTTGAGAGTCATCGCCGCAGTCTGTTCGTCATTGCTCTGCGGGGTCGACTGGGTGGTGTTCTGATTCTGCGCTGATCCGGAAGGGTATGGTAGCTTCAAGTGAGTCAAGAGAACGTTCAAAAGCTCGCTCGCTTTGTACGCTTCCATGCTGAAATCGCGATTGGCTGTCCAAACACGTCTGCTCTCCTCAAGTGCTTTGATCAGATCTTCTCGAGTGTACTGCAACCCGGGAATGTAGACGCCATCGTTAGACATATTGCTTCCCTGACTGACACTACCGCCACTGACCGATGTGCTTGGGGTGCTAACATCGTTGCCGCTTTCACCTGCGACAGCCCTATCTCGCTGCTGATAGAGATCCATACAAACTATAGTCGCAGCCAAAAGGAAATCATGCGTTGTCAGCGAGTTGACATGGCTCCGCACGCTTCGAAGCCGGCCACGCTCCTGGCTAGCTTGATGCTGTGTAAGCTGAAAGCTGAGTAGCTGCATTGCCGATTCAATACACGTTTTGCGCGAGTACACATATCGATTGTTGCCACGAGCCTGCCTCAGGTATCTTCGGTGCAGCACGCATTGCGATTTGTGATAGACAGTTGCAAGGCTGAAGCGAGCCATGATGAGGCTTATAGGAGCCAGACTCATCTCGCGCATAGGCTTGAGCTTGAGGTAGTCGGGAATGCCGTCATATATGTCTCGCAGACCTTTGTCAATTTTCAAGATATCGTCGTAGCCTTTTCGGGTAATTCCATTGATCTCCTCGAGCACCCTTCCAAATCCAAAGGATAATTTGCCCTTAGCGATCATGTAGGAGATAGGAGTAGCCTCGTTAGCCGGTCTCGAAGGAGGTAGGCTCTTTGTATCCTCGTCAAACTCGTCGTCGAACAAATTATTGGGAAGCTCGGTATCCGAGTCACCAATTCGGATCATCGATGGCAGTGCCACCTGGAATGAGAAGAGGAGGTCCGCACTCCTCACAAAGGTCCATATTCTTCTTCGCATCTCGCCCTGGAAAGCGCTGAGGTTGGGGAAGAATTTTGGATCTCGGTGGTAGCCCATCCGCATCGCTAGACGAGCAATCATGCCAACAAGCACCCACACGCTTGCTTCTGCGTCACGATTCGACGTATATTCCGCGTGTAAATGAAAGATGAGCGTTTCGATAATGTGATTGTGAGGCTTGGTGTAGTCAGCTGTGATCAAGCAGTGTGCCATTTGTGTGCGGTAGTTGGCAGCCAAATCTTGACATTTGCCGCGGAACTCAGGAGGCTCGTCACCTTCTCTGCCGTAAGAGAGCATGGCCAGTCGCATCATGGCAAACAACATACCCACCCACACGATGGACGTCTTGTTTGAATCCTGCCAGTGTGCGTTGTACTGCCGTTGGAATGTTGGTCCATGTAATATATGTGTCGCCGGGTCGAAGGTGTTGAAATATCGGCCAATCAGAATGTCAGACATGTATCTTGACGGTATTTGAGCCAGAATTTCTGATCGACTCGGGGGTACAGTAGCACCAAAGAGCAGAGCTGGCCCAGCACCAACATCAGTACCCAGGTCACGCCGGCTTTGCGCGACCTTTTCCATCTGTGCTTCATACTCCTTCCTATGAGCCACGAAATAGTTCTTGACTTCTCCAATTTCGTTCAACAGGGCTGCCCAATGGGCCTCGCCGACATAGAATGTTTTCTTGTTCTCCTGATCCACCTTCAAGATACCAAAACTCTTGGTAACGTCGTCTGTCTCGCTGACATCGTCCGGGATATCGTCCATAGCCTGGCTGTCGTCAAGTTCGTTGTCAAGATTTGGTCCCAGTGACCCACTGCCCATACTGTCACCGGCTGACAGGGCTTCGTTGGCAGCAGATGGGCCTGGTGCAGACGAGCCATTGGTCATGAGTGAAAGGACCAACCCTTCGAGGCGGTCTATTCTGTTCTGCATGTCATCTGGGTTCTGGTTGGTGTTGCCCTGGTTGTTACTAGACTTCTTCTTCGTTGTAGGGGCAGCGTAGGTACACGAGCCACCGTCGCCTCGCTTAGTGCAGTTGTCACATGGTGATTGTCGATTGCACTTCAGCTTGCGGTGTCTGCATGGAGCACATGATAGAGGAATGCGATTTCGCTTGCGCACAACTCGGAAGTTGTCAGGAGACGCGCCGGAGCCGGTGTTTGACGAGGCGCCAGAAGGAGGAGTGGGAGTCATTGTCGGCGGTCGTGGAGGGAGATGGGGCCTGGGAGTGTCGACCGGGCTAGCGATGAGGTGATTGTTTATCCACCGACCACTGAACTGACTCTAGACGCGTCGGTGGGTGAAGCAGTAACTACAACGATGTCCGAGGCAGAAGCGACCTTTCGTCGAGTCGTCGATTAGGTCAGAGGCAAGGAAAAACGCTGCAGCCTTAGGCAGAAGCGCATTCGCAACTTTCCACCCAGGTGGTCGCTGTGCCCGGAGATAAGAGTCGGAGGTATGCCCGAGGTCGATCCTCCCTTCTTATCAGTGCGCAAAGGGAGATTCTCTTGGAAAAGGGACGGCGCGACGTTCAGACACCGACAATGTCCAGCTCAGCAGAGAGATATGTGAGAGTAAGAATGCGCAAACCGAAAATGGTGAACTCGAAGCGCTCGAAGAATGCCATGCATTAGTCCTGGATAGGTGGTGTTAGCGTTGCTGACATACGCAAGTTTATCCTCGGCGGGGTTGCTTGGTTTTCCCTCCCGGGCACGACTAGCGTGGGCTATGTCCTATCACACAACCCCGGGACCGCGTCAAAGCAACGTTGACGTACGTGCTGTGCCGTACACGAGGCTGTATGAGTCACGATCCTGGTCTTGACGATGCCAAAAGGCTCCGAAGCACTCCCCCTTGTCTCTCGATCTCCGCCGTCAAGAGTACGGCCCCCAATACCAAGCAAGTGAGTTAAGTCCGGCAGAACATGACAGAAAAGGTCTTATCGAATGCTGCTGGCCTAGCAAGCTCTCTCATCAATAGACAGGACGGTCGTCAGCCACAACGTACAGAGTCTTGTATGGTCGCTGGCTAGCGTAGGCATACAAAGGGGACTATCTAATCGTCGCTCAGACTCGGTTCTGCATCCAATTCATCTCGCTTCCCATTACTCATGGCTCGTCATGCGTCGGTTGGCCTCCTCAGAAATCCCAAAATCCTTTCCCTCCGCCTCCACCACGAGAACGTGTAGCTCGGACCTCAGGCTCGTCAACAGCATCAACGCCCCAGTGTGTCTCGAGGCTCTTCTGCTGCTTCGAAGCAGGGCGCTCATTCTTGGTTCCCTCGGGTGACGTATCCCGCATGTCCCAGTGGTTTCCAAAGGCTCTACCTCGACCAACGTTGTTGTCGATCGCAGCCAGAGGCTCCTCGTCGTCGTGAACCACGTCGCGATAGATGCCCATGGCGGCGTTGGTGCGAGCAATAATACGGCGGGGGGCCGGCGTTGGCTCATCGTTGAATTCGAAGTGAGCATGAGCATCCTTGCGAGGCTTAGGCTCAATGTGGCGCTCGACGGGCGTTCCATCATCCTTCAACTCGAAGTGAGTTTCGTCGTCGCGACGGATCTTCTGCTGACCGCCTTTGCCGGGACTCTGATTCATCGACTCTTCATCGTAGTTCCAGTTGACCTTGTCTTGCTCGCGGATCTTCTGATTGACTTTCGCTGGCGTTACAAAATCAATGAAATCCCACTGAGATCCACCCTTGTCTGTCTTTGCGCGCATGGGAACGCTGCGCTTCTCACGATTCAGTCCACTCTTGTGCTGCATGGGGTCATTCTCGTCGGCATCACCAATATCAAAGTGGTCGTAGCGAGCAGGGTTGGTACGGTAGATTTTGTCCTCCTTGGAATGCTGGCCATCGAATACTCGAATGTCACCGAATTTCTGACTTCCTGCACCCTTGGGGGCAACGGCATTGAAAGGAATAGCCTTCTTCGGTGAGCCCTTCGGAGTATTCTCATGATCTTCGTGGCCAGCTGCGAAAAGCTCACTCATCTCGCGCGGAGGAGGACGAGCAGATGCACGGGGGGCGACGAAGGTGCCTGGGGACTCAGATCGGCCGTTGTCGTCGCGTCCGGGACTGAAGAGTTCTTGGTACGAGCTGGCATGAGGATCCTTGATGTATCTCTTGGTTGGAGACGAAGGACGATCGGTGGAGCCATTGTCCGTGGCACGGCCACGCGGCGGTGAATTGGGAACTACAGGCGCAGCGGAGAAGCTGCTCGAAATGAGTTGGATCTGGTGTTTGCCGTCGGTCACGGGCCAATTCTTGCCACGAGTTCCAATCACTTCGGTTTGCTTGAGGAGTGTAGCCTGATCCCAAGAAATGCGAATCTGAGTGATCTTGCCCTGTGCGTTGAAGTGGACGATGTGGGTCTGCGGTAGTCAGTACTGTCAGTTGACGATTGAACGGTCGGCATACCATGGGTAGAGTTGCAACACTATCGAAGATGAAGGTGTCAAGGCCAGGGAGGTATGCTCCACCGCCCGAAACGAACTCGAGTATGGTCTCGGTCTCGAGGGCGAGAGAACTGGCGCCTTCGACGACACTGATGGTCTTGTTCGACTTGGTCTTGACCACATTTCTATTCTGGTCCTCCAGGTGTCGAATCAGGGGGCCTTGCTCGGAAAAGGACTTGAGGGTTGGAATATAATGCAGAGAAGCATCTTCGGAGAGATTGAGAGGGTTCGGCGAGGCAAGAAAGCGCTCGTAAGTCGCAGCGAGCGTCATCTTGTCAGTGAGGATGATTGCGAAGACAGTGGTAGCGAAAAGCGGGATGGAGAAGCAGGCGAGATCGAAACAGCGGTCGCAATGGGGACGTGTAAACAAAGGCTCCGCGTGACAAGATCGCCTAAGCAACAGTAGACAGTGGCCACTGGGTCAAACTTTGGTGGGTGCTCTTCTAAACCGCGTGTTCTCGTCTTCCACTGGGTTTGACGCGGTCGCAAGGTGGTACTAGTATGCAGAAGGAAGACAACAGCGTAGGGTCACTGTCTGGCAAGGTGTTGTCCCTGAAACACGCATCTGCCGGCACTCTCAATGCGGAGGATTAGCTTAAGTCTAAGCCTAATTCATCTGCCCGCCGCCGTTGATCGCCGCGTTCCTGCGTAAGTCTACCGCCACGTCTTCGTGGTGCATGTGATGGGATTGATATGCCTTGAAAACAACTCCGTTCGTTCTATATGAGGCATTTGTTACGCCTCGTCGCCTTCAACTGCGCTCGTGTATGAGCCTTCGTCGGTTTGGTTCAGGCGACATGCTTTCAGCGTGTCTTTCCAGGCATCATCTGCCGTACCATACCGACTCCGACGATGTTCAGCCTTCTGTCTTTGGTGCGGGGTCTTCTCGAGACACTATGCCGACTGGCATGGCCATGACTTCTTCTGAGTATATCCGCAAACACAAAGGAGCGATGATAAGTATCCCATTCTTGCTCAGGTCGCGCTGTATGAGTCAGCCCTGCGCTGAAATGCCTCCGCTCATACACTCACCCAAACCAATTCGCCGACATCTTTCCAATGGCGAACATTTGACCCACATCACTTCGCAGCCCGATCAGCTGCACGCGCACAGCAGAACCCTTCTCAATGCTGTCACCAGCCGCATTTGAGAATTGCGGGTTGGGTGCATCTGGATTGTGCTTCATATCGGCAGGTAGGTGCAACTTCGAGACAAAGACGGTGAGCGGGCCAGCATCGCAGAAGACACCCTGAGGCTTGACATTGGTTACGGCGCAGTCGAGCTCGTTGAAGGTCAGCTGATTCTCTCATCAAAAGTCTGCAGACCTACCGTTTCACCCTTGAATGGCTTCCACAAGATCGCGCGATAGTTGATCGTGAAATTGGCCTCACCGCGACCAGGTTTGACTCGGCCGGGTGAAATGTTGTAGATGTCAATCACACAGATGATGTAGTATTCGCCATTACAACTCCCCTCCATATCAGCGAAAAGACGCTCGCGGAGTCTGTCTTCCATCTCGCGGCCGAAGAACGACGGATGGATCGAGATCTCGCGTTCGAGGTACTTGAGGAAGAACATGGCGGCGGTCGCAAGGGAGGGGTGGAAGTCGGCGCCTAATGTTGCTCGAAGAGACTTGAAATTCGGCCGTGTCAAGGGCCGTCGCTGGACACTAACAGCTCATTGTCGGATAGATGGCAAACCGACGAAGCGCAATTCGGTAGTGATGCAGGTGATACGGTGTTGATCTATGACAACGGTGCGGCGCTTGGATCAAAAGTTCAAAGAGCAAAGAGCGGCGGTGATCCGTGACCAGGCTGAATATCTGCACACGAGGCTGTAATGCCAAGGCCGCTGCGGCTTCTGGTGGACACGCGCAGCTCGCTTCATGCTATTGCTTTCCACCTCATCCCGCTGCAATGCAGTCTGCACGCATGACGAATTTCTTCTGCTAACACCCGGTCCATATATCTACCTCCGTCCCCCAGGTCACACCACTCATGTCAGGTTGACAACATGTCTGGAGCCCTCGACCTCGAGAAGCAGTTGCGCTTTGTGAGTTCGCCGAGTCGGTGGTTTACTTGGAGCTGACATGTGATCGCAGTATGGCGCATATCACCACAACCCAGTTCGTGACCCTGGCCTCGCGTGGAATCGCACACTAAGCCTCCTGACAGGTCAACATCTGGATACATATAACCTGTGTACCTATCATTCTGTGGTCTTTCTTCCTTCTGGTTGGCCGTCTACACCACCTCTTCAACACCCGCTGACCACTGCAGGGCACTAACACGCCACCTTTGATCCAAGTCCCGGAAGAATACCAGATTCCTTACCTACCTCCGAACTTTGGTCTCTTCTCTGTCCTCGCCTACTGTGTTCTCTATGTCCTCCTCGAGCCGGTCGCCGGTACCGCATTGTCCGTTCTGCTGCTCGCCAGTACTGCGTGGGCCAATCATCTGACCAGCACATATGGCATGACCGCCAACTACTGGGCGTTGGGCCTTCACGTTGCCTCATGGGTTGCTCAATTTGTTGGACACGGCAAGTTTGAGGGCAGAAAACCGGCACTGTTGGACAATATCTTCCAAGCATTCTTCCTTGCGCCACTCTTTGTATGGCTGGAGCTATTATTCATGGTGGGATATCGTCCTGATCTACAACAGCGCCTCGAGGTCATGGTCAAGGAGGATGTCGCGAAATTCAGGGCTTCTCAAAAGGTGAATGGCAAGACCAACGGTCAAGCAGTCAATGGTCATGCCAAAACGTCTTGAGGCACCAGATCGGAGGCGGCATAAGCTTGGAGTGGGCAGTAAGATGATCTCATGAGAAGGATGGCATTCAAGGACTTACGATCGCTATGTCTTCAATGTGTTTCTTTAGGCACGACAGTCAACTGAGCGTTTAGCATGTAGATTCGATATTCACCGTAGCTCTTATCCAGGAATTAAATCGCTGCATTACTTGATCAAATTTGTCGGAGTGAACATGTCAGTGACAAAGAGTTGGCCGCAGAACGTGCTTCTGGTGACAGAAAGAACTGTTCAGCCGACGTGCATCGCAACCATTGGAGCCAAGACACGTTTATATTCTTTCTGAACGCTACCTTCTAAACAACAAACTCCAAGATGCCACCAGCCTCTAAAACAACGGCCAGGCTGTTGTCGATCGCCCATCACAATGGCATCACGATACCCAAAGAAGTCGTAAATGTTCTTGAGCGCGCTGCGAGCGACGCAGAAGCGATACAGTGGCTAAATGCTAACGTGGACTCCGCATCCCTATTGAGCGACGAGGATCTCGACTTGTACGGACCGATTTTTGCCTATATGGCGTGTACTGACAGACTATAGATGGAAGCATGTATCACAAAGCGGCACAAAGCTGGCAGAGGCGGACGCGCGACAGGTACTCGATGAACCCGGGCTGGAACGCGCCATTGCTGGACTGGAGGCAGCTACCAAGCAGATCACCGCACAGACTCGCGCTTTGAGTACGCAGAGAAGTCTGCTGGGGCATCGCAATCAAGAAAATCACGGACAACAGCGCCATGGCCCGGCGCATCGAGTGCAACACGTCGCATCTGAAGCTCAACAAGCTCGGTTGATCAATGAAGCGAAGACTTCTGATCTGAATGAGGAAATTCGGACCAAGATCTCAGCGCTCGAGAAAGAGAGGCAAGCCAAACCAACAGCTGCTCAGGAACGCCTGAAAGCCGATGATCGCACCTTCGAAGCACAAGAGCAAAGTGCCCTCGAACCAACGAGCAAAATTGACGTCTCAGCCCTTCACGAACGCTCCCACCAGTTGGCCCAGGCACTTCAGATGAAACGCGTCGCCGCGCTCAAATATAGTCTGGATCGAACATACCTCTCCACCCTCGAAGGTGAGCAGTCCGGAGAGTCACTGCATCCTGAACCCGGCCCCGCCATACTCGACTTGAAGCAGGATATTGAGTCTCTCTACGCAGAGATCGACGATGTAGTCGCCATGATGATTGGCAGCGAACACATGAATGAGATACGGTCGGCATTGGGCAGGGTCAACACTGAACAGCAGCAGAATGCTCAGAAAACTTTGCAAACTGTAAGCGACATTGAAGTAGGACGAGGAAATGCTCACGATTTTATAGGCAAAAGCGAAAATCAATCAGATGGCCAATGGTCTGAACAATCTCGCCTCGGAGATCGAGATAGCACAGGCCCAACGATCAGCACTATTGGTCATGTCTGACCATGTTGCAACTCTGGATGCATCAGACCATCGTCTGCCGGCTTCGACCGCAGCAACGCCGGCCCCTGCACCTCAAGCAGTTGTTGAAATGATTGAGCATGTGGCGGAGCCCGCTCCTGACATACAATTTTCCGCCAGCCGTGAGAGGTCAGCAGCTTTGCATCTGGTGAATGTGAAGGAAGTGGTCGAGAAGGCCGCACGCCACCGGTTTGAGGCGCTGCAACTCCTGAAGGCCGTCGAAGGGGTTACCGACACCAGTCAACTCGACGAACTAGACCGAAGAATAGCTAGAGCGAGCAAACAACTGGACAGGATTGTGGGAAAGCGCTAAGCAGCGACATCATCATACACGCCATGAAGGAATCGAGTCTTCCAACACGCCAAACATAAATATGTGGTCAGACCTCATCATTTCGTCCAAGCGTCCTCCAAGGTAGACTACCGTTTCACGAAATGGAGAAACCTCACGGCGTCACCTTCCTCGAGAAACTGTACCTGCAAGACCTTCATGGCCTTCAAGACCTCGCCCTCTTCCCTCAAGCGGATCGCTACCTTTCCCTTCTTTCCCGCTTCCACCCCATCCACACTCGCCACGGGTACACTCACGTATCTCCTCTTCTCTTTCCGCTGGCTGTTGGCGAAGAACACCATGGTCAATCTGTCTGTGCCCCGCACCCTCAGCACCCTCAGATTCTGCGTGATACACTCCTCGCCTCGGCCCTTGCTCTTCGCCTCAGCCATGCCCGCCACGAAGACGACCTGCTGCCCCAAGAGCGCCTCCTGGAACCTGACACAGTCCTCCCAGCGGTCAAAACTGAAGCTCGGCTTCGCCTGAAACAGATTGCCGCCCGTCTGCATCGTCTGCTCCTCGAGGAAAGAGACGCGGTACGCGGCGGCGCGCGGGACGTACGGCTGCTCCAGGTGCGGGACGGGCAGGCGCGTGTTGGGGAAGTTGACGAAGAAGACACTCTCGCGCTTGTGGGCGTCGGCACTCATCTCGAGGCGGCGCAGCGCCCCCGTGGCGTCTTTGAGGACGTCGATGCGCGTGAACTTCAGCTTGAAGAGGTTGGTGCCCTTGGTGAAGGAGACGCCGACGGCAGGGCTGAAAAGCAGAGAGCCGGCGGCATCGTTGGATTTGGCGGTGATGAGGGAAGACGGCGGGGTGGTGAAGGGGCTGGTCGGGGACGTGGCGTCGAAGATGCTGGGGCTGCGTGCGCTCCTGCTGTCGTTGCTGCTGGTGGTGGAGACGCTGTGGCGGGGTGTTCGCTGCATTGAAAGAGGCCTTCTACAGAGCGGGGGCGTCGGCTGTTGGAAGGGTGGTCATGCTCGTGCCGTAGAGCTTACGGTACTAATCACTTCACGTCTGCTGGACAAGCCCATCATATCTTTCAGGCTGGCGCAGGCAGTAGGTCTTACATGTACAACGAGGCAAGGCCATGGCGAGCAACGGGCTCGCAGGCAGGTGCAGAGAGCCCGAGGGGCAGCAAGTGCAAGAAAATGTCATGCCAGGCAGTATTGGTGGAGTTGATAACGCGCAAAGAATTGACACGCGAGCACCCACGTGCACAATCTCGGGCTTTTGATTGAGGCCCAGCATTCGTTCGCTTTGCTCGGTAAGTGTGCGCTCCAACGCCCGCTCAGGTGTTGGCTCGATTGCGTGCGTCGCAGGCCTCTATTGAGCCTGATCTAAACACTGTTGGAGACGGCTACTGGAGTGAACAATGTCAGACCGAGCAATGGCAGCTGTGGAACTAAGAACGGGCCTGAGTGAGTGGTGTTGTATTTAAGAGTTGTCGCCAACCCAGGCACATGCCGCACCCGTCGGATGAGTGAGTGCCGAGCACGACCGCCCGGCCTTAACTACATCCCAAGAATGTCTGTATCAGTCCATGGTTGTGGGAAGAGGCTGCTAGACTGTGTGGCTGTCCGCCTTGTCGGTCTTTGCGTCGACTTGTCTGGACGTCAGATGCAGCAATGCATACATAGCCTGGCATGGTCTGCCTGGTCACGCACGACCGCGATGTAAACCCAGGAAAAACTCGATTTCCATCTGGAGAGCCCCGGAGTACCAGGTCCATTTAGCTGGCACTCTTTGCGAACACTGTCGCTTCCTCGAACAGCCTTCAGGCAGGGGGAGGTAGTCTTGACACGGACACTCGAAAGCACAAAGCGAGATGGTCGCAGCCTTTGGAACCCCAGTAATGGGCTTCATCCGGAACAATGGATAGTCGACACTTGACAGGCTATGGTCCAAGCTCGATCCAGACTGAGTTCAATAGCTTACGGGTGATGCGCAACGTGCCCGAAAGCTTTGGATGTCGCTACGGAGTACTTGATAGCGCTATGTTCTCTCAAGCTGGGCCCTGAGAAAGCCTACAGAGCCTAGCCTGGCCATGTGGAATGGAAAGCCTGTAGCCGACGTCGAGGCTGTCTCCAAAGAACTTTCAATTTCTGCCGTCATACAAGCTCGTACAAGCCTCTTGCCAACACAAATGCAAGGCCTTTGCATTCCTCAAGTGATGGCGGCTGCCTTCTATTAGTATCCTTTGATGCATTGGACTTGACATCGAGCATGAAGAGACCGAGCAGACCCCTCATCGTCGGCTCGTTTCTTCTGGCCCCCATACCAGAGCTCCGCCCACTACCGACGCCCAATTTTGGCCTGGTGTTCGTGGACCCTGTCCTCCCAATGCACGTGCTGCCAGTAACTGGCCGCTGACGCTGCAACTACCGCTCTTTGCATCTCGCCTAAATGCCATCCTCACCCTAGAAGGTATTCGGATATGGCGCAACGAGCCCGCTTACCTTCCAAGACTGTGACACGACCTGGTTCGGGACGCCACCCCAGAAGAAAGTCCCGCCATGGCTACTGCGAGCCCACAATCTCATGACTTCACCCCACGAGCGGTTGAGCCGTGTACATCTTCTCATACTCCCCCAGTAGCTTCTCACATCTTGCTCCGTTCAAGGACACTACTCTTACTCGTCAAATGAACACTTTCGAGCAAATGACGATGCTTCTGGTGCTTCAGTACCCATCGTGGTGATATCCGGGACCACTGCCCCATTTCTCGGAACACCTTAACAGTCGAAACCAGGCTGAGTCAACATGGGCAAAGGGAGGATCAGACGCCTCTACAAGACCGCTCGAGTCCGGGACTTCGAGCATGAGACCGATCGGGCGGTCCGCGCTCAGCAAATCTACCAAACCATTGATAGGCAGCCTTTCCAGTGGCTGGTAGTAATAGTGGCCGGAATCGGCTTCTTCCTCGATGGATACACCTTATTCGCCTCGAACATAGCACTACCCATGCTTGCGTTTGTCTACTGGCCCGAAGAGGTCTCAAGCATACGGCTTACGCACATCAACCTTGCGACCTTGACAGGAACCATGTTCGGTCAGCTCTTGTTTGGAATTCTGGCCGATAAGCTGGGACGGAAGAAGATGTACGGTATCGAATTGCTGCTGTTGATCAGCTCAAGTCTTGGTGTGGTCATGGCGTCCGAGGGAGCAGACAACAGCATGAGCGTCTTTGTCTGGCTCATCTTTTGGCGAACCATGGTCGGAATCGGGGTGGGAGCTGACTATCCACTGTCTGCTGTCATAACTGCAGAGTACGTCGTTGCGTTGGAGGCGTGGTGATTGATGCTAATCTATCCAGATTTTCGCCTACAAAACACCGACCTCGAATGATGGCATCCGTCTTCGCAATGCAGCCTATCGGGCAGATAGCAGGGAATCTAGTGGCCTTGATTATCGTCGCCGCATATAAGAACCAAAGCGGCGAGCACCTCGTCCGTACTGTCGATACCATGTGGCGATGGGTCATTGGCCTCGGCGTCATCCCCGGAGTCCTCGCACTGGCCTTTCGATTTGCCATTCCCGAGACACCACGCTATCTGCTCGATATCGAAGACGATCCGATCAAGGCTGAATTTGATGCCACACCGCTCTTTGGCGACATGAGCACGGACGGAAGCATGAGTGTCGCTACAGAATCGGCGACGGAACTTGAAGATGGTTCCGGCCCGAGTGGTATGCCAAACAGCTCCGGAAGGGCGGTCTCACTCGAAGAAATTGTTCTACCTGCGCCGGCAATGCCTGCAGGACGACCATCCGGAGCCACAGATGACAGTGAAGCATCTTGGACAATATCTACCCAAGCACCCCCCGTCACACTCAACTCGCCCTGGCAGCTGTCGAGCAAAGACATCAAGCAGTACTTTTGGATCGAGGGCAACTGGAGAACACTATTTGCCACCTCCATGACATGGGTAAGTCAGATTCATGCTCACGGCTTTGCCTTTACCTGGCTAACCGCTTGAGAAGCTGCTTCTCGATTTTGCCTTCTATGGGATAGGTCTTTCGTCGCCTCAATTCCTTGCCAAAACGTATGGCACCATCAATGTCCCCGACGGCCGTGCACCTCCCTGGCAGACGAACGTTGACCCGAGCGTCTCCATTTACGACACCCTCATGGACACCTCACTCCAGGCCCTCATTATTCTTAACATTGGCTCGTTCCTTGGTCAATGCCTAATGATCTTCTTCGCCAACCGTATCAACCGCACCACTCTCCAACTCTGGGGTTTCATCATCCTCGCTGGCGTGTTTGTGGCGCTTGGCACCATCTTCATCACCCTCCACCGCAGTGGCGGTTGGCTGATCATTGCCATGTACATCATTGCGCAAACCGCGTTCAACTTCGGGCCGAACTCGACGACATACATCATATCGGGCGAGGCGTTCCCAACCAGGTACAGAGCCTCTTGCCACGGCATCAGTGCCGCAGCAGGGAAGTTGGGGTCGATTCTCGTGCAGCTCTTCTCCGCCTACTACCATTTCGGGTCGACGCAGACCGATGATGCATCCACGCGGAGGTACGGCACAATCATCATTGTGTTTGCCGCTGTCATGTTGGTAGGAGCGTTCATTACCTGGCTTTGGATCCCAGACATGCAACACCCACGTGAAAAGGGCAGCGGCTTGCGTGCTGTGGGCAAGAATAAGACGCTCGAGGAGCTCGCACTGGGCAGATGGGGGCTCAAGAGTGAAAGTGTTATCAGGGCACGGCGGCGGCAGATATAAGCTCTGTTGGACGTATTAATGTAAACGAGATGTATGGCGTTACGCACGATACCAAGGGAGGATTTCTTCAGGACCACCGCAGAGGTCCTCGACAACAGCGAGTAAAGAACAGTTTGAATTCAGGCTGTCTCAAGAAATTGTTATTCTTGCTCCTGCACACGTCCACGTACACATATTCTACGGGCGCACGTCCGCGCTACACCCACCAGCGGCCTTCGACCAATGCAGAGATGCGGATACATTCACCTCCTCCGGCCTAGTGGACGCCTACTTTCCTCCTCACCAGGACCCACTTATCACCAGTACTATTACCAGTCTACCCCATCACCCTCTGCAGCAAGCAATACCTCTGCCCAGCAACACTCGCCATACATCCGCAGACCATGACAGTAGTAACGCCAGAAACGCACTCTCTGCCGCGCAATCGCTTCGCACCGAACTCTCGCCTCCCCATCCTCATCTACCGCGACTGTTTGCCCCTTCCCATCACCGAAGCATCAGCCAAGTCCTTCCTCGAATCTCACGCCTGGCTGCACGGCGGCACCTGGGGTCACATCCCCCGTCGACACTTCCATCCTAACACGCATGAATGCTACGGTTTGTTCCCCCGCTCTTTGCTTCTCTCCATGAACCCTTGCCCCTGATATGGAGCGCTGTTGGACATGCGAGAGTGGCAAGCTATGTGCTATCCTGTTGTGGTTGCAAACGAGAGCAAAGCAAAGACTGACACAACGAATGACTCACCAGGCATATTCCAAGGAGAGTCGACCATGCTGGTGGGATGCGGACACAACGACGATGAAGCGGACGGTCTGAAGTTGGAGGTGCGCAAAGGCGATGTCATCGTCCTACCAGCGGGGACGGGGCACTGCAATCTGACGAGTACGCCGGACTACCGCTACGTTGGGGTATATCCTGAGGTGAGTGCTCTCTCGAGTTCACAAGAAAACATAGCGAGGATGGAGTATCTGGGCAGCGAGGAGATGGCGAGCGACAACCAAAGCATTACTGATGACCTGGACATAGGGAGCACCGAAATGGCGTAACGAGTTGGGCAAGGCTGAAGGGCCGGCTATCGAGGCATTGAGGAAGGAGGCCGAAACGGTGGCCATGCCGAAGGCGGATCCCGTTAATGGCGCAGATGGGCCGTTGCTGACGCTGTGGGCGAACGCGTGAACGATGCTATGTGGGTGGGATGAGGCTTCGATGTATACTTTTAAAAAGCTCGGCCGGCATTGGGTGCTTGCCACAGGCGCGCCGCTGCTCGGACAGCACGTATGTTCTTGGTAGGAAGAGCTTCTGTAGACCGTAAGGATGATGTTTGAATTGAAAAGTCTCGCAGGCTGCTGCGGCTTACTGTGTACAGTGATAGGCTCCCACGGCCCATGTCTCGCCTGTAAGGCTGCCTGGACTTCGGCCCAGCTTGTTGGAGTCGTTGCGGGGGCACAAGCCCAGGACGGTTCTACCCCGCGACGCTGACACAACGCCCGCAACGGCTTCCAACGAGTGGTCTCGACGAGTCCGGTCCAAAGACTCATGATGTGCTGACTCTGAGTATATAAGGATGGAGTCGGGGAGTACGCTTGTAGACTCACCCTCATCTCCATCGTCATTAAAACCGTCTAGCATTCGGTATTCAAAGCATGGCGTCCAGGCGTCTGCAGGGCAAGGTCAGCATCGTCACAGGCTCCTCCTCGGGCCTCGGCAGGGCCATCGCACTCGCTTACAGCCGAGAAGGCGCCCATGTTGTCTGTGCAGATCTATCCGCGGGCGCACGAGCTGTCATCGAGGCAGAGACAAGTGCCAACACGGACGACCTCATCCGCAAGCAAGGCGGCAGGGCCATCTTCGTACAGACCGACGTCACAAAGGCCGACAGCTGGGAGGTACTGGTCGCTGCCGCCGTGAAGGAGTTTGGCCGAATTGACGTGTATGCACGATGTTCCGGAGCGGGCCTCTCCTGTCAATACTAACGCCAACACCAGGCTCGTGAACAATGCCGGCATATCGTACGAGTCTAAGAACCCACCGCGGAAAATCCACGATACCCCCGAGGAGGCATGGGATATCAGCATGGCAGTCAACGGCAAGTCCGTCTGGCTGGGCTGCAAGTACGTGATCGGACAGATGCTCAAGCAGGAGCCGCATTCGAGCGGTGACCGTGGATGGGTCATCAACCTATCGTCAATCTACGGACTCGTGGGCAGCAGGATTGCGCGTGAGGTCCCCTAGTGTCCCAGAAAAAGGGAATTCACTGATGGGGAACAGCATCTTACGCCGCCTCGAAAGGCGCGGTAGCCAATTTGACGCGCAGCTTGGCCCTGGACTACGCCGCCGATCGCATACACGTAAATGCCATCAATCCGGGCTGTAAGTATCGGTGTCGCCTCTAAGATACCTTGGAACTAACGCGAGCAGTCATCCGGACAGGCATGTTCGCCGATACGATCAGCAACATAGCGACTCGAGATTCTATAGATGCGCTGCATCCTTTCGGTGGCACAGGGGTACCGGAGGATATTGCAGGTGCCGCGGTGTTTTTAGCTTCCGGAGACGCCTCGTGGGTGACGGGAGTCAATCTGCCTGTTGATGGAGGCTTCACGGCGCAGTGAACGAGACTGAGGCGACGCGCGTGGTAGAAAGACAACGTGTTCGAGTTGCTAGACCGCCACTGGGAGTAGAATACGAGATACGACTACATACAAACCCAACAAGTACATCCCGTGCGCAATGCGACCTTAGATGAGTCATCAAGGGACGATCTGCAAAAGTATTCTTGCTGCCTGTGCCCTGACCAGCATATCTGCATTGACCTATTTAAAGACCATCGTGATCACGACATCGGAGCAAAAGGCAAGGTCTACCTCGCTCACGCCCAAAGCAAATGGCGAGCCATATCCGCGCCACCTGGAAGGAAACGTCCGACTGGATCTTCACCACGGGTGACAACCACACCACGGCGGAGGCGGTCGAGTTCCACAATCTCGGCGCCCAGGACTACTATGTCGACATGAACACGGACCTCAACTACTTCGAGACCGGTATCGTCGCGCAATTCGGAACCCTGTCCTGCCTTTCGCTGTACATGCACAACAAGGACGGGAAGTTTGCAGGGTTTTCACGAACAGGTACGTTGACACCCCTGCCGTCGTTGTGGACGCTGACCATGACGCAGCAATCCGCGGAAATCGAGGATGGCTCGGCGGTATCTGTCTCGCGCCGGAGTTTCGAGGCCGCGGCGGAGGCTCACTGCTTTTCGAGGAGTACGTGAATCTGTTGAGGGAGAGGGCGTCTATAAAGACGCTGCAGTTCGAATGCATCGCGCAAAACACCCGTGCGTTGACGATGTATGGGAAGTTCGGCTGCGAGATCAAGGGAGACTTGATCACGTATACGACGGAGTTGCAGGACTTCGAGCCCGCTCCTGGGGGATTGACCATGACCACGAGCGACCGAATCGATTTGAGGTCGCCATGGCTGCAGCATACGACCAACTATCCCTGGCAGCGGGAGTTTAGTGTGCTGCTCGCTGGTCCACACGAGCAGTATAGGTTCACGCTGGACGGGGAAGTGGTGTTGGAGCTGGCTGTAGATGCGACACGGAATCCTGTCCGGATTGATGGCATAGCGTACCAGCAAAGACCGACGCCAGAAAGGCTGACAGAGGCCATACGAATGATGTCGAAGAGTCTGTCGAAGACAAAGTTCCGCGTCTCGAATGAACCATCGGATTCAGATGTCACGCCGCTTCTTGAAGCCGTCCTCAAGCGCGAAGAGCTGTACCAGAAGGCTTTGGTTCTGCGCATGGACCATAAATAATCCGGGATATCGGGGGGCATCGGTTTCGATCTTGCGTCAGCTAAGGCTCTGCCAGCGTCGTCTCGCTCGTTGCCTGCCACATCCCTCCCAATATGAATGGCTGGTCGCAAGTCTGTCAGACAACCTCCTCCCGACTCCGCACGCTGGTCCGCTACAACGACGAAGATGAGCGGCACGAGGAAACTGCTGCTCAGCGCCCCGTATGCGGATTTCACGAAGAGCTGCAGCGCCTGACGGCGACGCGCCGGCGTATGCGGAAGCCGATCTTGTGGGACGCGCAGACTAGCAGAGCGGTGATGATGGAGATGGCGCGGAAGGCGGTGACTTTCACGCCGCCGATGCAGGAGATGTAGCTAGAGTGAAGAATTCCGACGGTCAATTGGGAGAACTCTACCGGTGTTGAGATTATAAAAATGCTATGACCTGGCTAGTGTACACGGCGTACGTGTCTTGCCCTCGTATATGGCACAGCGACCCAGACGAAACAAGAACTTGAATTCGAGCTCATAGTCCACCTGCAAGAGCGCCGACGAAAAGGTTGGCAATGCAGCAGATTCCGGCAGCATGGCCACGAGGACTCCAGTGGTCGAGACAACTTGACTTTCTTCAGGTAGGTCTGCCTCATAGACTGGAGGGAAGGCAATGTCTGAGTGCTGAGTGGTTGCAGTACGTTTCGTCACGGTTGCTGATGCGGCGTGTTCAGTGCTGGAGGTTGGCGCCGTGAAAGCATGTTTCGAGATCCATTTCGTCTCCACTTCGCACCTGAGCCCGCCATCTTGAAGTAACGCTTTGACATCCGCAGAGGAGAGTCCAGTAACCGAGACTTGTAGCGGGACAGACACAGTGGAGCAGTTACGCCCATTCCGTAGCTGGCTGGGGCTCACAATGAGGCTGTCTGTGGGAAGCTGAACTTGCAAAGAAGATTGGGCTTTTGTAGATTTTCGGAAACTGGTCAAGCCAGCCTTAACGCCTGACATCCGTGGCCGACACTGTGTGGTGAGTGGTCCGCTAGGTTGCTGCTTGCTACTCCCGAGCTCAAGCAGCCTTGGTCGTGTATCAAGCTCGATAGCCGACCGCGAGCTGTGGACTAGTACACCGTGGCGGAAAAAGTCTGCCGACACCCAAATGTGCGTTTCACAGCGGCCTTCAACTGCATGCTGATCGCTCAGGGCGGTATGCTTCGTGATATAGGTAGTGCCATACATGTTTGTTGCAGGCAGTAGGGAGTTTGTCCGGGATGAAAGTCTTGATAGCGGCTTCTCAGCAGGTCTGCTAAAGGATATTGCCGCAGAGTACGCGCGTTGTTTGTCGCTGGCGGGTGCGTAGAGCGGCACGAACTGTGACCATGAGCATTCTTCGACAAGGTTCAACACCTACAACTATTAGTACTATTCCCCGAGCGGAGCATGCCCGTACGGACCTTTTGCACGGCCGTTCTCGTGCCGATTTGCGTCTTGACAGCAGTTTGCAACCTGATTCTGACGAATTCGAAAGGGCTATCTGCTGGATCATCTGGGATCTTCACTCTGACGTCAATTGTCGGCCCACTGCTGTGTTCTTGATATGCTGGTAGGCCGTCATGCCCGACCGGTAAACTGCTAACCGTGCGGAAAGAGACGTCCATGATGAAAGGGAATAGGTATTCCACGACCGGAGCTCGTTCTGTGCGGGTATTCGACGATATATGCTCTGTAGCAGGTGTGCGGTGATGAGGCGATAATGACCAGGGTTGTTGGTGCCTCAACATATAACCCCTGGCGGTAAAAGGATATCCCTGGATCCGACTCACGGTTATTCCCTTTGAGTTTGCGCGTTTTTCGGTATTTGCAACTGATACCGTGGTGTTATTGGCTCAATCAGAGCCTCACTGACGTTGACTCGTCGAACAACTTCCGTTGTGTCAGCCTCGTCCGCTATTTCTTTCCGAATCTGGCGCATAGAAGCGAAGCTAGTCTCTTGAGGGTATCTGTCGCCGACGGCTCCGGAAAAGTTGTCCGTGCGGTCGTTGACCATCTGGCGTTCTGTCGGACGATTATTATCAACCATTCCCGCCTGGCCAGCCCCACTGTGAAAGAAGATCCTGCCGAACCCGCAAGGTGGATGAGCCTGTCTCTACTTCCACATTCTCGAGCAGCTCCTGAACCAACCTACGGTCATCATTTCCCTCGAAGCAGGATCCGGCCAGATGGAGTGGCTGTATCATTAGCCTTTGTACTGCGCTAGGAGGACTTCCGAGAGCGATGCCGCAAATGTGTCGGCTGTGATGTTCTGACTCTTCGGCCGCGTTCCTCAAAGCTCTCAAGCGAGTACCTTGCGTTTGGGACCCTTCGGTGTCAGAAGGTCGATGGAGTATGAGCAGGATCTGGACGAAATGGTACAGCTGCAAGGCTCCAGCACTCATTGGAACGCTGAAAAACATCTTGTTCTGCTGACCCTGACGCGATTCCGTAATGTTTCTGGTCTCCACTGTGGCGTATGGATGGAAGGTGACCGGCAATCTCTTGTGCCAGACCTCGAGGAGATTGCGCAGTTCAGTCCAATGGCGGAGGTGGATACCTCCAATGGTTTGTGCTCCACGCTCAACAATAAAGTTGACTACTCGGTTTGCGATCCAGATCAATGTGCAGGCAATCACATCATCTCGTCCAGCATCAAAGATGGCGTCAAGCTGTAGTGATAACTGGCCAGCACCTTCTCCAGCTGGGTCCGTTGGTCTTCGTACAAGAGGTAGGCCAGCAGACACCCATAGGTCCAAGTCAATCGGATGCAGTCGTGTAGGTTTTCCGTTTGCATATGCTGAAAGGAGGTCTTCGAGGGCAAAGTTCCAGAAAGCAGCCCGACCTCCAGTACGCGAGGCAAACACGGACAGACTTGTGCTTGGCGAGACTCGCCTTCCCTGCACTAGAGACTGAAAGCCATTGAGGTGCTGAGAAACTCCGAGCGTCGAATCGTCAAAAGACTCGTACAGTGAGAAGACCGAGATTGCTGATAGCAGATCCTGAAGATCGCTGTCGGCTGACACGCCCCCGATGCTACTTCGCCTGCTTAATTGCCTCATCATAGCCTGCGGCCCTTCGGGAGAACCACCGGTCGTGGAAGAGGGAGGGCTCAAAAGGAAGGACGGGTCTCCTCCGTGGGAATATCGGCGAAGGAAGGTACGGAGGCACGAAATACCCCTGTCGTAGTAGCTTGCAGCCTTGTAGAACCACTCGTGTGCGCTGACACCTCGATATTTCGATGTGAGGATTGCAGCGTATCGAGAATGGTCAATGTGCGAGTTCATGCCGTACCGCGCCAATTGTTTCGATGCCACAGCTGCGAGAGCGGACTGTAGCATGGCATTTGTGGCAGCCTTGAGCGGGATAATGCGCGTAAAGTAGGCGTCGAAGTCGAACAGATCCATCCATGGGGCCATGAAATCCACAAAGAGCCTAATGAGAAGGGCCATTTCTTGCTTCCTTTCCGCGATGGCTTCGGCATTTTCTTGTCCGCTTGTGTATCCCTGGCTCGCGACTATGGGATCTGGTGCAGTAGGTGCAAGAGAATGATGATCCATGTTGTCCAGATCCAGGTCATCGACTTCGCTCAGGATCACAGGCACACCAGGAATGAATCCGCATGCATTGTTGCCGTTAGCATAGTAGGTCTCGATGTCAAGGTCGAAGAAGTCCGAGTTTGAGTAGTCGATGGAATCTGAAAGGGTCGTCTCAGAGTAAGCGACGGTGCTGGGCGCGACGATCTCGGCTACCCTAGCATGTTCCTGATACTCGGGAGTGGCACGCGCGTCACTGAGAGGTGTACCCGACGGGAATGTTTGCGCAAGGCCGGAGATGAGCGGAGCGACGTTGACAGAAGTGGAAGCAGGAGCCTGAAAGCCTGGAGAGGGCCGCCGCTGGTATGAGCCCAGAGACAATAGAGACGCACCGGGTTGATGATGGACTCCCAGTGGAGGGCTTCGTGATGGTAGAGATAGGCCGCTTCCTGGCCGAGAGTGGGCCCGATAGTCTGCATGTGGTGTAACGAGTGGCCCAGGTTCAGGCGACAAGGCGGACAAAGCAGGCGACTGTAGGCCAATGTTGTTGTGCTCATCGCGCTTCACGAACTTCTTGCGGACCTTCTCGCTTTCGTCGAGAAACTTACGAGCAGTCTTGTAACCAGGGCATTGCAGACCAGAGTCCGCGCATCGTTGACAACCAGTCAGGCGCTTGTCGCACTTGACTCTCTTCTGTCGACATGCCTGACATGGGCGTTCAGCGTACGCATTATCCATGCGGGGTTCCGGCGGAACAAAGAATCTGTAAGCGGGGTTATCGGGCTTCGTGGCAGACCCGAGCTCTCAGAGCATCATTTTAGGCAAGCTGTGAGCGACGCGCTTTGGATGGGCGTGTGGCTTGACAACACAGAGTAAGGTATATTCTGTTGATGGCAGGTGTCGAAAGGAGCGACAGTCCCAGATGTTACCAGCTGGGCCTGTGAAACGGGGCGGATTACTAACCTCGCCGTTCCATGCCTAAAACTCTGCAAGCGCCGCTGGTGCCTGCCCCTTCCGCGACTTCCGACCATTGCTCTGGCACTAGGGTCAACCAGGCAAAGCGTACTCAGTTTCAACGGCGGGGGAGGTAATGATGATACCGTTGTTGTCTTTTCGGATGCCATGCAACGGATCAGATTGCTCTACTGCGTGAATAAGCGCACCTCAGCGCGTGGTCTGCTTCATTCGGCCGTCCCCGACTCGCGCAACCCCAGTCTCGGCTACATTCCTGCAACCCCGCCACCTCGAGGGCCATCATGGCGTTGAGTGTACAACGAGTACGTAGACAGACGTCCCTCTGTGGACCATGCTTACTAGCTATAGCTGTTTCTGTACCCTGTCAAGTCGTTGCGACCGGTCGAGGTCAAGGCGGTGGAACTCACCAACGAGGGTCTTCGCTTCGACCGATCGTTTATCTTGGTCTACACCCCAACCGAGACGGCAACACCAGACCCGACTACTGGGCCACCGTTTGCTCAATTCTTGACCATCAAGCGAGTTTTTCGCCTTGCCCTGTTCCAGCCCGAGATTGATGACTCGTGGACAAACCTCACAATCCGTTGGACCGGTCCCCCATCGTCGGCATCTTCAATCGTTGTGCCACTGACGCCTTCGCCGATGTCGCTACTTGGTGCTCAGACATATCAGGTCAGTGTCTTCGGCACTACTGCTCTTGGTGTTGATGTTGGTGACGAAGTTGCGGCGTTCTTCTCAGGTCACCTTCAGGCAGACGTACGACTGCTATTCATTGGAGGGACTGGTAGGCGCGAGATTCCTGGAGCGGCCTATGTTGGAAAAGGGACAGATGCCCTGACTCTGGCGCTGGAAGAAGGTCTCCGACCTCAACGGATACGTTTCGCCGATGCAGCTCCTTTGCTGGTCACCTCCACCGCATCGGAGCACAATGCCCGGATGCGTTTGCCTCCAGCACATCGCAACGAAGACATCATCCAAAGGTTACGACCAAACATTCACATCGATGTTCAGGATTTGTTGCCAGCTTACGATGAAGACCGATGGGCCACTCTGATGGTATCTGCTGATGGCGGCGCGCATCCGGTCACCATCAAATGCATCTTCAACTGCGTGCGATGCCTGAGCCTTAATGCAGATCCCGACACAGGCAACATGATCCCGCGGCAACGACAGCTCTACGGATTGCTGGCAAGCGATCGGCGGGTGAATCCACGTTTCCCTCATAAGCCGGTTTTCGGCCAGTATGCCTTCGCTGGGCCCGCAGGAGCTATTCTGCGCATAGGCGATAAGGTACAGGTCACAGAGCGAAGCTCACCGGTCAAGTGAAGTGATGGGCTTTCGACTACATGTCATTCAAGCGCTTTATCTGAAAGAGATTACACAGAAGCTGTGTTTCATGAAAGTCAGACCTCGACCCGCCACAGGTTACTCAGCCTAGGCTTGGAGGCACTGGAAGTAGTAGGGATTCTGTTCCTTGCAAGAACCTGTTCGGCAGGCGGCCGGACCCGCGGAACCACTTTCACCGCACTGCTGCCAGATCGCTGCCTCACCAGAACTACCATTGGACTTGGGACGAGCAGAAGCAGTGGAAATAGTCACTGTGCGGGACTAGCTCCAGTGGTCGACAAAATTGACTACGCGAGCTTCGAATTGGCTATACTACCATGGATCGACAGAATCCCGGAGCATCATGCAATCTCACGATACCCTGCTCAGGATGTTCGAAGCTTGATAACCGATCTGATCTACCGCGAGAGCCCTACGCACCGTCACTGCAGCAAATCGTTCGACTACCGCTGCCGTGTAAATTTCGCTATCTCACCGCCAGCAACGATAACGACCAGCGCTCAGGCCAAGACCTTTTGCTTAGATAACACGGATTGATCGCCAAGTTTCAGCTGCCCTTTTATCACCGGTCGATTGCCGAATCTGCGCAAATTCTCTTTCGATGTTGACGCTTGCAATTGCGCGTATCACGTGGAGAACCTTCAACAGAGCTCTAGACCGGGCGACGTCCTTGGTACCCATCTCAGATCTGATGGACTATCGAATGTGCGCGATGGGATCTCGATAGAAAATCCCAGCACAAGGCTTGACATGCTGTATCGATCGCCCAGCACAACGCTCGACATCCACAAACATGCTGTATGCGATCGATCTGTGTGTTGCTGCATGAGAACGCCACTACACTGCGACGTGTATGCATCCAAGCGGTGCTGTTGGGAGTGGTCGACAGTCGCAATTCTGGTCTCTCCCTACGTTTGTCTGGCGGGGTGTCCCGTCTGCCAAAAGGGAGATGAGTCAGCGGAATAGCGCTGCGGAGACAACACGCAAATCTTCTTGTCCCAAGCTGTTCGAGAAGCAGCGCAAACTCCACTCTTTGCTGTACCCGATAATAGATCCAATCGGCGAATTTCGCTAGGAATGTGGTCTACGGCTGAGGGCAACTACACAAGGTTTGATTTTGACTTTCTCTCGCAACCACCATCACACATTCCTGAGCTGAGGGTGTGCAGCTGGGGTGGTGCAGAAGATGCTGCGCAGTTGCAACAATTTGTTCGACTGCTCAGACCAACCCAGCAACTCGTGCGGCTGGAAGATGCAAAGCACGTACGCTGCCGCCGGCGGGTTGAAGCCGCCTAGGGCGCAAGGCTAACCGCCAGATATTGTACATCAGATCCAGGTACCTTGCAGCCGTTGGGGCTTTTGCGGACGAGGGTTAGCCATGGGGCTGTCGCAACAGGGCTCGTGCAGCCACCACGCCAAAGCCATTTGGACCTGAAGCACTCGATCTCGTGCTAGAAAAGCTGTGGCTTCTGTTACGCCTCCTCGAAGGTTGGACCTGACCGGCTGGTTGGGACTGGAAAATGTGGCCAGAACAACGCCTCGAGCAAAATTGAGCGACCTATTTGCATTGTTGTCTTGTCATCTGCTAGGCATGGTTTGCCAAGGCTAGTTGCTTCTATGGAGAGCTGACTATTCCAAGCTGATGGTACCACCCCACGAGCAACGTCCAGGCCCTAGACCGATCCTTTGCGTGAGAACCTCGATTCCGGGATCGCTGGCTTCGGGCCCGAAATCGTGTGTGAGCTCGACCACGTTTTCTGTTATAAACCTCCTCGCCCTCCCCCCGGCCACAATTTATGTGTGTTCGTTTCTGCTGCCGCCACTCGCTCACACTCGCCGATACTCACGCCTTGCTCTTCACATAGCTGCATTAAGCAACCATCGTATCCGTTATTCGCTTGATACCTCAGCAAGACATCAACCGCTCGCTCTTCCCACGGCCTCCTTCTCACAATGCAATCCCAGATGCAATTCTTAGCCGAGTCTCTTTTTGACGAAGCAATCAAAGTCACCAGTTCCCGCTCCTCTCGCCGGCGCCGCCTTCAGGATGGGCCCAATAAGTTCCGCGAAACACTCTACTACCAACCTCGCCTGACACAAATCTATGAAGAGGACGACAGCGAATACGACTCCACCACATTCTCAACACCCGCCACATCCGCAGCCTCCTCGACCATCACACCCGAAGCCGCCAGCCAATCACCAATGGAATCTAGCGCGACCACGCGTCGCCTCTCATTCGACCCCCTCAGCGTCGCGAGGCGCCTCTCGAACACTTCCGCGATCGACAGGGAGACCACGCGACGCAGGTCGGCGAGCATCAAGGAGCTATCGCAAGCTCCGGAGCTAAAGCGGTCCACCAGCTTCCAACGGCTGGTGAGGAGGCTGACTAACTCGAAATCGAGGCGCATTGAGGCCCCGGTGGTGGAAGATCTCTTACCGGGCCGCCGGTATTGCCTGCGAAAGCGCCGAGTAGCAATTTTAAGCTCATGACGAGGGGGGGACTAGATGACGGTAATGGTGCTGAGGAAATGACGATCATGAGGCGTTGGGCATAACGGGGTTCATTCGAGGAGCTGGAAATGAAAGTCAGGAAAAGTCAGAGAATCCTGCGGTGTTCCTTCATAGCATAGCTTGCATGGCATAGCTTGTTGGAGCTGTATTTGTATATAAAATCCTATCATGGCACAGGTCCAGTCAGATCATGATCATTATTGGCCCGGAAATGCGGGGCTGTCGTCAACTCTCTGAATCTCCCCGTCACAAGGGCCAACCTCGACAATCATTGTTTTGTTCTCAAAAGTATACGTGCCGGCAGTCTCATTCTGCAGCACATACCGGTACTCGATTGTCTGAGGTGAGATGACCCAAGCGGGCACTATGGAGAGCGGCTCTGTTTCAGTCTTGTTGCCTGTACGCATCACCTGGATGGGTAGTTCAGGCATCAGGTCGCCACCGAACAGTGTGTTGTTGCCAACGATGTAAAGATTGTTGCCGAAGGCGGAACTGTAGTTGGCGACGAAGAGGACCTCCTTCATGCATCTAGGAGTGCCGACCTGGGGTGCACCAGCAGCAGCTGCGACTTGATAAGAGTAAGTGGCGTTGTATGAAGAAGCGGCGCAAGTTTCGGTGCTGTTGTTGGCTAATTCACTGCTGGCTCCCCATGATGGCGGGAACTGGCCATCACGACGCTCGGCCATGGTTATGAAAGCAGCAAATGACCAGGTGAGAGCAATGGCAGAGGTAGGCTCGCCTGTTGTCTTGTTGATCTGCTCGTTCAAAGTGCCGTTCTCGGGAGTGTATTTCTGAACGACCTCGACGAATCCATCGGCGTATTCCATGACAGCGTCAAGAATATTCTCCAGGTCGTCGCCATCGTAGCTGCCGACTGTGGCGTTGGGGTAGAGATCAGTGAAGAAGTCAAGTGAGGTCTCATCAACGGTCAGGGTCTCATTTTTGCGGAACTGCGCGATAGCGTCGTACAAGACCTCAGCAGCCGCAAGGGTCGTGATGTACCATGGGTTGCCAGTGTAGTACGTATCCTCAGGATATCGTCCGACTGCAACGGCGGTTGGCGCCGTGGCGTTCTCGTTGATGGGGTAGAGGTTGCGGAACGAGTCAATCACGACCTTGTGTGTTGCCAGTGTGCGGGAATTGCAGGGTTGAAGAGCAGCAGCATCACAAGTGGCGTTGATGTCGAAAGCGTGCATGGCGGCAAGAATGGGGTCGATGTTGACTTCGGACCGGGTGACTTGATTGGTGTTGATATTGGCTAGCAGGTAGTTGCCCGTTTCGTTCCAGAAGTTGTTCTGGAGAAAGCAGAGGATCTCAGGAGCCTGCTGGCAAGGCTCGCAGGTCTGATTGAGCTTTTCTGCGAGTATGGAGCCCTGCACCAAAGCGCGGTGCTGGGCAGTGGTCGTGAAGAACGAATTGCCATTCACTTCTTCCCAAAGATCATAGCTCGAGGTGTTCCAGTATTGCCCAACATAATTCAAATCGTTCAGGATTATGGGCCAGTACACGTTGGCAACGATCTCGGAGGCGTTGGGTGCGCGTACGAAGATGGCGTCGGTGGCCTCGATGAAAGCCGAGGCTCTGAGAGCAGGTCCATCGTTCTGCGGCCTGTGCGTGTCAGCTATGTCGTCGGCGTCGGAGAATTCTCTTACCTTCCCCAAGCGCCGTTGAATCTGGTCTTGTTGGTATAGAACTTGGGCTCCCCAAGACCAGCTCCAGCGGGCCACAATGAGCCAGACGGGTTGGTCACGGTTTGCAGAATGGCTTGGGCGGTGGTGTAGTCTTCGATGACTACCTGCAAGCTGTTGTTTCCAACTCTCTCGGTCCCGAAGAGTAGCTCATCCGTAATCATGAGATAAGTCAAGGCGCTATCTCGGGTCCAGGTGTAGAAGTAGTTTGGGTTCACCGTAGATGGAGACGCAACGACAATACCGGGGTTGGCTCCATCGACATCAGAGTCGTTGAGACCGCCAATGTTGCGCAGGACAGCTGGAAGAGACAGGTTTCGCTGACGCTCGATGAAGCTCTCGAGATCATTATTCTGGCGGACTCGGAGAAAGGGTGAGGCAGCGGCAATGCCGACCAGCGATAGTGCGAGTGCTTTCATCTTGTGACTAGATGGACTCGAGCGAAACGTGTATCAGTCAAGGTTGAGGGAGGACGAGGTTCTTGAAGGTGTGAGAGCTCCATGGCTAAGGCGTCTGTCATGGGGGAGACGGAGCACAATCGGCGAGTCATTCGCTGGAGATGTGACGAATATGGACATAGCGTGGCAAGAAAGTCCGATAGTTCATGGTACATGGTGGGAAGCATGGCAGCTGTACGTCTTGCTTGCAAAAAAAGGCGAACAAGCTGTAGCGTTGATGTCACTGATCGCTGCTTGCCGGTCTCGGCTGCGGAGGTAGATCGCGGGGGAAGGCGCTCAGGCGAATCGGGCCCTGGGGTTCGCCCGCCGCTGACGCCAACAAGCGGCATCCATCTTTTGGCGTCAGGCACCCGCTGCAATATTCGCTCGAATGTGAGGCGGCAACGTCCGGTCAGCTTACCCTTAGTGCTACGCTTCTGCTGAGTTGTTGCGAGATTCTCTAAGAGGTAGTGAGCTTGCTGCAACGACTGATTGGCCTGTGAGCGTCTACAGTGCAGAGGATATTTCTCCGAACGGGACCTGTTTCTTAGCCAAGCACCCTCGACGCAGTTGCTCCGCTGCGCAAACGAGCTCGACTGCCTCGGTCTCTGAAACTCAGGTCTTTTGTCTCACCGGTAGACTGAGCCAGCCACGAGGCTACATGTGAGTCAACAGGGGTCGACAAAATTGACGGGCGGGCTCCTAGGTTCCCCCCAGAAGGTCACAACACAGTGTCGACAAAATTAACGGGCGGGCTCCTGAGACTAAGAGTATAATATTATGTGAAACGATCTAATGTGAGTTCATGGAGGGCTCCCACTAATTTTATCGACACCTAAAAGTGCTCTGATGAAAGCCTGGAAGCCCGCCGGTCAATTTTGTCGACCCCAAGTGAGTCCAGAGTCCAGCCAGCCAACACTTCCACGTGGACAGAGGAGGGTGGGAGACTACGTGAGCCTCATCTTTACATTGTCTCTCGCCTTCCACAGAATTGGTTCGCTGCTAACTTCTACCAAAACTCGTGGTGGCCTTCAATCATGGCCAGGTATAAGTTGCTCTGAATACCCCTATCCCAGCAATGCGCGGCCGTGAGGTAGCCACATTATCTTGCAGGCATGAAAGCATGGCTGGTGTCCGGCATTCGAATGCCTAGAGATGTTGTGCTGGTGGGAATGCCGAATTGGTGCGGGTGGTCAGAGGATCCATTCGGCAGCTCCACGCTTGTGAACCGAATCAGATCAGGCTGAGCACCTGATATTTGTGACAACTGATCAGTTGCAATAGTAAGACTAGTACGGACCTCCCCGCGCCAGTGTTCGCGTTATTGGGACAACCATCGAAATCATGCGAATTACCCCGATTCCGCTCCAGATTGGGAACGGAATCGGCTCGGCATTTGGCGAACTGTGGGGGAGAAACAGCAATGTGAGGGGACGGTGCCACCGAATATAAGGATGATCGGCTTCCTGAACTTGTGGTCAGTCAGCACGGCACCACTGCCTCTGTTTTGCGTCGAAGTTCGATCAAGATGGAGACCTCGACGCAACAAAACCTGACCAGCGAGAAAGGCATCGTTATCCAAGAGGAGACGGTCCAAGCGCACAATGCCACGCTGGGAAAGATTCTCCAGGAGAACAAACCCAATCCTTGGGGCAAAGGATATCTCAGACTATACTGCATATGTCTGCTTGTCTACTTATGTTCCACCATGAACGGTGTGTTGAGCTGACAGCGGCCTAGCAGCAGCTAATCGAAGTCAGGTTACGATGGCTCCCTTATGGGTTCTATCAACGCCATGCCAGCATACGTCGACTACTACAATCTTCCTCCCGAAGGCAACAGCGGCACCGGCATCGTGTTTGCAATCTTCCAAGTAGGCCAAATGACTGGTGCACTCTTCACTTGGGCCGCAGATTGGCAAGGTAGACGCTGGCCCATGTTTATCGGTTGCCTCGGTGTCTGCGTCGGATCTATCGTCACGGCGACAGCCCCAACACTTGGAGGTTTCATTGGCGGGCGGTTCTTGTTGTCCTTCTTTTCAACCATCGCTACCGTTGCCGCGCCACTGTATCTGATCGAGCTTGCCCCTCCACAGTATCGAGGCACAGTTGCTGGAATGTACAACACTCTGTACTATCTCGGGTCGATCATTGCGACTTGTGCAGTCTATGGTTCGAATCTTCATCTCACAGGCAACATATCGTGGCGACTGTCTCTATGGCTGCAAATGATTTGTCCTGGAATCGTCGCCTGTGGAGTTTGGTTCTGCCCAGAGTCTCCCCGCTGGTAGGTACGCTATTAGCCCATGGCAAACGGCTAACCTCAACAGGCTCATCGGTAAGGATCGGCATGAAGAAGCCCGCGCCGTTCTGGCACAATTGCATGCCAATGGCGACACAAATCATCCACTTGTCGAACTCGAGATGAAAGAGATGGCAGAATCTTTACGCGCCGAGGGTCTCCTGACTTGGAGAACCTACTTTGATCTTCGCGTGCTAGTGAAGACTCGAGCTCGTCGCTATCGCCTGATGCTGAACATTGCCTTCAGCTGGTTTGGACAGTTCTCTGGCAATAAGTAAGTTCACACCTACATTCCCTGTACGCTTGCTGACCAAAAAAGTGTTGCTTCATATTGTAGGCCAGACAGCCGCATCGACTCAGACGTCCACTGACGTGCCCAGATCTCCCGTACCTGGTTGCCAATGTTGGCATCACCAATACGAATACCCAGCTACTCCTCAACATCATTTACGCCATCGGTGGGTGGATTCCTGCCATGATCGGTGCCCGCCTCCACGACGTTGTCGGCCGCCGCAAGATGATGATGGGTGTCACCATTGGAATGGCCGTTTGCCTCGCTATCGCAGCTGGAACGGCAGCAGGCTACGAGCAGACCGGCAGCAAGGCAACCTCCTCAGCTTCTATCGCTTTCATCTATGTCTTTGGGTCAGTATTTGCTTTGGCATTCACTTCCATGCAGCCGATCTACCCAGGAGAGGTTTTGTCGAACGACATGAGAGCCAAAGGCATGGGAGTGTTCCAGCTGACGTCCGGATGCGCCGGATTCGTAAACACTTTTGCGGCCCCCATCGCACTGCGCGATGTAAGTCTTTGACCAACACGAAGATATGAGCTAACCAGAGCAGATTCGATATTGGTTCTACGTCTTTTTTGTCTTCTGGGATCTGTTTGAGTTCGTGTTCATCTATTTCTTCTTTGTCGAGACCAAAGGCAGGACACTTGAGGAGCTCGATGAGATCTTCGAGGCAAAGAACCCGAGGAAGGCAAGCACAGAAAAGGCGACACTTACCAAACACGTCTATGTCGACGCGGAGAAGAACAAGCAGGTCATGTCTGTTGAGGTTGCTTGAGACTTTGGAGCGCGTGGCCAATATGGTCACTCGAATACGTCGATCATACATCACGACGATGGATCAATGTCTTCTGTTCACCCCTGGAATATCTCTAATCCCAACCAGTGTGCAATGCCTTTGTCATGCCTTGCGTGGCTTCAGAAGAGGGTTGAAGGGAGCAAAAGCGGAGCTCAGCTTGAGGGAGTCGCAGGGAAGAGCTGACAGCTGGCCCAAAGTCACACTACCAGCCAGAAGCGTTATGCACACGACACAACCCATGGACCGCCGCCCGTGTGTGATATACGACATGCAGGGGGTGGCTCAGTCAATACACAAGCCAGTCCGGGCCCTGTCAGGTACGGTGCCGTGAATAGCACCTCTGAACCTATCAGTCTGAGGAGGGCGCTGATTAATTCTGTTGACTCCTAAAGGTGGTTGACTGCAAGTCCGGGGAGCCCGCCTGTCAACTTTATCGGTTCTTTATCGTGACACTTATGGAGTCCCAGGAGCCTTCTCATTAGTTTTGTCAACCCCTGGTGGATCTTGTGAAGCCTCGGAGGTCTGTACGCCGCTGAGAAACCTCCCAACCAGCCCAAAGTAGTGGTATCAGCCGGCGAGGTACATTGCATCCACACCGGTCAACGTAGATGTCAAATTGCGTTCTTTACACGTCGCATGCACCGCCCTGTGAACCGTAGTCCAACGAGAAAGCCCCTATGAGATAATGATACCTTGCACAATACGCAGAGTCCTTCACTATCCTCAATCAACCATTTCAATGAGCCGTAGTGACTGCGATACAACTCGTCGACGTTCTCGTAGCCGCCCCAACGAGACATGAACGGCCTCGTGATATAAAGCTTAGTGGCAGTCCTGTACTAGCAGCGGTAGTATCTCAGTTGCCGTAAGGCTTGTAGCACGGCACCGGGAGCCGACAAAATTGACGGGAAGGCTCCTAGGTTGACTAGCTCACACAACGAAGCACCAGCCAAATTCAGGAGTGAGCTGCCTGAAGGTGCATCAGATAAGTTCTTAGTAGCTGAGAGTATTGGCTGGTGCCCTCCTCATACCCTCATCACGGGCTTCAAGGTGGCCGCAGCTGTAAGTTTCAGAAGCCTTCCCGTCAATTTTGTCGACCCCTAGTGAGGCTATACCGTACACGGTGGGGCCAAAGGCTGCGGGGAAGTAGCAGTGGTATCCGTACCTATGGAGAGAAGCCTTCGTTAACCAGAAGGAGTTGCCGGTGGAACAGTGTCTCCACTCACTCCGGTACAAATCCGGATGCGACTCCGGTCCCGGCTCTCTACTTCTGCAGCTTCCGTTCCTCTATCGGAGCCACTCCTTCATTCTTCCGTTTCAAGCACGATCCGTGCACGTACGAATTGAAGGCTCGCCAGTGACAGACCATGCCATGTTTGTGACGTTTGAAGCTGACGAGAATGGAAATGACGAATCGCAGCCAAGCAAGCGTCACAAGTCAACGCTTCGCGCTTGTCAGCCATGCAGGAGACGAAAAGTTCGCTGTGACGGCAAACAACCATGCGCATCTTGTCAATGGCAGCGGAAACCCGCCCGTTGCTCTTATGATGGCCACACCGCCTCAATAGCATCGTGAGTTTAGCCCTTGACTTCTTCTAATAGCTTATGGCCCAAGGTCGCGCGCAGAACCGCCCAAACGACGAAACCGAGATGTGATGCGAACACTATTCCCGGACGTACCTTCGGAGATTCTGGCCAATCGAACGCGTGAAGAGCTGATCCAAATGCTCTCTGGCTCGACCCAGGAGTCTGCTGGACTTGTGAAGGATGTGGAACCCGTCGAGGATGATAATCATGAACTTGACCAACTTCAGCCACTGCCACAAGACAATGTAACGTCTCGAGATGCGTCAGAGCGAGCTTGCTCTCCAGATGTCGAGGAGGCTGGCGTGACAGACGATGTCAACGCGCTGTCCATGTCAGTGAAGCACTCAACATCTTATCTCGGGATCTCCTCCGTCATTGCAGTCCTGCGAGTTATACACACTCTTGATCCTAGCTCTCGAACATCTGTAAAGGCGAGGCACGGACACGGGGCGACTGGAGACTCTGCGGGCAGTCACAAGGCTTCGAGCGAAAAGCACATCCCGCAGACACCCAGAGCACCATCGCTATGGGACGAAGTTCCTGCCATCAATGCTTACTTTGAGTTTGTCCAACCATTCCTCCCTCTTCTGGAAGAGAACACTTTCAGAGACACGTACCTCAGCAGAAGCCGACAGGATTCCCGATGGAGTTTTCTGCTCAACGCTGTCCTCTGCATGGGAAACGTTGTGCTCCACGACGCAAATGACCATACGCATGAAGTGTACTATCAACGGGTCAAGGGGTATTTGTCCGTGGACATGTTCGAATCAGCACATTTAGAGACGATCCAGGCCGTTGCCGTACTTACTGGGACGTATCTTCATTACATCCAGCAGCCCAATCTTGCAAACTTCTTGATGGGAGGCATCTCACGAATGGCAACCACACTTGGCCTGCATCGTGACTATTCAGAGGGACTCAAGTCTTCTCGGAGTAGTTCAGCCCTTGCATCCATTGAACTTCGTCGCCAGGTCTGGTGGTGTCTCCTGGTTATGGACTGCTGGAACTCAAACTATCTCGGCCGTCCGACCATGGGCCGGATTGGACCAGGCCATACAACTCGGATCCCAGAGAATCCAATCGTGAGCGAGCAATATCCTTTTCGGTCTGAAGTGCTGACTCGGAGTAGAGTGAATCTCAAGCCATCACGGATCTCTTGCAGGCGAACATTGGATACTGCAAGCTGAGCACTCGGTTCGAGAACTTGCTAGCCGAAAGGCCGATTCTGAATGCACGAGACCGACAGAACCTTGATACCGAGTTTGCGGAGTGGGTCATGAGATCTTGTGTGCAAATTGCGCCCCTGGGCGCTCAAGAAACGCCCGGAATTGTGGTCTCAAGAAACATCATGCGCTGGCGAGGCTTCACATCTCAAATATTCATTCATCGACCAGTATTTCTATGGTATGCAATGCGCAAGGTCTCGCCAGCCCGGGTTCCAGAAGACAAGCGAGTCTCCATAATCGCCTGTCGAAATTTCGCGAACCAGCTTATTCAGAACATTCAGTCCACGTGGCACAAACCGTGGCCTTGCCAGATGGCTGGGTGGTGTGCTACGTGGCAGCTCTACCAAGCAACCATGGTGCCACTTCTATCACTCTTTTGTGATTGTGCCGAGCCGGACGTTGTTCAAGATTCAATCAAGCATGTCGAGGTGGCACTCTCAGCCCTTACCGACCTAGAACGCTGGTCGCCCACAGCCAAAAGGTCTCATGAAGTGGTTTCGCGACTGTACGAAGCCGGTAGAGCGTTTCACGCACGTGAGCTGTCGAGGGCTGCGCCAGGACTAGAAGCCTCGAGTTTGGCATCCTTGGACACGCCGTCAACGCATGATTCAGTAACGATGTATGAAGGCTTCTTCGTGCACGATTTCATGACGGATATGGACTGGGACGAAGACCAAGCTAGAGCAATGGCTGGACCATGCGTTGAGCTGTCGTTCCTCGATTACTGGGACGTCGGTCAAGAGGCGAACCGAACCTTTGATTGACATGATTGGGAGCCTTGATGCCACGTCGAAGGCCGACGGTTCAAGCAGTTCGGATCGCCGAGGAGAGGCACCTCAATTGCAGCTTGCAAAAAAGCTACAAAGATGCTCCACGGTGCCGATGACTAAGGGTTTTTCGAGGCGGTCATTCGACCACCAGAGGCCAACAAAATCAACAGGAAGGCTGCTGGGTTGACTAAAAGCACAACATGGCATAAATTATGCGAGAACTGACTGAACAATTATACCCTTCTACCCATTGCCTTAGCGTCGATCCCTGGTCTCTTCATCATCAAGCTTCACCAGAAGTAGCCTCGAGGAGCCTTGTGACAAATGTCGCCCCCGCGGGACAAATCTTCCTAACGACGTGGTAAAAGCCGACAACCGAAACAGCGCAGATGGATGCAGATATGAACCCTTGTGCTCTGCACAAAAGCTTGGTGCTCCGGCTGGCAGTGCCGAGTCCGGCCAAATTGGCGTCATTCCGTCCTCGCCGGCCAATCAAGAAGGACATTTCGGGGGATAGACTTTGTGGAGGAGGCTTGAGCCGCCACTTAATCTGAAGCTTGCCTCGTCAATGACGGAAGACACAAGATTTTCTACCGCTGTCGACGCCTGCGTCCGAGGCGAGGAGGGCGTGATGAGTGTAAATAAGTGCAATTTGCTCCTTGAGCATTGTTCTTACGGTGTTTGTCGGCCTCCCACACCAGTATCATGACCTCAAACGAGAAGATCGAGCCAGCCATGGGCTCACGCTCCAGACTACCACACTGGCGTATCGTCACGAGCCAGACTGGAATGACTTCCACGGTTGAACAACATCATTACAAGGGTTCCGGGACCGAAAATGACCCGTACGTCGTGGACTATCTCTCAGACGACCCAAGAGATCCTATGAACTGGTCGCAGCCGAAGAAGTGGTTTATCACACTTACGGTAGCATTCGCCACGCTCGCCGTTGCATTTGTGTCCTCGGCCTATACTGGGAGCACCCGTCAAATCATCGAAGAGTTCGGCTGCAGTCAAGAAGTAGCCACTCTCGGCGTTGCACTCTTCGTGCTGGGTTTCGCAGTTGGCCCTTTGCTCTGGGCACCACTTTCCGAGCTCTACGGCCGACAAGTCCTTTTCTTTGGTACATATGCCGTCCTTACGGCTTTCAATGCAGGCGCTGCAGGAGCCTCGAATATTGGTGGACTCATCACGATGCGATTCTTTGCCGGCATGTTCGGTGCCTCGCCCTTGACCAATGCTGGTGGAGTCATCGCAGACATGTTCCCAGCCCAGCAACGTGGCTTGGGTATGTCTATCTTCGCCGCCGCTCCCTTCCTTGGGCCTGTTATTGGTCCCATCGTCGGAGGCTTTGTTGGTGAAACCGTCGGTTGGCGTTGGGTGGAGGGCGTCATGGCCATCTTCACTGGCGTCCTCTGGATCTTCGGCTCGCTGACCGTCCCCGAGACATACTCACCAGTTATTCTTCGACGACGCGCAGCAGCACTCAGCAAGAAAACTGGTAGAGTTCACATTTCCTTCATCGAGAACAGGCAAGGTCGGACAACGGTCAGGGAAGCTTTCAAAAAGGCCATGGCGCGACCATGGGTATTGCTCTTCATGGAGCCAATTGTTCTGTTGATAAGCATCTACATGGCCATCCTTTATGGAACTTTGTACATGCTATTCGGAGCTTTCCCGATCGTCTTCCAGCAAAACCGAGGCTGGTCTCAAGGCATTGGCGGTCTTGCCTTCCTCGGTGTCGCAATTGGCATGCTTATTGGAGTTGGCTACAGCATTATCGACAACAAACGATACTCACGGGTCGAGCGAGAGCACGGAGGCGAGGCACCTCCTGAAGCTCGGCTGCCCCCAGCTATGGCCGGAGCTGTGGCTTTGCCCATCGGCATGTTTTGGTTTGCGTGGACCAATTGTAAGTACATTCGAATGCTCTGGTGACGAAAACTAACTCAGTCGCAGATCCTTCCATCCACTGGATTGTGTCGATTATTGCGACCGCTCCCTTTGGATTCGGCATGGTTCTCGTTTTCCTGTCGTGTATGAACTATCTGATCGACTCCTACACCATCTACGCTGCTTCAGTCTTGGCCGCCAATTCTGTTCTGCGCTCGCTTTTCGGAGCTGCTTTTCCCCTGTTCACGAGCCAGATGTACGGCACTCTCGGCATCCATTGGGCGTCGACTATCCCCGCATTCCTCGCCCTGGTGTGCTTGCCCTTCCCATTCATCTTCTACAAGATGGGCGAGCGCATCCGTATGAGGTGCAAGTACGCCGCGCAGGCTCACAACATCATGCAGCAGATGAAAGAGCAGGCGCAAAAGGAAAGGGAGGAAGAAGAGAAGCAGCCAGAAGCTCTTCAGTCTGAAGAATGCGAGTCCGAAGCCAGTGATGCCAGCTCAGATACAGTGGATCAAACCCTGTCACGGACCACTACACACCGACGAAGTGAGAGCCGCGCGTCGCGGCAGGCTGAACTTGTCCGGACCCATTCCTACAGCACGCACTACTACCACTAGAAAGGCAGAGTCTTTGGTAAGGATGGTATGTACGTAAACATAGATGATCATTTAGCGTGGCGCAGGGGGTTCAATGGTATCTACAGTATAGCTTGCCCTTGCTGTAGTAGACTTGAAGCTGTCTTTCACTTCTGTACTCTATTATTTTCTCTGACAATGGCGAGAGAAAGTAACTGCTGCTTCGTGCAGCCTACGCGCTAGGGTCAAGGCTGATGTATAGAAGTCTCTCATGCTCGAAAAAGGCGACGGCATACGGAAGCTGGGGCTCGCACCGACAGTTGGGGAGTGAAGGCGGTCCTTGCCGAGCGCATGTGGCGGCGGACCGGTAGTCTTCCGAAGTCGTTCTACCGTAAGGTAATCAGAGGCTGGCCAACAAATGAAGCGGAGTGTGTTTTGGGAGGGAGGGATCCGTCCAAGGTAGTACGAGGAAGATTCAACATGTTGGAGATCTGCTTCGCACATATTGTTCTCCGACTTGAGGCTATGGTACAGGAGTGATGTTTCCGCCGCTGTCCTACTTCAACAGACTCCCACCTTCGCTCACGTGCACCCTGCCCGTCGCGTTGCGATCTTTCATGAAGTAAAGGTACGCCTCAGCAACATCTTCTGGCATCCCGATCTGCCCAGTCAACGTTTTCGGCCCCACACGATCCGCGACCAATTTTGCTTGCTCCTCCGATGGCATCTGGCCGCCGCCCCAGAGCTCAGTCATGACTGCACCAGGAGCAACGCAGTTGACGCGGATCGGGGCAAGGTTCACCGCCCCGGAGCGTACTAAGCCATCAAACATTCCGCCAATCATGATCATCAACGTCCAACCTGGTTGTGGTCGGTATGTACCCTCGCCGCTGGTAAAGGTCAGCGATGATGCTGGAGACTTGTTCAAGTAGGTCTCGGCGTGCTTCATCAGCATCAACGGTGCAAAGACACGCATGCGTTGCGCGTCGCAGACCATCTCGACAGTGAGGTCAGAGAATGCAGGATTAAACACGCCCGTGCCAGCGGTATATGCGATGTGGTCGAGCTTTTTGGTCTTGTTCTCGGTAGCGAAGTCTAACAGGGCGACGAGGTTGCCTTCCTGGCTCTGCAGGTTGGCAAGATCGCATGCTTTGCCAAGGATGCGGCCTTGTGCTTCCGGATAGGACGCCTCGAGCTCTCTCATCTTACTGTCGATTTTGTCTTGCTTAGATCCGGAGATGATGACCACAGCGCCTTGCTCGAGAGCGCCTTGAGCCACGCAAAATCCAATGCCGGAGGTACCTCCGAGGACCAACACACGCTGCCCTTGCAGCTTCCGAGAGTATCTGGAGAGCATGGGGGCGATCCAAGCATACAATGATTCGTGTTGCTATTCTGTATATGATTGCGGTCCAGGATTATGACTGAAAGAATGTAGAGCAACATCCTCGCTTGGTGGAACAGGACTTATATGCTGATCAGCTCGCCGCTCCGTGAACCCAAGTATCAGAAGTTTTGCGGACTGCCTTCACCAATGATGAATAAGAGCGACATCGATATCGAAACAGCATCGATTGGTAATCTATAACGAACACTTGGCAGTACCCAGATAGGAAGCTGAAACATGATGTGGGGCGGCGCTCGGAATTTGAGGTACCGGAAGCCGAATGCGTGAGACGAAGGCTTTGAAATACTGAACGAGTAGGCTGATGATGCCAGAATTAGATGAATCGGGCCCTCAAAATTCATGCTTAGGTCATGCGAAGGGTCCTACGACAAGTGATGACGGTGAGATCTGGGCCCCGAAGCCGTTTCGGGGGTCCGCGGACCTCCGGTACGCCCCAGTATGGCTCATGGTTGATTCGCCGCGAATTGCCCTCGAGGCAGAGCTACCGTCCGAAAAATGGACGACAAAAGCGTGCAGTGCCACGACTTTCGCTCCTGCCTTGCACACTCTCGCATCTCCTCCCGCCAGCGCCATGGGGATGCGAGGAGTCGCTGACGTCGTGCATGAGCTTTTACGTGGCCTATAGAAGAGCTATGCTGACCGGTAAACACCAAAAGGTCACACACCAGACACCTTCAACCTGGAATTTCTGCCAGGAACAGAGACTCCGTCGCCCATAAAGTGCCTCAGAGTACTGCGCCGCCGGTGTCCACACAATGCTTACCTGTGCCAACGGTGCAGGCCCCAATATGTTTGGGCCATTCCCTCCAAGAACCTTCCCTTACTTGCCTTTACGGGCACCCGCCATGCCCGTACCAAACACTTATACGTCTGACCATTGTCGCGTCTCGAGCCTCTTACTGCATCCTACAAGATACGAAATCGAGTTATTGGCAGAAGGAGATAGTCACTGTGCCAGCTTCGTTGGTCTTCTTAAAGACCATGTCTGCGAACTGCACACGCGTGGGCTTCTGGGTTAACTCTCTGAAGGAACCCCAGTCCGGCACCGGCGGAGCTTCTTGTTGTTGGCACGGCCAAGGTCTGTGGCTGAATCCGTTAGGAACGCCATGACTCGATCGCTAGCAAGGCAGCCGTTGATCGAGGAGATTGAGATTGACTGAAGCACGCAGGCGACAGCCAAGGATTTGATAAAGAACTCAGACCGAGCTCTAGATGTTCATAGGTTATGAAGGAGGGAAAGTCATGTACACGGCACACGCGCGAGTTGGAACACAATGGGTCCGCCAAGCCAAGGCTCGGCTTCAGCCTGGAAGATGTAGACCGCACCTCCACAGTATCTGACACACCAGCTTCTGCACTACATTCGTCAGCAACTAAATGGACCCTGTCCATGGAGCCTATCTACATCGATCACACGCTCAGTACGTCTAGAGTTTTGTCTCATGACGTTCGAGAGTCTGAAAACCTCATCTATGGCAGCGCATACGAGCCATTCCGCAAAGACCACATCCTTCCCCGTCGGACGCTTGTCTCTTGTTGAGATCAGCACGTTCCCAGATGTACGGGAAACTGTTCGCGTTTGCACGACATCGTTTTGAACGACGATTCGGATCTCTCGGAAAGGGCTAGCAAGACTGCTGAAAGAGCTGCGTGTGGCAAAAAAAGACTTTGCGTCTAACATGGTTCGGGAATCGGGCGTCCCACCGAAGAAATATGCGCCCCAGCCGCTAGGTGTGAGTTCAATAAGGCTGGATCCCCTGAGTATCTCGACTCATGCTGACAGCGGTCCAGATCGCCCATCCTGCTCAAAGGCTCGAGAGGTACCTTTTAAAGCCACCCGCCTGTCTTAATCCCCAGTACCGGCTCGGTGTGCATGTCTCTGGTCAGTGGCAAGCCATGCACGGACTTGGATCGCCTGTCGGGTGGCAACTATCGAGACGTTGCGCAATGGTAGCCGTCTGCCACCGCTCCGCCGACTACCGCCACCCCGCCGACTACCCAGCCTGATCAAGCCTCAGCAGGCACAGAGCGCGCGGATACCTTCATAAAATACCCACCATTGCTTGCCCGATGCATTGCGTGACCAAATGTACTTCAAGTGCCTCAACAACGCTGTAGTCTTGGAGCGCAGTCAACAGGTAGGGCCGAACACTAGCCATGGCCTGTCAGAAGGATGGAGAACTCCTGCATTCTGAAGATTTCAGGAATGGCAGTGAGAACAACGAACCTGTGTGAGCCATCTTCGAATAACCTGATGGAGACACGTGATAAGCTCATCTCAATTGACGTCGATCGCAGAACACGAAACCTTCGGAAATTGCGACATCGAGGGACGAGCAAACGTCCTCTGAGTACATCTGTAAACACCTGGGACCTGCTGGCAGAGCTACACGGGCTTATGTCGAACCTGTAGCCACGGAGACGAGCTCCTTCCCGGAGACAAACAATTGCGGATGCTCTGCAGCGGGTGACCATTGAGCAACTTCCGGAGATCATGCTGCCATCGTTTGGGGCGTACCTAGCTTATAGAGAACTCCCCAGAACAAAGCGTGTTTTGCTGATCGAGAACCTCGTATGCTCCTATTGCTGTAGTATGATTAGCTTCAACAATGATGACAGGCTCGCCTAGCCCAGTTTCGGGGTCATATCCGTGGTTTCGGCGGCATGGTCCATGTCTACGAAGGATGATGAATGGGGTTTTTAAGTGATCATACGGTGCGACGCTTGAGGCGCGTTGAATGCGGGGGCCTTCAGCAGCGAGGCAGCACCCAAGGCAGTACCTCACGGGCAAAAGTCTTGGCAGCCGGTCGCGCGTTGCGGATGATTCAAAACTTCCGCAGCCGCTCGATCTTTTCTGAACTCTTCACACACTGTCAAGAGTCTAGTTTTGCATTAGTCAAGACTAGCATAAACATCACCGTCGTCATGGTCAGACATAAACCTGACCGTTCCGACTGGTTTCCCGCCGTCTGTTCAAACAGCGGCTGCAACAACACAACAACGTTGCCCCCCCGCTTTGCAGGCAATTTTCCCAATTGTCGCAAGTGCGACTCTCCTCTGACGACAGAACGGTCGTTGATCCTGAAACAAGGATCCGCATCCAATCGTGGTGGCGGAGGCAAGGGCTCAAACACCCCAGGTGGCAAGTCTGGCGCCGGTGGTAACACCAACGCGTCTAGCAGTGCCCCTCCCAGCTCCAAGCGTAAGCGCAACGGCGAGGAGGAGGACACATCCCTGGGCGAGGAACAACCTATCAAAGCAGATGCTAAGAAGGTTAAATCCGAGTTCCCCGTAGATACCTACAGAGGGCAACATCACTGGTGCATGTTCCATCATATTCTTGGACATGCTTTCAAGGTCTGCGACTCAAACGATATCAAAGACTATGGCCAGGTTGATTACAGCCTCCATCTCGAGTGGGAAAGACTGGCATCATTCGATGAGGTATACTCTGTTTGGGTTGACCAGCTCCCTCTCCATCTGACAGGTGCCATGCATCATGCGGCCCTGTTCAACGGCGTTCTTCACGACTGGCGACAATTTGTCATCAGGAGAGATCTTCTCATGATTGAGATCGCCGCGATCATCGAAAGTGTCGTGGACGACAATGGCGACAAGAGCACTCACCTTAGCGTGGAGCTTTTGCACATTGCTACGCTTGCCTTTGCGCAGCAAGCCCATTTCGTGGCCAAGCTCGCAGCGTGGCTCAAGTCGTGGGTTGAGGTAGTCGATCACGCTCTCGCTCCGCTTATCCAAGCCGCGAAAGCTGACTCGTCGCCGCAGGCATTCCTTCACGAGCAAGAAGTCCCTCCACCACTGAACCCTTCCGTGATCATGGCGAAGGTCAATGCCTTAAAGGGATTGATCCAGGACTACGAGAAAGAGATCTTCTTGATCCGACTTGGTCTGTCCGAGACCATGAATCGCACGAGATATCTCGGCAACGCAAATGCTTTAAAGCTTTGCTGTTCGTTCATCTCCGATTGTCTCCTCATTACCGAAGACTTTAAGGAGAATGAGCCTACCATCCATCTTGTGCGTTTGCCAGAGCTGGATGGCATTGCCAAAGACATCACAAAGGCTGTCAATGACGACTTTCCTGGCCGCTTCAACGCGCCATCCTTCGACTTTCTTCCGCGGAAGTGAATGTCGTGCCTCTAGGGGTACACCTTTCTCAGTGAGGAAGTAGGCACGCGTAAGCGTGTCCAGCAGTACATGTGGACTTCATTTGAGGTTATGCCCAGACCACATGTACTCTGGCCCATCCACTGGCTCGTCGCACAGACCATCACTGGGGGGGCCGCAATTTGACATTATGCTGCCACTAGAGATGATCATCATCCACATCTCCTCCCTAGGAGAGAACTGACAACGACCAAATGCAAGCGAGACTTAAGCGAGCCTGACCATCGGCGCGACCTCGCACATGCCGTCTCACGGCCGACAAACTCCAACTGACTCCTGCGCGGAACCTCGGCACGCGAGCTACTAACTCCGACCGTACCTCCCCGCGGCCACAATATGGGTGGCATCAACATTGATCGTCGACGAAGGCAGAGCTTGTCCAGTGTGCCACAGCGCTATATCGAACGGTCGCACCAGACTGCGGATGAGTAACACCTCCTCGAGAATTTTGATTCGATCATGCAACCATTCTGCATAAAACCTTGCTCCGTAAGCTGAGCCACGACAACGTGCCTGCAGAGCTATCACAAAACCACCTACATGCCATAGCACCAGCACTGCACCCAATAAGCCGCGTATCGCCCTGTATGACGAGCAAGACACAATTAATGTCCGCCGTTTGCGAACCCATGACACACGACCGAAGGTTTATGTGGCCTTTCAAAATCACAGGGCGCGTGAGTTTTCGGATCCATTGATATGAGCACGTTGGAGACGGAGCAGCTCTGGATTACGAGATGGAGAAGTTGGCTACAACGGCAACACTACGTTGTCCGCATTACTGGTTTGAATCGTCTCTACCGTGATAGTGTTCAACCACATGCTGACTGTCAGCACACCACCGGTCTCTCCTTGATAGAATATCATATTGATGGCGTCGCTTTGGCCGACGGGTTTGTAAGACTCTTGACGGATCTTCGTTTGCTGCAGTGACCTCCTATTCGATTTGACGGAAAACGCTTTGGCCACACCATCTTGAAGCTTTGACATTGAAAATATACGATCACACCATGCTCTCGCATGGGTCGGAGTGACGCCCAGCTTTATTCTCCGGTCCTTCGTAGAGAACAGGCTTGAGACGGTAGACATTGTGGTTTCGACATCTTGAATCGCCGCACTTGCGATCGCGGCAACTGTAACAACGGACGCGGACGAAGGAACTGACGCAGCGGCGGAGGTTGGCGATGACGCCGACAGGGTGATGAACGCTCGAATGCCAGTGGAACGGTAGGGAGCACCTTGCTTTGTCGCAATCCGGCGAAGGTCAGCCAGAAAGAGTCTACCGCCACATGGCTAGTCATTCCGGACGCCGGCGTCACTGGTTTGCATCAATTTGCTCTTCTTTTGTGTTGATATCAGCGCCGTCGGCTGCGGTTGTCTCGTCGCGAAGCTTCTGCAGTAACAACGGATTTCCGATTGCGACGCGACTCTTACGGAGTTATCACGATTCTGGGAAACCGCGAAATTGAGCGTCGGTCGAACCTCGATCGTGGGTTATCGTAGCTCTTGCGATGGCATGGAAGCGCGGACAGGCACGCTGTCTTGGAACGTCTGTAGCTCTTTCGCTGGAGAATTTTGTACCAAGGGCAACCCCGCGGTTGTGACAATGTCGCCTCTTCGAAGGAACGATCGACTTGACGTGCGGAGGCACAGCTGTCTTCGCTGGGAGTGCTGTAAATCAACGGTACTGAGCAGGCACCACGAGGCTCCTTAGTGTCCAGAGCACTGTCTGGACAGCCGACACGGTCTGATCGCGTATGGGAGCGCACCTGGTGGTGGATTACACTATGGGCAGGCATGTCGAAGTTCAAGGTTGCGGAGACGAAGCATACCTTGAACAATGGAAAAAGCTCATACAGAATCTTTGTGAAAGGAGTAGAACAAAAGATGGGAATAGGTCTGTGCTGATTGTCAACGTACTGGAAACCGGATTTATCTTTGTAGCTGATGGCACCCGCATACTAAAACGCCACAATGCGACCTTGGTTCTCGCTCCGCGGCCTCGCTTGCGAAAAGGCACCGGCCTACACATAGCAGCGCGCATATGATCCGGCTGCTCTTGCAGCACTCCTGTAGTCGATGTCGTGGAATGACTACGTAGTGCGGTAGGCGGGAGTACGAAAGTTGGCGTTCGAAACATTCACGTCACAGTCTGTCCACTATCGGCAGAAGGACTTGGGGACTGCACAGTGTTGTGCTGAGGATTTGGGACCTTCTTGGCCTGCCCCAGCTTACTGGTAGCAGTGGATAGTCAACACCGCGAAGAGGTGAGATCCCATCGTCGACCAAGGGGTTTTGGCGGGCAACCCCCCCGTGAGGCTCTTGAACCTCACGTAAAGTGCTTTACAGCACCCTATGCCCTAGGTGGCCAGAAGCACACCCTTACCCCGAGTGTTCCTCGAGAGACACCGGGATGAGTTCATAAGCCTGTGCCAAGGGGCTTATGTCGTAGTCGTCGACATACTGCAACCCAAGTCTCTCCAGTTCTGGCGAATCTGGAAATACCGGCCAAGCAGTTGTCGCATCGTCGGGCAGCGACAGGAGGGCAACCAGCGTTCTTCGGACCGCCCAAAATCGGCTCTCGAAGCGTTTCTTGTCCGCAAATGTCCAAAATGCAACCTCTAAAAGAAGGACTTGGAATTTGCTGGAGACGAACAGCGCCTCCTTATGGACACGCTGCTCGAGCAGCTTAAGCAATTGCTCAAAGTACTTAGCTTGCTGCATAGCAGCCGCCATTTCGCCAGCTTGAGCTTGACCGAGAACAATGTTCCAGGAAGACTTAGCGATGTCACGAACGGTGCGTAAAAACCAATCGTGTCGCTACTCGAAATCCTTTGCGCCAGAGATATCGAATGTATCCAGGCGTGCCATTGCGGCCTTTGCATGCTGCTGCGCTCGAGCATCGACAGAGGCTAGCTCTGCTATCGCCATGCCTTGAAAGACGGCGACTTCATTTCTGAACGCTTTGGGATTGCTATTCAGAGTGTTGCTGATTCGTTCAGTCGCAGACGTGAACGCTTGATGTCTGGACAACGTCGCGGCGAGCTGTGTTGGCACTTGGACATCCCGCGGAGACGGAGTCTCGGCCATGAGCTTGAATAGTCGAGCATACAGCTCGGCGGCTAGGCGGTGCTTCTTCCACTCGGCTCGAGGGGTAGCCTCTGCTGCGAGCTCTTCGAGCTTCTCTGTTTCCGAGCGGATTGACTCCATCTCGTTCCAGCCTGTGGTTTCTAGAAGCACAGGTTCGAACAAGTCTCGAGCATGCTCGTACAAACGCATGGCCGCTTCCTCAGCTTGACTAGATTGACTTGCTGCGCCAACCAGAAGCATGACCTTTTCAGCCAGCCAAGAGGTGAGGAGCTTCAAGTGTCCTTCATCTCCCACGACTTGTGAAGCGCCACCTTGAACAGGCTGGCCTGGCTTGGCTGTGAATTTGTCTGTAAGACGAATTCCGCAAATGACTGCCGGTTGTGCTGGATTGAAGTCCAAATTGCTTGGGCGGGTTTTCAGCCACGAGGAGGGGTTGACTTCTAGGTCTTCCATGGCCTTGTCGGTGTCTTCGACACCCTCATCCACTGGCTTGGGATCGCTGTACACTTCAGCGTCGAGAAGCGTGCTATCACCCGTCTGGGCGTTCTGGGCGGGCTTAGAAGTCTTCGGCTTCTTCTCTCGTGCACGAGGGCCCGCTAGGAGCCGCTTCATGACCGGATCTCGGCCCTGTTGCTTCAACTGAGCCGCTAGGGCATGCAGCGGCAGCGCTGTGTAATTGGCGTCGACTCGGTCCGCGAACTGCGGTGGTTCGAGCCACGTTGGAAGCTCGGCGTCCCTAAAGACAACCGGCCAAAGCTGGTCCTTGGACCAAGTTTTTTTGGAGCCTTCGTTGGTCATACTGACTCGCGAAGGTATTTTGAACAATGTCATTGAAGAAAGAAATAATTGCGTTCGTCCAGAGAGTTGAACTGCAGCGCAGCAGAATGCCAAGCATTTAAGCCTTGGCCCAACCTAGCCTGCCGGCCTGCCCTGCCCTGCCCTCACGAAGTCGAACGCTGGCACTGATGTCTCGTTGGTGTCACCGGTGGCAATGGAGTGCAGTATGTTTGCTCACCAATGCCAATATTCCTAACGCAGCGTGTTATGCAAGACGCTTTCTCAATCTCCGAAAATCGATCGAACTTCCTCACCAAACGCGTTGTCCACGCCTGGCCTGCGCGCATGTTCTCTCCCAATTGAAGCACTCCGACTTCGGCTTTGCCACAGCTCCGTCCGAGGAGCAGATTTGCGATCACGATGTTCTCGAAGCACGGCCTGCGCCCTCGAGTATGCAACGATCACTGGTTCGTGTGATAATCCCGGGACGTTGGTCTCGACGGCCATTTCTTCGGCGCACTTGCTGAGCAGAATCTGTCATGCCAGGACTATGGACATGTTCAGCTCCTTGTCCATGGCCAGAAATGACTGAGGCGCGAGGATCGACCACGTCTGTGAGCATGAGTTTGTTTACTGCTCTATTCTCGAAACAATGAAAAAGAAACTGCGGATGAAGAGGTCAGTTTTGACTTTACAGGGGTATAGATCAGCAACGACACCTATTTTTGGAACCTCTCCCCACTTCTTGGGTCGTGTCCTGTTGTCTTGCTGCAGGCCAGGGCGCACTCGGCCGCCGGAATCGATCGCCCGTGTCGCACGAGTGTCACTCCCTGCATCTGCTATCAGCAACAGAACGAACGAAGTCGTGGGAACTAGACGCCGAAAGGTCCTGCGCCTCGCCTGAGACGATTCCGAGTTGCAGTTTCTCTTAGCCTGCGGAAATATCAAAACGCAGTGGATGGCCAACACCACGAAGAGGTGGAAACTGGTCGTTGACCGTTTGCGGGGCTGGCATTACTGCCGTTGTTGATCTCAGAATTGGAGAAGAACACTGTCAGCCGGTAAGCCTCATAGAGTCAGGTTGTCTACGACCCAAACCGGGTCAATTGAGCTGTATTTGTAGAGAGAAGATGCTGTGTTTATCTCATCATTGTTCGCTATCTCTAATGCCTTTGGATGATCCGTGATCAAATGGTGTGGGTATCCACGTTCCCTTAGCTGCCGCGCTGGTATTTGTCGACGAGGGCCTGGCGAATGTCGGCGTTATCATGACCTTGATCACAGGTGCCATTCGGAGGAGGACCACCCTTCAAGCATGGCTTACCATTTCTGAAAGAGGAACAAGTCGGCAAACAGTGCAGATATCGCATGCCATCTCCTTGCCAGCAGCCTGGGCGGACACATGGAGTGAGACTTCGTGGCTGAGAGCAGCGGGGGTTAGAATGATAACCACCGAGGTGGATCATGCCCTCTCCACCGTGTAGGCAATCCTGGTAGCGGAAATCCGGGCAGATGTGGAAGCGTCTTGCGGTCACGCAGGCGTTGGGGTTACCACAGTCTCGTCCAGCTTGGGCCTTGCCACAGAGACGATGCATTTTACTGCGGAAAATGCGAGAATTGATGTAGGGCTGGCGCTGCCTCATGTCCAAATCTTCGGCCTGTTCAATGGCGGCCACAACAGCATCCCACTCTTCTTTATATCTGGTGTTGGGGACATTTGGGTCCCAGACCGAGCCGTCATGGAGAGCATGATGATCTGACTGCAACAGCTCACCAGACGAGAGAGCTACATTGGGTGCGGGTATCCGCTTGATTACCGGCGGGCTTGGTTCTTCTCCACGAGCTGCTGCCATACTGAATGAAGCCCAGGCATTAACAGCTGTAGTAGAAGGAGTGGCACTTGACCGAACCAAGGTGAAAGCTGTGCTTGAAGTGGGCATGACGGGAGTGATGATGGGCGCGGTGGCGACGGTGCGAGGTAGCAGTCGGCCGGGAGGGTCGAGAAGTCGGGGAGGTGGCTCAACACCACGAGCACTGCCAGCACCATCGTTGACTGCCGGTATCGGCGTAGCAGCGACATCGACAGGACTGGGTTCTGGTATCAGATTGCCACCATCGCTTGTATTAGTAGGTGCCGGCATCAGCGTTTCAGGACTTTTGCACAGCACCCTGCCATCTTTCGAGGCCGGAGGTGGTGGTATCCGCCGCAGCTCGACGAGACGCTTGTTCACTCGTCTCGAGACTGCATGGCGAGTAGTTCGGTCTTGCTTGGCGAAAGGCTCGCACTTTAGATCGAGCTGCCTCATAATGGCTTTGTTGGTGTATGGAGCAAGATCTGTTTCAGCCACAAGGGCGCAGAGATATTCGGTGAGCTGGTCAGGGTCGAGGCAGTCTTCGACTTTGAAGCTAGACGTATTAGCAGTGGTAATTTACTGCGAGACAAGCTCAACATACAAGTTTTTGCTCGAAAATTCGGTAAAAGAGGTGGAGGAGGGCATGCCAGACACAGAATCCGTGAACTGGGCGAGCCCATTGGTGATGGCGTTGGGAGAGAACATGTTGGAATCGATGGTAGAGGACTGTAAATAGTCAAAACAGTGGATGAGGAATGGAAGATGGGAGATGGAAGAGAGGGCAAAAGTGTTGGGACTCAGCAGAGAATGTAGAGTAGGCACCGGGGAGCCCGTGGCTGCCTTCTCATCATCGGCCCGTTCTACGGCTGAACCGCCTTGGGCATGCGCGAACTCGGCGAAAACTGGTAGCTGCTATTGAGGTCGAATTACGGCTATGGGTGCTATATGGCTAACATTCTATAGCGCTCAAGCTTCTCGAAAGTCTCAGGTAGCGTCACGACTGGGTCCTCGGGCCCTGTGGTGGAGGTACGGTGGCTCCGTGGGCAGAACTGACGACGATGAAGCCCCCGCTACACGCATACCTGCAGCACCTCTGCTCAACGAGAAGATTTCTGCGATGTTCGTACCAACAATTGCTTCGCCGATGCCTGCGACCACTTGAGCTCAGTGTAAGTGCAGATGCTTCCCCTACGATCTCGAAAGAGGTGGGAGCAACGGGAAATGTTGTCTGCGCTTTCACGATAGGTAGAAGGAACCCGCTCCTCGCCGGCATTGGCCTGCCAAAGCTGATGTAGTTGGACCACATAAATTGTCAAGCAAATGGGCATGTGCAGCGCTGCTGTATGCCCAGGGACCCATGTCAATGGCGGCTCCTGAAAAGCCAGCTTTGCCGCTTCGGGTGCTGAATTTGGGGTACGGCAATCTCCGGCCTGGGATTGCCTGGATCGAGGCACAACCTTGACCTCCTGTATACTCCTGTGAAGCCACGCCTTGTAGCCAATAACGGAGTAGCCCAGGGTTCAGGGAGGTGGTAGTCTACGTGGAAACCGACAGGTGAAGACCCTACCCACAAATGAAGTAGAGTCCGACCGAGCGTCGTCTTGCTCCTTGGAGACCTGTACAATTGTGAGTTTTCTTCAAACGTGTCAATGGGTGCTGTGACCTAAACCTTCCCGGTAAAGGGGCTGTTCTCTGACTGCGAGACTGAATGGTTGGTCGACCAACTCTTTTCTTCCCTTTTCACGGACCCAACTTTGCAACTGCGCCCCGTGGGGGCGAGATGGCCGAGCCAACAGTTGAGCAAGCCGTAACGACTTATCCTCATGAAAATCGACAGGTCGACAGTCGAGGAACCCAGCAAGAGTGCGAAGAGTGTGTAAGCCAAATGTTGCTCTCGAGGGATTGCCTGCGCTCGGTGCGCTGAACGCAAACGTTATCGCCGAAGAAGGACAGACAAACGCAGGTAGGTGGTTGCTCACTGAAGAATACTGTACGGCCAGGGCCATGCAGGTAGGTGGCGATAAATTCGGCGTACTGGGTGACGATGGAGGCTGCGATTCTTGCCGTCCGCGCGGCAAGCACACACGGAGCTCTGAAGACTGCAGAAGGCGGAATAATGTACTGGGAGGAAGCTCCACGTGCTTGGGTGACACTTCGCTGAGACTGAATAAAGAGTCTTGCAGAGTTGAGCATGTGGCGGCAGAACTGGAGGCGAGTTGAAGGCGTGCCAAGTAAGGCAGATGGTGATCAGGGAGCTGCGGTCGTTGGTCTTCACTTGGGCTTAAGTCACCCTCAGGGACACAAGTTTCAGAAGTTGGACAATCCCTCGAAGTTCGACCACCTGGATCATCCGACTGCTTGATATTTCGCATCCTTGCCATCATCGTGCCACTATCGATCGTTGCCGGCATCCTACCTAGGACATCGTAGTATCCGGCATGTCGCCTCCGCAGCAACCGCGGCCCCCCAGAAGACGCACTCGCGCCCAGGCTTTCGCCGCAGGGTCTTCACGTCCCAGCGTTGCAGATGCATCCACCGAGATGCGGACTTCGCCTCCGAGGTCTCAGACACCGCTGTACACTCCACCGACAGGCACAGGCCTCGAGGACACGAAGCCCCCGCTTTGGTCGATCCAATACAGTGTCCTAGAGACGGAGGAGCCGACTACGCCAGGAAACACATCCAAGAGAAGACGCAAAGACAGGAAGAGAGCCATGGGTCAGAAATATCCCGAACATCCACACGACGACGACGATCTCGGTCTGCCGATTTTCCAAGACTCGTACATGACCAGAATCCTGCCCCAGATCGCAGCTCTCGGTGTCAAGCCAGATACACAACTTCAAACTCCTTTCGAGCGCGCACCGAACCATCCTGGACCATCCCCAACCGTGTCGGCATCAGACTATTCTCTGGAGACTGGAAGGGTGCAGGCTCATATTGTGCCACGAAAGTACGCGATGACACAAGCAAGATTTCGCGTCGTCTCCAAAGCAGGCACGCGTGTGTTTCTTCAGCCACAGCTCGGCTTTGGAATATCGTCGACGTACAAGCGGGTCTCTCAAGATGGTGTAGCTATCTCGGCAAAGGACGTTCAATACGACAACGATGTGCAGGGAATCGTGTTTGCAGACTGGATCGAGCCTAAACGCGAAGGCATGCTCAAGGAGCAAGACCGATTGACAAAGCTGTGGGCCAACAAGGTAAGGAGCTATCGAAAAGCCATGAGACGATGAAGTCTGGACTTGATCGACCGAGAATGGGAGGCTGGCAACAAACGCATTTTTCACCGACTGTACAGCTACAAGCCCCACCGGCAGATGCTGGAACATTTCGTCCAGATCCAAGACGCGCGCGAGGATCTGACACCTGAGCAAGGCGCCTGCCAGACGAGTACGAAGGGAGGCCTGCTACGCGCGTGGTCGAGTGGAACAACCTCAGCGAGGCCCAAAAACTATTCATCGATCGCATGGTGCCATGACTCCGGAGCAGGAGGTCGAGTTCCAACGCCTCGAAGAGTACGGCTTGGACCTAGAACACGAAACACCGGATACCCTCGTACGTGGGTTCCTCTTCGCTGAAAGACACGAGATTCGAGAGGCCATTGTACGATTCCGCCAACGCTTTAAATCGATCGAGATGCCCCGCGCCAAAGCATACGAGCAGGAGGAATGCATATTGGCAGCTCTTCGCATCCAAGAGCTCGTATCAAAATTAAGCAGCCAAGTTGAGGCAGCTCTCATGGAACTCCTTCCTGAGAAGCAAGTGGGCGGGCTCCTACCAGCAGACAAAACTCGTGTGGCAGAGGCTATAGCGCTGGACCGTGAGCAGGACGCAGCGGAACATGGAAACGACTACGGGCTCATCAAGGCTCGCATAGCCACGTGGATAGTCCGTGACATTGGTCTACCGGAAAGTACCCAGGAGTATAGGCTGATGCGCGAACTCAGTCGCGTTGATGAGGAACCCCAAGACCCCGCCAACTTTAACGTGCCATTCAACGTGTTGCTCGCCCTGAGGCGGAAGCGTGGCGAGGCAGAGCCAGAATCTGTCCATCGAAGTTTCCCTAGCAGTATGGTGGGGCGACCTACTACATGCGCGTTTGGAGATGTGTCTCGGCTCTCGATGCATGTCCTAGCCGAATGGCAGCCGAAAAGTCAAGAAGTCTATGATTATTTATTGGGCTACACGGAAGAACGGTATGGAGGCAGTCTGACTGGTGTGGAGGCCGGCGCAGCGCTTGACCGATGGCTGGCTGAACACCCATTCCCGAGAAACGTGGTGTGGGACAATGACGGCGTCGTGAATAGTGAAGAGGCCCAGAACGACACGACGGTCGGTGAAGATGCTGGAACACGCATCGTTAATGATGGCGACATTAATCCCGACCATAACAGTTTGAAGACTCGTGGAGTGCGGACTGGACACTTGGACGGCAACTTACGCCACATCGACTGAGAATTGCCTCCGGATATGGCTTCGGGTCAGGAGCAAAGCTTAGCGTGCGATGCGTTGCCGCAGGATTCGACAGTTCCGCAGCAACAAACTCAAGAGCCGAAAGACACGCTGACCAGATTTTAACTGTCGATAGTGCAAGCTTTTTCGTCCACCTGCGTCCGGCGGCGCAAATTTTAATGCGCTCGTAAGCCAACGGGCGAATCAACAATTTTCTACCATTACAAGCTAGTCCTTGTGTACGCATACCAGGCCAGAACGTCGAAAAGGGAAAACAATGACAAACCTATAGACTTAGGTAGTCCCAGAGAGTAGTGAGTGAAATCGAACAGCGTCGACGACGCTGTCTGGTTCGTCAAACTCAGGTCGTGGCTACTCAGCACGATACTTGAGACTGTCATAAAACAGGACGGACAACAACATGACCGTCGCGGACGCTGTCGTTCGAGTCGCTGCAAGAGGTGGACTTAGATTGTTACTTCATCAGAAGGAAAAGCATAATACCGTCCACAATGGAATAAATTATTGGCTTCCCCAAATTTCTACAACAGATCGAAGCCCTTTGATATCAATTATCAGGCAGTCGATACAACTCCTCCTCGATATTAGCCAGTGTGGATCTTTCCCTTGGTCCATTCCGCAACCCATACAGGTGCTGAAAACTCATAATCATGGGACGCCATGCGTCCGGATCAATTCTGTTTACGTGGTCGGCCAGTTTTATCTTGTCGTCGACATGTGTTTGCGTGACCTTGACCTCGATTGCGTAGGTAAAGCCTTTCGCCTCTCCGGACAGGTTATTCATCATCTCATAGTGACCCATGTACTCGGCTTCCATGTGCACTGGGCACTCTTGTATGCGGGCTGGTCGCACACTCTGTGACGCGACTGGCGTCAACCCCGCAGTCTGGAATTTGTCTTTATCATGGCGGTACCCCAATATGACCTTGACGTCCGGTACTGGATCTGAACCGGTGGTGCGTGCCAACGCGTTCACTTGTTTAATCATGTCGTCAGATGGAAGATTCAAAACGCACTGTTTGTCGCGGAGCAGATTGATCGTGGTCTGGGAGTTGCTCTCCAGGCCGAGCATGCATCTTTTCCCCAGCCAGAATGCCGATGATATGGGACCAATGTTGGTAGTGCCGTCCGAGTTTTGCGTGGTGACGAGGACGACGGGCGTCCCCCAGTAGAATATAGCGGGATCAATGCTAATGTGAGGCATCTTCACTAAAGAGTCCCGCTAACAGCAAGCTTGATTGAAGATGTTTCGAACTGGTAGGGTTTTAAGTTGTGAATCTGTTAGCACGCCGGCTTCAATATATAGGTACCGCTCCTGCCGAATATGCCACCTACAACATGGCTACGTCTAACGGAGGGAAAATAGCGCAGCCGCGGACTCGCAAGCTACCTCTTTCCGCTGCATGCTCATTGGCCAGTACTTCAGCAAAGTGGGCTACACTAGTTCGCCAAGCCCGCTTAACGGTGGCTTTTGTAGGGTAGACGCTTGCTCTCAAATCAGCCAATCACGCGCTCACGATCAGTGTTTTTATGTACGTCAGACACACCTCAGAACGTTGTATAATGTCTCCTTAATTTTGTCATGAGACGCTGGCCCTCAAACATAGCGGCACGCAGCTCGTGACATCTACTCACATGTCTCTATTCTTACCACACCTGGCAGAGCGTCCCGGTAGCGAAAGATTTCGCGCAGTAGCGTACTATGCTCCTGCGAAGCTGCTATGGGCCTCCGTCCAACGCTGGCAAGACTCTGGTTTGGGAACACTTGGTGCACTTCATTGAATGAGCAAGCAATTTGGCTATATGATTAGAGGTAGACTTCCATTGCTTCATTCTTGCGCAGTCAAGCGCCGAAAATCGGCGTCTTTCTTCGTCAACGTTGACCTCCTAAATGTGGGGTCCTCGATGTCAACACTCAACTCGGGCTACCTCTTCGCTCGGCTGCAGGGGATTTGTATTACTCTACGCGGCATAAGCTACACTATATCGCTCTTAGAAGGTCCTGCGTACGGCCCCCAGATCCCTGTCCAGTAATTTGATGCTTTCTGCCAACGCTGACCAATTCGTGAGCATAGAACCCTGGGCAGAGTACATGGTCGACCTCTCTAATCAGTCCAGTATCAAAGATGACTCGATAAGGTCGACTGGCGTGGTTCCTACTCTACATCCTGAGTTCTTGTAGTCATCACTTGGTCCGAAATTTGCCCTATTTTGTTGATCTGCTCCCGCCAGCGTCGTGCAACAAAACCAATCACTGCCGAAAATGTGGGCAGCAGTCAAGATTCTTTGCGGTAGTCTAATTGCTATTGAAGTAATTTGCGGCGATCGGCTTGCCGAGACTGATCTTCTTCCCGCACTCGTCCAGGCTGAAGCGCATACAATACCAAATGAGCAGAGGCTTACCTCCGGTGGCTGCTAATAGAGAAAGAAAGAATAGCTTGGGCAGAACTCGCTCGCTTGGATGCTTTAGAATCTTCACAAAACCCCATGAGCTGCGTAGAGACCTACGAAATAAAGTCAATCGAAGCTAGTCCACATGTGTTAGGGATTGACGATCGTTCTTAGGGGCCGGTCAGGGACTGTTCGCACGACTATGAACAGGGGGTTGATTCCCGTGGTAAGATAAGTATAAATGTACTGCTTATTGCTTGAAAGCCTCCACTCCGGGACAAGCCGTATCCACGCTCTTCGTTCAGGCTTATGGTCGACGCACAGCGCATCTAGGCTTATTTGCCATAGTCTGAATAGCCATCGCAGTCCACTTATTTCGGGCGACTAATCCTTTGTATAGTGCCTCGCAAAGAGGTCGTTCTGTAGCCACCAGTATTTGTTGAGAGCCCTTACGACCTTGAGCCTGGTCTCTAGGTCAAGGTTATCGAGTCCCATCACTATGTCCATCACCGCGTTCTGTACCCAGCCTAAGAGGAGACTGATCTCGCGGTAGCTGACCAACAGCTTCGGCTTATGAAGTCGCCATTTAAGTCCTGAATCGGTTGCCCCAGTGTGAGCTTTTGCTACACGGTCGAGATAGTCCCAAAATCTGCTTTCCGGCGTCCAATCTGTATTGTCGACCAGTTTGATCAGATATCTTTTCAAAAAGTCCTTGCGAAATTTGATATTTTCGTGAAAGCCGTCCAATTGTGACACACTGACAGATTGCTGATCCGAAGTCTGAGCACGCGCAAAAGGGGCAGCTGTAATATCATACTCGAGGAGGTGGTCGTAAACCGAGTCAACAATTACGTCCAGGATGGGAGCGAGTACAGGTTTGGTACTGTTGAGCAAGGGTCCATCTGTGGCTGGTTCGAAGAGGAGGAAGGACTGAAGATAAGAGACACGCGCGGGGATGTCGTGGTTGATTTGTTGTGAGTCGATGTGCTGCATCTTGTCTGTTAATCGGCAACAACGCGATAAGAGAAAGCTCACCACTTGGCTATTAGGGAGCAGTGTTGTAAAAGATATTTCAGCTTGCAAAGAGCCGAATTTATACCTGGTCAGTGTTCTATCGAAATGTGGCTAATGACGATCCGGCAAACCTCTGCGCAATCACTAAATGCATAACGCATGAACATGATTGGATACATCAACCACAACGTGCGCTCAAACCGGGAGCAGATTCTAAGAATTGGTTGGCCTGATATTGTGGTTCACCGGCCTAAGGGTCGGCTGACAGTCGGCGGCTTTCAATTCCCTGCGATGCATGGTCAATGCCCTCGAGCAGTGTTTGGGGCATACGAGGCAATCCCGACAGAAGTCTTCGAGGCTGAAAGTTGATGTGTGGGCTTTGGACCTATACTGCAGCACGCGAACGGCAATTGTGGCAGCACGACACACGCTCTTTAAAGCATAGAAACGTGCTTGGCAATTGATTTAGGCCATCCTGATTCGACAGAGGAAAGTTAAGTGGAGAAAATTTAGGTAGCTGCTCGAGCCTCGCCGCGAAGTCGCACTCACGGGTGGACAACTTAAGGTCTCAATTGAAGTTGGAAGGCCCAGGGTTTGACTTAGATGCACGCAGAGAGAAGGCAAAAGAGATCCTCAAAAAGGTTCGAGAGTCTGTCGCGCTGTTCCATCGAACAACACGGAAAGAACGTTGGAATACAAGGAAGAAGGTGTGTAGAATGGAAGGAGCTTAAGGCTCGGGATCGGGACGGTGGATAGTATTTCCCGCCGTGTTTTCGCGTAAGCCGGCCAGCTAGATCATGCTCTTACTTCGCGATATGAATCGCTCCAAGGATATCGGGCATCACCCCCCCCACGCTGGGATTGAAATTGACCGAAAGAGCAACGTGCTGTTCGAATTACTGGCCATACTTCTTGTCGGCGCCGAGCATCGCAGTCGATACGGCACCTTTGGCACCTGATGAGTTGGTCGCTGAGCAGCCGGCAAGGTCTTCAACTTGGCTTAAAGCGTCGGAAATGGGACGGTTCGTATCTGCACCCAGTCCACAATCCTGTATAGTGCCGTATGGCCTGGGGAGGGCTTCAGATCGGATGTGAAGTTGTAAAGATCAATATCAGTGCCGCATAAGACAGAATCGTCCAACATAATCACGGCAGCTTCTCATTCACTGAGACGCCGTGAGAACTAGCGGCCCAACCCTAACCCAAGCCATCCTTGATATGCAGACTCGTCGCCCGTTTTCCGAGCCTGTGATGATCACGTACGGGTTGCCAATTCCAAAACGAGGTCCATGCAAGCGATGACCGGTACAACGACCAAGCATATTATAAGTATCAGGTTCTGCTTCGCTCTTCGAAGTCGATGGGCATCGGTCACCATTAGTTTGGGTCCAAACTCTGTAGCAAAATTGCCATGGGGAAATTTCTGGGCGGGAACTGGTCGTTTGAGGAACCGGCATAGCGGAGCCCTGGTACATATCAGCGGAAAACACAGTGTATCTTGCGCATCAGGCTTACCAGCCATCGCTAGGTTTCCATCGAAGAAATGGCCGTTGCTGGGATGCGAGCAAAGCCTCCAGAGTCGCATAATGCGTCAGATAGCTGTCCGCAGCGTATCGCTCGAAATCGTGTTTGTACCAGCGCGGCCAGCACATATTCGTTAGGCGGATAGCCCAAAAAAGCTCACTCTGAAAGAAACGCATGAACTGATACCGCGTGCTATCGATAATTGGCAGCACCGACTGGCGAAAACTTGTCTTCCAGGCCTCGACATCCTCGCGATAATTCAAGACGACTTGAGCCTCGGGGTAGGCTTGCAAGAGCTCCTGAGCAAACCACACTGTGGGTACGTCGGTGGTGGCGGCACGGTCGCCCAGCACTCGGTCAAAATCGTCGCGCGTAAGTGGAGAGACGGACTCGTGCCCTGCCGATCGAAATTTGGCCTGCGCCATGCTTGTCCAGGTAATGCTATCGTGGACTCTATCCAACCACCATTCGAACCCGTGCGCGACGCCATCATAACCGAGGAGTATCAATGCTGCCTGCAGTGATTCTGTGCCAGAACGGGAAATACCAAGGCACAGGACCTGCATAGGGCGGTCGCGCCGACGGTTGGGTTCTGGAAGCGGATATAGAATTTTCAAGAAAGTGTCCATGTTTCCCCGAACTAGAAGGTGGCAAGTGAAGAGTTGAGATGCGAGATTTGTGGCACTCTAATGCACTATTTGAGCATATCCCGTGGCTCAGGCCTCCTATCGCGGTGTCCGAGAGAGCGTAGACTGCATATTCCAAAATTATTTCATACCCTTACAGACGCGCGATTTCACAAAACGTAATGTAACATAAATCTGAAACCAAATCTACCAGCACCTCCACCCTGTAACTTCACACTATGTCCATGTGAAAACTTGCCATCTTGAGCCTAAGAACGTGTCTTAGGGTGCCCAAGAGGATGCTCAAGAGAATATCTAGAAGTAGACTGGTTTTGAATTTATATCACATTACAAATTGTTTCATTAAGCAAACGTCTCTATACGGGTAAAATTACGGAATATGCAATTTGCTCTCTCTCGGACACCGCACCTATCTCGCGCCGGACCTACAATACAGAAGACCGAAAGCTTTCTTTGACTAGCTGTTTCGTACGAGTGCCATGTTCATCCCTTTTCTGCTTAGATAGCTGTGGCGAGTGTGATTGAAATGAGTTTAGGAAAGACAATAACCGCCGAGTGAGCTCCAAGTCACCCTATTTCAACAGCGAATTGATTCGACCATCTCTATCGCATCCTTATTGGGACAGTTCCTGATGGCTAATTCACCTCATCCCGTACCCCATCTAGTCAAACACTGTATAATCTAGTGATACCCTGTATACGCTAGGCGTGTAAAACCACTGGCTTTTCACTGCGACGTTGCGATGGATAGCTCAAGATTGCCTGGGGTTGATTACGTTCTCGGGACCAACTTGAAAGGCGTCCCAATGCTCCATGATTCGCTACGCTGAATCTGTAGCTGTCCGTCATCGCTGTGAGCCGGAGCTCAGGCCATCAACCCGTGGAGTGGGCGAATGCTACGTCCTGGGCGAGGGTCGTGTGTACATCTTGAGTCTTTGACTGTGGGAAGATCCTTGTAGATACTCGATCGGTCTTGCCGGGCCTTGATCAACCGACGGGATGTCCTGAGTGTAGTCATTGGAACCTTGCGGAATTCTCTCAATAATATTGGGTCCCAAGGTTACCCCGAAAGTAAGAGAGCATCTTCGATCAGTGTGGCACAATATATCATTTTATTATCGTTTTGTACGAGCTTTTCCTTTCTGGACAGGAGCCGAATCGATTAATGTCTGTCGGTAGCTGCGAAACGTCGAAGTAGATGCAGTCCGGAGCTACAGAGTCAACCGGGAAGGATGTGTGCAGGTACGCGTAGATGACACGATAAGAAAGCCCCTATGGAGACGGTGCCTTCTCTCGACCTCGTCACATGCGTCGTGCTAGAGTTTGTTTCGCTCCCAGGCCTTGTAACGCGGAACAACGCGCAACTATTTCCGCGATATGAGTTCCGACCTATGTTGGAGAGAAGGCTGCTAAGACTAGTCTTACATGGTGCGCGTTGCATACTTCCTCCCGCAGCCAGCCAAATCTCTAGATAACGCCTCGGGCTAGATGGTAATATCGATCTCAGCCGTCAACTCAACTCAAACGTAACCGGACGAGCGGCGAATCGCCGCCCTGCCGAGATGCATACTCGTGTCAGCTTTGCTTCCGCTGCGGTAGCATTGCTTGCTTATCTCGTCTATCAATGGTACCCGGGAGTCACTTCTATTGATGCAAAGATACCAGGCCTGTGGCAGACCCGTGTCAGCCGTTCCTGGTATTTCAACGAGGTTAGCAAGGGGGATTTTCATCATGCGAAGGTTGCTCTACACAAAAGGTACGGCCCAATCGTTCGTGGGGCACCTGCTCACTATTATGCAGGCAGCCGTGCATAAAATGCAGATCCCTAAGAAAGCTGCTGACCGTCGGTGAACTCGCGTCAAGACAGGAATCAAGTACCGGGATCTCGTGACTGTGCTGTATTTGACTAGCGAGGGGTAAACCAAACAGGCCGCGGAGATGAGCTGGGAATATTTCGTTCTGAGCGGATTTCGATGCCGCCGAGTAGCAACAAGCAAGTTGCATTCGAATGCAGTCGAACTCGTCCAGATGTGATTGGCCAGATGGGTAGCAACAAATACAGTTTAGAGTTCGGTGATGGCGCGACACTAACAGGGCTTAAATCATCGTGCAGCGGAGGAGCTGTTGTGTTCGAGATTCCCGGTGACTTGGCCCGGCTCACAGCATGATCTGGGCCGCTGCCGTCGAATATGTTCCGCTCCTTGGTTCGAGTGTTCGACTTCTTGTCGTCATCACAATCTTACCGTGCGCCCGTTAAACAGTGCAGGTATTTGGGCGTCCAAGTGTTCAAGCTAGATACCTTCAAGATCACATTCCAAGCAAAAGGAAAATGGCGTCCAGTGAAAAAGGATGGTCGCTGGTGGCTGCAGAGAAGCGTTTCGCAATCCTACAGTCACTTCCAGCTGAATGGAAAGTCGTGTTGGAAGATCGCTCCAGCTTGAAAGATGTTACAGGGCCGTATATCGAGAAGTTTCTCGATGTCGAAGAAATACTCATCACAAACTCAGATGCGGTCACGATTTTAGAGAATGTGGCGAACGCGACATGGACTGCGCGACAAGTCACGAAAGCGTTTTGTCACCGAGCCGCGCTGGCTCATCAAATGGTATGCACTGCACCTCAGCGCAAGTCTGGATTAACAATGATAGACAAACTGTCTCCATGAGATGTGCTGGGAAAGTGCTATGGCCGAAGCAGAAAGGCTCGATAACTATTTCGAACGCCACAAGACGACAGTAGGTCCGTTGCACGGGCTTCCAATCAGCATGAAAGATCAGTTTCATATCAAAGGAACTGAGTCCACACTAGGCTACGTTGGCTGGATCGGCACATTCGAAGGAAAGCGTCAGACGGAAACGAGTCAATCCTTCGAAAGTTTTATTGTGCAGATCTTAAGAAGCTATGGGGCAATTTTCTTTTGCAAAACAAGTGTTACCCAGGCATTAATGTCAGGCGAAACGGCAAACAATATCATCGGCTATACGTTCAACCCGAAGAACCGGAATCTGAGCGCTGGCGGTAGTTCCGGCGGAGAAGGAGCGCTAATGGCACTTCGAGGTAGTCCTGTCGGCTTTGGCAGTGATATCGGAGGCTCAATTCGTGTGCCTGCCGCGTTCAATGGTTTGTATGGGATCCGGCCTTCGGTTGGTCGGCTTCCCTATCGTGGTGTGCCGATAAGTATGGATGGGCAAGAATCTATTCCGTGCGTTATTGGTCCAATGGCGACAACCATACGATCGCTCAAGTTGATGTTCCAGACCGTGTTACGGAGTGAACCTTGGTCTGGCGATCCAATGGTGCTGGAACTCCCATGGCGTCAGCAGCACGAGCACCAGACATGGGCAGCATGCCACAGCCAGAGTTCTGCCTCGAATCTCACAATCGGCATCTTTCGCCATGACGGCGTAGTCGGTGTGGACCCCCCGGTACAACGTGCACTGGATATGATGGAAAGTGCTCTCCGTCGCGAAGGACATAACGTAGGCGCAGTCCATCTTAGTTTTTATCTGCCATGGGATTCAAGACTGACATCCAGAAGATTATTAAATGGGAACCACCAGCACATGAAGATGCGTGGGACATTGCAGCAAGTTCTTTGCCCTTGAAAGGTATCCGCCCAGCTAATCTTGGATAGTACGAGACTTGGATGTTCGATGGCGGCCAGGATATCCATCATAATCTTGGTATATCCGGCGAGCCCATTGTTCCGCAACTAGAAATGGCCTTTGGTTCGACCCCTGGAACGCAGAAGAATGCCTCTGAGATTGCGGCTATCAATGTGAAGCTGCGAGAATATAGGACACGATACTTTGATTACTGGAACAGCACTTCCAATCTAAGTCCTAGCGGTCGACCGGCCGACGCTTTTATCTCTGCCATTGCTCCATTTGCGGCACCACTGCCGCAGCAGTACACACACAACGCGTATTCAACAACAATCAACGTGCTGGATTACACCGCGACAGTGCTGCCTGTAACAACCGTCGATCAAGAAATTGATGTGATCGATACTCAGTACCAGCCACTGACTAAAAAGGATCGGTTACGCCACGAGAATTGTGAGTCCACCCCATTTCACACAAACGACTGGCATACTCACTTTGGACGGGATTAGATGACCCAGAGCTTTACCATGGCGCTCATGTTGGTCTACAGATTGTGACACAGAGGCTACAGGAGGAAAAAGCTGTAGTCTTGACGGAATACCTGGACAGCCTATTGAAAGGTGATTATTCTACAGCGATGGGTGACCAGGCGGCGTAGACCATTATATTGAACGCGGCCATAGCGCGGTAACATATGGGTCGCAAATATAAGCAAGCAATAATATGGAGCTGGCATCGTTCGCAACAATTAGTTACGTAGGGCTAGCTACGGAGATGTTGAAGTTGTCGGTATTATCCGGTGTATTTGGTGCTCCAAATATTGCTCACAATGGGCAGGCTGGCGTTATAGTTCATGATGGAGTAACTCTGGGCCGGTGGATAGGCAGCAACTATGGGGGCTTATATAATTACCGCAACGCACTACGCACGTGGCATAAATACTACCCCGCGATGCCCGGGTCCTCTAGCCGAATCAGGTCATGAGTGAGCTTACATCGCACTCGCTATGAGACCGTTTCTGTTGCGCCAACTTATGTGTGCTCATCTCGAAGAAGGGTAACCCTCAGAGCTCACGTCATTTCTTGTTATGGTTTGCACGGAAGTCCTTGAGGACTAGGAGCTATGGCAAGCATTAACAAAGAGAGGTTGGGAGCCGCGCAGTGCAAGGGTAGTTGTTGGTGTAACAGGTTGATTTTACGGCAAGAAGATGGAATGAGACTGCGATACTATTGCACTATGGTAGCGGCGAGGTCCATCTGGCATGTTCGAAGTGCGACTGTATGTGCCTTGCTAAGGGCCTCTTAAAATTGCTTCGGTCTAAACAGCGTTTAGTATCAGCATGTGCTGTTGGATCCTTAAATCCATAAAATAATAGACAGCTAGCCATTATAATCTAAGACCGCCATGCCTGCTACATGTATCCTTCTAGCCACCAGGCAACTAGGGCAGGATATCCGTAAACAAGACTCCCAGTCTCGCCCGTAACCCTCCCCAAGCTACAAAGTGATAGTAACTTTTCAACTACTAACGTGGAGGCTTGCGTCCACACACAACCGTGCTATAACCGTGAGTAGCCTGGTCTATTAGCGCCGAACAACTCACCATTCTTGATAGGCGTGAATGCTTTTATCTGCCAATGCCCGCCGCATCTCGACCAGGTATACCTCGACCTCAGCTCTATCCCACTGGAAAGCGAAAGTTCTCAGTACTTATGAGTCACGATGCAAGGAGGTTGACTTACTCCAAGAACGGTGGTCAACAGCATCATCGACCAACCTTCGATACCTTCTTCGCACTGCAGACGATTGTAGATCCCCAGTTCTTTCATCCGCTTATCTTTTGCCCATGGACCGATTGGAATTTTGAACCTCTTCTCGGTGACATCCTCAAGCCCGGCCTTTTTCATATATCCCGCGGATTCATCAACCACACGTAGCGTTTTGCCAAATTTGTCTCCACACTCGAGCGATAGTTTCCCCCACCTCTCGAAGACAGTCCCGTCAGTAGTTCTGTCATCTGACTTTGGCTCCACGGACTGCTCTACCTGTTGCACGTATGCCCCGGGCTTCAGATGTCTAATACATTTTTAGTGTGCATTTCTGACAACGTATGGTAAACCCACTTATAGACTTCTTGATAGAAGGCATCCCAGTCAGCTACACTTCCGTATAAGCCTCGAATGTGAATAAAATCGAAGCTTTCTTCCTGGAAACCCCACTCCCCGGTGCAATCGTTGACTTCGAATTCGCAATTTGGCGGAACCCACGTTGGCTGTATTGGACTCAAATCGGTGCCCTGCCATCATCAGCGAAAAATACTATCGTGAACCTGGCGTGAATGTGAGCAGTAGGGCAAAACGTACAATCACAGATGAATCAGGGTTCATGTCGGCAAACTCAATTGCCCATATGCCCGTGCCTGTCCCGACATCAAGAACACGCTCAACCAACTGTTAGCCTTATTGGTCGTATTTTGTTCATCACTCACCCCAGCGTTGATATCGATTGGGGCTAAATGCAATTGTCCGCCAAGGAGAATCTTGAAGACATGGTGACTCGCATTGTCAGCAAAGAACATTTATACTCAGGTTGCTCACCCTATATCCAACTGATCCATGGCTTTTTCATCATTTGGACCCCTGGAAGCCAGCATGGTCAACTATTCGATCTTGATAGTCAGGACAGTCATACCAGTATGAACCTGCACGAAAGGCATGATACCTTCGTCCATTCTCGTAGCGGTAATTGAAGATGTTGCTTTTCAATGATGTATATCGACTATTTTCCACTCAGCTAAACACTTGCGAGAGCCAATGACATACGTCTGTGTGTCTTCCTCACCTATAGCCGAATCTTGATCGTGCGCTTCATCCTTTGGTCCACGGGTTAGCGAGAAGCTCCTCACTATTCCACAAGTCTTACCACTGCGATCGGCTGATTATTTTGTTCCTCGTTGGGATTCATTCTGTACTGTAAAAGAGGCACACTGGAGAGTGTTGTTGGGACGAACGAAGATTGCATGTGAATCTCGATCAAATAAGCTCGGGCTTTCAAGCCGGGAGTTCTGGACTGAGATTCGCCCAGATCAGTCTAACGCAACCCGCCTGTTCCGGTACAAGCGAGATGCCATCGATAGGGAACGGGCCGTGCCATTGGCAGGAACAGTCTACAGCCAAGTTTCCAAGGAACTAGGGGATGCCGGAACACTCGGCAAAATGTGCTAAACGAGTCCAAGCCGCTGTCATGAGCAAAGACGTAACCCTGCCGAATCTGAGGTGCCATTCGACGACCCCTCCACAAAATGTGCCGCCCATTCCCGATCCTACAATGCCCTAATGACACGTAGGTGCGCCATCGTGAGATATCTCGGACACTTTCCTCCCGTCTTGGACAGATTTTGATCATTGCATAGTCAACTGCCACAATGAACACCCAAATCGTGGCATTCAGTCTTCTGATTGGTTGGGCCGTATTTTTTTTCTTTCGCGGCGTGTGGAATATCTACTTTCATCCTTTGGCCGGACTTCCTGGCCCGCGGATCGCAGCATTCAGCTCTTTGTACAAAGCATATGTTGACGTTCTCGCTAAGAGTGGGTTCGTGCGGAACTTGGAGATAGTACACGGGCAATATGGTAAGCATGATCTACAACGAAGCGGCCTGACCTGACTTGACAGGGGACATTGTCAGGATAGGGCCGAATGAGGTTTGAAATCCGTCCTGCGTTGGCGCAGCATAGATCTACTAAGCCGCACAAGGTTCACTTTGCCAATCCAGAAGTCTACCATGAGATCTATAATCCGAGCAATCGCTGGGACAAAGAACCAGCACTCTACCACAGCTTTGGGGAAGACAGGTCATCATTCGGCTTTCTCGAATACAAGGACGCAAAACCGAGAAAGGATATACTCCAGCGTATTTTCTCCAAGAAAGCCGTCATTAACGTTGAATATCTCGTACAAGACAAGGTAGGTCCATTCGCCGACTCGGATCTCTGCTGAGTGAAATAGGTTTCCCGCCTCTGCGATTCTTTTGTGCGGCGAGGAGACCTGCCAGTAAACATCTTCTACGCATTTCGGTGTATGGCCATCGATGTAATCACAGGTTGGTCCTATCACGCTCTTGGAGGTCTCACTGACTGGGAAAAGAGATATGTTTTGGCAAGTCGATTGATGCGATCGATGCCCCCAATCATGAAGCGCCAATCGTAACAGCCATGGATGCGGCATTGCCTGCTTTTAATGCATTCAAATATTCCTATCTTTACAAGAACATGATCTTGAACTGTCCTCCCAAGATATCGAAGACGATTAGCCCTCTAACAGCAGGTCTGGTAGAATTACAGGAGGTATGCTCTCTTCTAAGTCCAATACACATGACTAAAGGGTTTTAGCTGCTTAGAAACCAAATTGAAACTGTTACTCGCGATCCAGAGGAGCTTAAGAAGATGGCTCACCCTACAATCTACCATGAGCTCCTCCGGCCAGAAGTTCATCCTAACGGCGTGGTCCCTGAAACAGAAGAGCTTTTTGAAGAAGCACAGGCTCTAATGGTTGGAGGATCCGAGACAATAGGAACCACAATGATGCATGGCTGTTTCTACCTTCTAACCAACCCTGACGTCCTGCAGAGGCTTAGGATCGAGCTTAGGGAAGCTTGGCAGGATCTTGATCAGGTACCGACATGGGCTGACTTACAAAAGCTGCCTTATTTGGTGAGTATACTCAGGGAGAAAGTTCGACTGCTAATCTCTACTAGACTGCAGTCATGAAGGAATCTCTAAGAATTAGCCCCGGAGTTGCATCTCCTCTCCCCCGAGTCGTTCCAGCTTCAGGTACCGTATTGAGTGGCAAACATATTCCTGGCGGTGTATGAATCACTGGTATCCCAATGAAGTATACTGTGCTCACAATTTCCAGACTGTGGTTGAGATGAGCAGCCACTTCGTCCACAGAAACTCCGCAGTCTTTGATCGTCCTAACGAGTTTATACCTGAGCGTTGGATGGGATCGGAGAGCAAAAATCTCGATCGATGGCTCGTTAGCTTCTCTCGTGGACCTCGCAGTTGTCTCGGCTTGAAGTAAGCACAGATTTGCTTGATGGAAATCTTACTGACTAGCCTAGTCTTGCATGGGCTGAACTATACTTGACATTCGGGCACGTCTTTCGGAAGTTTGATTTCGTACTCGACCCATCCAGGTAGTTGATCGCGGGTGCTGCGTAGACGTCTGTGCTAACTCTGTCAACAGTCCGAAGGAGCTGAAGTGGCGTGACTGTTTTCTGCCAGAGTATACTGGCCCACATCTCAAGGCGAAGGCGGTTCCTGTGAAGTCGTAAAATCAGCAATTCATGATAGATTGACTGGTTATCTGCTGTCGTCAAGATCAATGAGCTCTAGCTTTTCTGTAGCAAGATGTACAAGCGTATCAGAAGTTCAAGGGTAGTAGTGGGCAGTCCTGACAGACTACTAGATCGAAAATGCCGTAGAGCTGAGAACTGTTAGCGTGCTGACGCCGCTCGGTGGGATGCTGCAAAGCTACGCCATCAACTTCGACAGACTACTGGGAGCGGCGTATTACCTTCACGGATCTTACCACTTGGCTTCAAACTAAGACGCAGCAGAAAGCTGTAGCTAAGAGAGCGATGCGGGCGTTGTGTTGGTGAGACGGCAGCGCAAAAAGCATGCACCGAGATTGACAAGTCCGGCGAATGGGAATTGCGAGTTGAGAGGACAGTCTGGAGCCCAAACCCTGAGACTTGTGGCACAAGTGAACACCCCGGCGCCGCATACTAAAGCGAGGGAGACACTGACATCTGCTGAGTAGGGGTGTTCATCTGCCACCTCCTCGCGAGATTTGCCTTCGATGGATAGGGTGACAAATGCTAGAGAGTATCTTATAGCCCAGACGGTGGTTTCGATCGCCGTGATGCTAGCGGCCGTAACAAGTACAATGATGGAATGTTCACGCGTTAAAAGCTCCGGTGGTGCAAGCAGCGCAGGCTAAGCACGTGGCTCATCGACTGCCCATTCCCTGACAAGGCCTGTAGCGAAATAAGAGGACGTACCCATCGGTGACATAGATCGCCGCACGGCAACGAGAGGTTTGCTAACAGTGGTCATCTGGGAGGGTATCGAGAAGGGGCCTGGACGTAGCGCAGGAATAGATGCAGGTGAGTGGCAGTTACGTAGAGACCGTGACTCGCTGTGATGGAACTGTGGCTCCAAGCAGGGTTATTGTTTGGCAGAAGGATGCCACTTGACTTATGAAAGTGGTAAGTATAACTTGCGAAAAGATTTGTAATGAGATGCAGGCGGCCTACTCCGGTTGTGCCCATGAAGTTGCTGACGCGGCCAGCGGTATGTGAACGAACGAGGATGGTGACGAGCTCGTTGGGGAAGGTGTCATGTTGTTGAGCTGCCAGGGGCGGATGGCTGATGTCGTGAAGGAGAGAAAACAGTGCTGAGAAGGTGTGCTGGAGCCATGCGCGAACAACGGCTGCCGGCGCAGTAGGCTGGAGGCCATCGTCGCAGGCAATTGGCACAGTCCAAGTCCCGAGCTGTAGACAGTCAAACATAAAGCCGGCAGGAAGTTGGCCAGTCTCTTAATAACCGGCCGAAACAATCTCGATCAGTGCAGATTCACCCGAGCCGGGCTGGCTCTGTCGCGATGCGTTGGTATCTTGTGCTTAGACCCGACATCTTACCAGCGGTCAGTGAACTCGAGGGGACTTTGTTGCACTAGCCATGCAGGCTCTACTCCAAGTGTGCGCATCTCCTATGCTACTACCCCAACGCTTCCCGATGTTTGTCCTCCTTGTCGCTGAAAGGGGAAGCGGTCCCAGCTCATCTCACGACTCGATACTCGGTAGCTGCGGCTCACACGGCAAAGGAGTGACCTTGAAGCGTGCCTCGAAGATTCAATCGGGGACACCTGTCGATGAGTGTGGATTAGGAGAGGCTATTAAGCCAATGCTTGATCGAGGAGGAGTGGAATTGAGGATCGCTAGTACCAAGACAATCAAGTCATGCGTGGGATCAAGGACGTTTGCGCTGCTGAGAGTCGACAGGAGACAGTGCTTGCTGCGGTGACAACAGGTCGAACCCATCGTCAAGGTTCGGTCGGAAATCCTCCTCTTCAATTGCAACTGGTATGGTAATCGAAGGGCGAGACGAAGAATGCGAGGCTCAGAATCGGGAGGTTGTGGCAACGGAAGTCTTCCGTACTACCGAGGTGGTCGGGTCTTTTTCGCTTCGACCCATAGCACTGATAGGAAGCAGAGGCGGCAAGCCAGGTTTCGGATGGTTAGTCTTGAACTGTGGTGGCAGGGAAAGGACTGCGGAATCGTGTCTTGTGAAGGTGGGATAAGGTCGGTCGCCTATGGTGGAAGCAAGTCGGGCGTTGTCAAGTGGTGCATAGTCGTATCAGAAGTGCTGGCGACGGCGTCTCGCGAAAGATCTCAAGTTTCCGCTTTCCGTTGCAGACGAGCATCGAGGAGCCTAGACGCTGGTTAACACATGTTTGCACTACCGTGATGATGAGGTGTTCGGAATCAGTCGTGCCCTTGTTCGCAAGCCGAAGCTTCCCAATCTGAACCACGTGGAGGTCAAGGCACATCTCAGATCTTTCTGGTTTTACCCATGGTACACCCAGGACCATTTGATCTTTTGTGTCCTTCCTAGGGAGGTCGGAAGTCACATCGGATCTCCACCCAACAATTCTGCTCGCGCAGTTATCGTCAGTTCACAGGGACCCTGCTCTCGCAGTGGTATGTTAGGTGCAAAAAACCCTGCTCACGCAGTGGTCTACTGGAATGTGTCGTCACAACGCTACTCTCGCAGTCGTTGCTTCAGTCCACTTAACAATTGCGTAGTGTAGTCGGGTGAGTTGGCAGAAGCGCAGGCGGGAAGTCCGAAGGAGGGGTACGTGGGTCTTGTCATCCAAGCAGCGACGATACGGACAACTATATTCGGTGCACCTTCCACTTTGAACTGCTGCAACGCAGTCGACTGGCATTATATGTTCTACGCACTCAGTGACTGCCACAATCTGCGCCTTCCGTAATGGCGGTGATGCGTCCACGCGATGACATGGTCCAGGGTCCAGCTTTTGTGCGATGCGAGAGCCAGTTCTTCGGGATGAAAACTGAGTTCGAGGTGGCTTGACAGTTGTGGCGCGCCGCAGCAGTGCTCAGGCATCCGAAAACGCCAAATAGGGTCGCGTCGCGCTATTACGGGCCCTCTTCCTCACTCCTCCAGACACAGCGGCCAATTTCTAAGGCGCACAATATGTGCGTGGCTCCTACGCAGTCATTATACGGCCCTAGGCGGCTCGAGTTGAGATCATGCCCCGTAATCGAGCCGCCTTGAGACATTCTGCACGGTAGGTATTTGCGTGGCAGCATGACTCCGTTTATTGCGACAGAGATCTTAGCGTTGCCAATAATTCGAAGTGAGTCTTGAACATCCCGGGAGGTCTCTTAGGATTGCTTCCCTTGCCGGATCGGGTAAGCTACTGAGCTTTGGCGGGAAAGGCCAGATGCCGGATTGCGGATCTCGCAACCTGGCAGCCTGCTAAAGCAAATCAGGTTGCTGGTGGTATTCCGCAGGAATATCGTGCCCAGTATAGCTCGCGCCGAGGAGAACTGGAGTTGGCGTCTGCACATCCCCACAGGTGCGACCACGGTGTCGCCGAACTTCGGACGGCGAACCAAATCGTGTTCCTGGGTCCGGAAGTGTGTCTTTCGCGCTCGCGATCGCCAAAAACATCCTCCTTGCGAATCTTTCCCATAAAACCTTGGGTCCATACCAGCGAGACAGGCTTTCCGGACCGAGTGGCGAATTTCACAATGCTCTCGACCCACTGATCGATCTGACTGGGCTGTGTGCTCACAGGTCGGCTTGGAGCGGGTCTGGTGGCGCTTCAGGCGCGCGCCACCGCAGATGATCGATGTATGGTTCAAGTCCACCCAGTACAGCCTCGTTGCCATCAGGCAGCGCAACAGGCAGTTCGACAAGATGGACGAGTGACGGTAGCAGTCTGGCCGTCAAAGGACGAATTCCTGAGGTAGTCTGGGGCGCTACTCGATGGTATGTCGCTTGGCGTCAAGATTCTCCCGGTTGATGTCGCTTTTTCAAGCCGTTTGAAGACTTTGCGCGCGCGGTCCAGTGACCAGCGCCAATACCATCCACGATCATACTCATATCTTTATCCACACTTCAAGATCCACCGCATCAACTGCAATCGAAACGGTAGCGGCGAGATCTTCAAATGAGGCTCGCAAGCTCTCCGAAAGCACTTTGGTAGACAAATCGAGCGGGAGAAAGTCGGGTCCAGGAGTCCGTCTTGCCTCGCCTTATACATTCTCTGCTCGAGGTTGGGCTCGGCTTCGTCCTCCACCGCCTGCCCGATCGAAACGACGTAGTTGTCGTGGCTGACCCGCGGGACCCATACCTGCTCTCAGCGCTCTCCATGGGCGCGTACATGCTCCTCTAGAGGCTCTAGGGTCTATGGCTTTGGCTATGGCCCGGTTGCACGCGTACAGCAGCCCGCCCTTGTAGTAGGCTGACACCACTCTCACCATCATGTTCGTCTGCCGCGGCGACGGGTTGATGACGCCGTACTCGTCCATGGGTGGCAAGCCAGCTACCTCTCAAACCAGCCAGCCAGCGACCTCACTCGAATGTCAGTGGCAAGCCAGGTTCCTGTCTCAGACCGACAGCGAGCTTTGAACTGACGGCGAGCCAGCTTCCTCTCTCGGACTAACGGCAAGCCAGCTTCCTCTCTCGAGCCAGCTTCCTGCCTCAGACCAACGGCGAGCCAGCTTCCTGCCTCAGAGCGACGGCGAGCCAGCTTCCTCACTTGAATGTCAGTGGCATCCCAGCTTCCTGTCTCGGATCTCGGTGGCGAGCCAGCTTCCTCTCAAACCGACGGCGAGCCAGCTTCCTCTCCCAAACCGACGGCGAGCCAGCTTCCTCTTGAACTGACGGCGAACCAGCTACCTAACTTGATTGCCGTGACTGTCGTCACGAGCTCAATCTTCAAAAGCCGTCGGGGGTCGTCACCTCAAGCGAGCGTTCCAGCCATCGTCGCGACTTCCAGCTTTGGGTGTGCGAAAGCACCCAGCGCCGAAATGAAGAGAAACGAGTGACCAGTAGCCTCTAGCCTCAAGCCAAGTGATGAACCTCAATGACGAAGCTCAGGATCTGCACCCATTGTGGGGTTGTAGAGTGATCGGGGAGGATCGAAAGGGTTGGCGTCCGGCACAAGGTCATTGCGTGCGTATAAGATGGGTGTAGGTGGAAATCAATTGGGCTGGGGATGAGTTCGAGGGTTTCG